TTACTAATTTCCACGCTCAGCAAAAATCGCCTTGGCGATCATCAATCCATTGTAGTAGTCACGCTGACAGACCAACCCCTCCACCCGGGGTGAAAATCAATTATAATCATGATTATTAGGTCGTAATCATAATCATGATTATTTACAAAGCGCATAATCATAATCATGATTTATAATCATGAATAACTAGTCATGATTACAGTCATAATCCGTTAAGTCGATAATCGTGGGTGGAAGCAATGTGCGGCAACTCGAAGCGAGGGGAAGCAATGAGTATTGCTGGTTAGTAATTTGTATGTAAAGATAACGTACATGTATAGCGAAAGCGCCAAACAAGCGAAAGCGCCAAAATTATCTACCCTCACGACAAACATTGCGATAAATCTACCACAACATTAGAAATCAATTGAAACTACTCGGAGTCCTCTTCCTCAGAGGTGTCTATTACAATCTGACACGTGCGCGCATTGTGCCCAGTCTCACCACACTTGCCACAGCGACGGGCACGGGTTTCTTCCCTTGGCTTCCGACCACGGCTTGCCCTTATTTCCTGCTCTACCTGCTGCACAACATCCCTCTCATCCTGTAGCTCTTGCGCCCCTTGTTGACTAAGTGATCCTCCTTGCTGTAGTCGTGTTTTCCTAGCTCTCCGGCGCTTGCTTAGTACTTCATTTGCCTGTCGTAGGTTTTGGTTCTCTCCCTTTAGCAGTGCTAATTGATGCATTATTTGCGATGCACCCTTTGTAAACTGGTCAACAGCTGCATAGATTGAGGTTGAAGAGCTATTTTGATGGCGTGAAATCCGAGTTTTAATAAATGTAGACTGTGACATAGCTTCAATTGGGTTGTTTGGTGTCTGAGAAACCCAAGGTTGAGCAGTACCTGGGCGGGAGCTTGGAGGCGTTGGTGTCCTTAACTTCCTTTGGCAGCTAGGTCGAGTATATACTGAACAAGGACGGACTCCTCTAGGTTAGTTAATTTCCGTGAGTTGGCTTGGATATCGCATCGTGAAGGTACACCTTCTAGACGACGACCTAGCTTGCAGTGGTCCACAGAATAGATCCTAGCAGCAACTCGAAGGCGTAACTTTGGGTCGCTTTGCATAGCCTGGATAGCTAGCACTAATTGGCTTTCATCGTTTTTATGGGGCATGTTTTGTTGTTGAGGAATTTAACATTTAGTTGGGGGGTTTGGTCACCGCATCATTTTGGCGCTTTCGCTTGTTTGGCGCTTTCGCTATACATGTACGTTATTCATCTTTCCTCAAAAATTAATTTATTACCCTAACAAATCCTATAAACTTACCTATTATCATATTATACATTACTCTTGTATATTGCACTACACTATTCCATTCTCCTTTAAATCTCCCCTATACACTCTACTATAGCCTCATTTAATACCTATGCTATGCTTATGTTTCTTCTTATGGGATAACTCTATTTCTATAATAATGATAATATATTTACAAAACTTACTCTAATCTACAAACTGACCCTACCATTGTATGTCTACACCCTAAATACCCTGTAAATGATTCTCCCTACATACCTATTAAATAAACTACAAATCTTTAAACCCTTCTGAAAAAAATACAAAAAAATACCCCCCTCCCCTGCTGTGGAATTTTGTAATATCTCACCCAACTCTTTGCAACTCAACTGACCCTAACACCATTGCATTTGCTTGCTCAAACTACCCTATAATCGATTCTCCCTATACACTCGTATGTAAACTAAACAAAACCCGTTCCTAATCCCTCTATTACCAACCTCTACTACCTACAATGAAATATTATAATCTTTGGCCTAATCTTACTCTGATTCACAAACTGACTTCGCTATTGCATTTCTATTGTACAACTACCCTATATAACATTATCGCTACACATGTGCTATGTAAACTGCAAATCTAACAATTATTCTCATATTATAAACCCCCTCTATTTCTATCAAATATACTAATATCTTTACCAAATCTACTCCAATCCACAAATCCACTTTGCCATTGCCTTTCTACGCCAAATATACTCTATATCACATTATTGCTGCATATTTGCCACTTAAACTGCAAATCTTACTGCCCTTCCAATTTCACCCCTCACACCTACCTTACCCTTCCACTGCCTCATCCTCTCCCTCTTCTTACACCTCCTCTACCATTTACACCCTCTACCCCCTCCACCCTCTGCCCTCTGGGGGTGGCCAGCGGCGGGCTTCGCCTGGATTGGTTTGGGTTATGGCTTGGAATTGGCTTCTCCTTTACCCTCTTCCTTTTATCACTCTAATCTTGCTATAACTCCTTCCTTATTCTGTGACTTCTACCTGCCTCCCTATTCTTTGACCTCCACCTCCTCTAACCCCAACACCTGCTGTGGGCTCCTTTCATGGCGGCTTCGCCTTTTGGCTTGGGCACTTCTACCTTCCCTATACCCTGATCTCTATCTTGGTCCATAACCTCCACCTCCCTCCCTATTCCACCACCTCCTGCTTCTAAACTATTCTTATATCATGACACCCCCCCTATTCCATGCAATATGATAATTTTTTTACCACTTATACTCCTATCTATAAACTTACACACCATTCCATTTGTACACAAAAACTACCATAAACTCTTATCTCTACTTACTATATAAACTACAAATCTTCCAACTATTCTCATATCATGACCCCCCTATTTCATGAAATATGATAATTACTTTGCCAACTGTACTCTAATCTATACACAAACTTGCCTATTCTATTTCTACACAAAAACTACCTTATATAACATCATCGCTGTATACTTACTACATAAACTACACTATTCTTATATCATGGCGGCTTCCCCATTCAGCTTGGGCCCTCTCTACCTCCTAATTCCATCACCTCCTGCTCCTTCCTTGGCCTGTGACCTGTACCTCCCACCCTATTCCATCACCTCCCGCTTCTTACTTGGCCTGTAAACTCTACCTCCCTCCCTTGTATCAAAAATTGTAAGAGGCCATTCGATTCCTCTTGTAAATCTCGCTCAATAATAATACCATACGTGACCTTTCTCCTGTAGCTGCAAGACCTCGGCCACGTCTCATACCATGGCTTCCTGCCTAACAATTGCGGAATAACGTACATGTATAGCGAAAGCGCCAAACAAGCGAAAGCGCCAAAATGATGCGGTGACCAAACCCCCCAACTAAATGTTAAATTCCTCAACAACAAAACATGCCCCATAAAAACGATGAAAGCCAATTAGTGCTAGCTATCCAGGCTATGCAAAGTGACCCAAAGTTACGCCTTCGAGTTGCTGCTAGGATCTATTCTGTGGACCACTGCAATCTAGGTCGTCGTCTAGAAGGTGTACCTTCACGACGCGATATCCAAGCCAACTCACGGAAATTAACTAACCTAGAGGAGTCCGTCCTTGTTCAGTATATACTCGACCTAGCTGCCAAAGGGTTTCCTCCTCGGCTGTCTGTTGTTGAAGATATGGCAAGTCGACTACTTGCAACACGCGACGCGTCACGCGTTGGGTCGCGTTGGGCTTCAAACTTTGTTAAGCGGCGTGTAGAGCTCCAGACACGCTTTCAGCGCAAATACGACTACCAGAGGGCTAAGTGCGAAGATCCAGAAGTTATTAATGGCTGGTTTGAGCTTGTGCGTAACACAATTGCGAAATATGGTATCGATGAAGCAGATATCTACAACTTTGATGAGACTGGGTTTATGATGGGCGTTATCTCAACTGCTATGGTTGTAACAAGCTCAGACGGGCGGGCAAAAGCAAAGAAGGTACAGCCTGGTAATCGGGAATGGGTTACAGTAATCCAAGGCGTTAGTTCTCAAGGTTGGGCAGTACCACCATTTATCATTGTTGCAGGCAAAAACCACCTTACATCTTGGTATGAGAATAGTGGATTTTCAAGCGATTGGGTGATTTCTGTTACTGAAAATGGCTGGACTACAAACGAGAGAGGCATGGATTGGATTCAGCACTTTGAGAAGCATACAAAGGCCCGGAGTGTTGGTGGTTATCGCTTGTTAGTCCTTGATGGTCATGAGAGCCACCACTCAGATGAGTTTGAGGAGTACTGCAAGGAACACAACATTATTACGCTTTGTATGCCTGCTCACTCTTCTCATCTACTCCAGCCACTTGATCTTGGCTGTTTCGGCCCGTTAAAGCAGGCCTATGGTCGGCAAATTGAAGATATGATGCAGGCTCATATTTCTCATATTACAAAGGATGACTTCTTTCCTGCCTTCCACGCTGCATTTAACACTACAATGACGGAAAGTAACATTCGAGGCGGGTTCCGAGGGGCAGGGCTTCTTCCATTTGACCCTGAGAGAGTGATATCTACACTTGATCTTAAGTTAAGGACACCAACGCCTCCAAGCTCCCGCCCAGGTACTGCTCAACCTTGGGTTTCTCAGACACCAAACAACCCAATTGAAGCTATGTCACAGTCTACATTTATTAAAACTCGGATTTCACGCCATCAAAATAGCTCTTCAACCTCAATCTATGCAGCTGTTGACCAGTTTACAAAGGGTGCATCGCAAATAATGCATCAATTAGCACTGCTAAAGGGAGAGAACCAAAACCTACGACAGGCAAATGAAGTACTAAGCAAGCGCCGGAGAGCTAGGAAAACACGACTACAGCAAGGAGGATCACTTAGTCAACAAGGGGCGCAAGAGCTACAGGATGAGAGGGATGTTGTGCAGCAGGTAGAGCAGGAAATAAGGGCAAGCCGTGGTCGGAAGCCAAGGGAAGAAACTCGTGCCCGTCGCTGTGGCAAGTGTGGTGAGACTGGGCACAATGCGCGCACGTGTCAGATTGTAATAGACACCTCTGAGGAAGAGGACTCCGAGTAGTTTCAATTGATTTCTAATGTTGTGGTAGATTTATCGCAATGTTTGTCGTGAGGGTAGATAATTTTGGCGCTTTCGCTTGTTTGGCGCTTTCGCTATACATGTACGTTACTTAAAATTCCATTATACGAAATTATCACTTCCTCATTCCCACTCCCACGCCCACTCCCACGCCCACTCCCACGCCCACTCCCACGCCCACTCCCATGCACCCTCACTCGCACTCTCATACTCGCTCTCAGTTTCGGCCTCTGGGTCAGTAATTGGGTCTTCCAACTCTAGAGGAATTGGAAGGCCTAATTCAGTGAGCTGAGCCAGGCTCTTCTTCCGGAGGCGCTCCTGTTTCCGGGCTTCAATTCCTGCCCGGTGGAGCTGCTTCCGGGCTTCGCTTCCGGGCTTCTGTGGCAGCGAGCTTCTAGGCCTGAAGCCCAGCTTTCTGGGCCTGAAGCTCGTGGGCTTCAGAAGCCCGGAGTTCACCTCCACACTGGAGTCGGCCCTGGCCCCAGGCCCCCCGCTTCTTCTTCGAGTTCTTAACCTGCTGCCGAACAGCCCGTAGGTCGAGTTCCTGAGCTGGCTGGCGTCTTAAACGTATAAGACTCACAGAGGTTTCGTTGCGTTGGTTTACTTAACAGAGGAGGCAGGGGATCAGACACAAAGGCTTTCGTAAAACACGTTACTAGTATATAACAAATACTGTATTGAGTTGAGCACGAAGCTCCTATCTAAGAACTAACTATCTACTTATATAGTGGCGTCGTGCCAAATGCCATGAAGGACCATCGTGGTCCATCACGTGATACTTAACCCCTTGGTCCCCTCTGGACCAATGACTATGATTTCTCACATGCAGTTCCGTAGCCAATCCCTTCCTTAGCACTAGTGGTGGGGTTAGCTGTAACACCAGGCCTCCGGAAGCCGGTCTTTCCAGCGCTGTAGCCCCCGTTCCACCTCCTGAAAAGTAGATGGTATAGGCGTAATAGGCCAACGTAGGGTAGGCGTAGTAGGCTGTGTAGGCTGCGAGTATGTACATAGCTTTTCGATGGCTGTATTACAGCTTATTGGCCAGATTCCAGCTTTCTGAAAAGCTGATCTTATGGTGGAATCCTTAAAGGTATGCTCCTGCATCTGTGGGAGATCCCTCATAAATAAGGGTAGGTTGTATGTAATATCCATCTCTCGTATGGCACGGAGCACAGCCTGCCTATGCCAGTGTGTCATACTGACATTCGTTGCACTCAGTTTGCTATCAAACTCAAGAGCAAACTTGGAAATCTCCTCCTCAAACCTACAAGTCACTATACATATTTTGGCTTATCACACCAACAACAAGAGCAATACTACTCAACGATTGCTACAGCCCTCTATGATTCATTACACGTCATCGCTCCTTAGTTACCCACAAGATTGGTTAAGTTATGACATAATTTGTCTATAGGGGTACTCTGACCTTGGACCTCCTTTCACTTCCTATAGGCTAGGAAACTAGGAGATGGTTCTATGGGATTCTCTTACGTCGACTACAGTTACCAAGCCTGGTTAGTCATGGAAAGTCTTGGAAAATGAGAGAACTACACTCCTTTAGCATAAATAGGATTGCCCTTTCCTTAAGAAAGGGCAAGCAGACAATACAGTAAATCGACTATCACATACTTCCACATCTTTTCCAAGCTTCCAAGCATTGATCTTGTTACTCCTTGTTTCTGAAAAGTCAGTGAGGTGTTAACCTCTGACTTACCCCTGAGTTCCCAGACTCAACATTTGTTGCAACTTGTCTGAACCACTTCACTACATCACACACCTGATTGCTGCGTTGTGGAATAGTCTAAGCTACGACCCTTTGGCTCTTTTTCCTAAGACAGTGTGTTGTCTTAGTAAATTCATCCCTTCCTTGGGTGGCTAGATTCTCACATCTGGTGCACCCACCATTACACAGTGCTTATAAGGTTGGAATATTCCCACGTCTAATGGCTGTAGAACGTATGTGAGATGTAGGGGAAACGCCCATAAGATGATGTGATATTTGGCAGCTAGAATGATGAAATCATGGCTCGTATGTAATGGTGGGTGCACCAGATGTGAGAATCTAGCCACCCAAGGAAGGGATGAATTTACTAAGACAACACACTGTCTTAGGAAAAAGAGCCAAAGGGTCGTAGCTTAGACTATTCCACAACGCAGCAATCAGGTGTGTGATGTAGTGAAGTGGTTCAGACAAGTTGCAACAAATGTTGAGTCTGGGAACTCAGGGGTAAGTCAGAGGTTAACACCTCACTGACTTTTCAGAAACAAGGAGTAACAAGATCAATGCTTGGAAGCTTGGAAAAGACGTGGAAGTATGTGATAGTCGATTTACTGTATTGTCTGCTTGCCCTTTCTTAAGGAAAGGGCAATCCTATTTATGCCAAAGGAGTGTAGTTCTCTCATTTTCCATGACTTTCCATGACTAACCAGGCTTGGTAAATGTATTAGAAATCAAGTGTGACCCATAACTAGCTTGCTAATCATGTAGCGAACGTAAGAGAATCCCATAGAACCATCTCTTGGGTTCCTAGCCTATAGGAAGTGAAAAGGAGGTCCAAGGTCAGAGTACGTATAGACAAATTATGTCATAACTTAACCAATCTTGTGGGTAACTAAGGAGCGATGATGTGTAATGAACCATAGAGGGTTGTAGAAGCTTCTAGAGCTATCGTTCATGTTCCTAGGCCTCTAGTTGGTAGAGATATGCCATGTGGTAGTATTGGCCCACCCCCTTAAGGAGGAGATTTTCTTAATAACTTGTTCAATGAGTGTCCAAATGATATGCCGTGATGTATGTAGCATAAACAGTGTAGTAGAAGAGTTTGCAGCAATCGTTGAGTAGTATTGCTCTTGTTGTTAGTGTGATAAGCCAAGATATGTATGGTGACTTGTAGGTTTGAGGAGGAGATTTCCAAGTTTGCTCTTGAGTTTGATAGTAAACTGAGTGCAACGATGTCAGTATGACATATAGGGCTTCATGAAAGCTCATATCAACCATATCACCAAAGTCGAGTTCTTTATAGCCTTTAAGACAGCTTATCAATAGTCAATAACTGTCCAAAATGCCTAAGCCGGATTTCGCAGAGCTAGGTTAGTTCCTTTTAACCCTAAGGCAGTTATATCGAAGCTAGACATCAAGTTATGGACTCTAACGCCTACTTGTAATGCTGACTTCTAAACGATAGAAGACACAGAGGTTTCTTATGTAAGGTTGACTTAACAGAGGAGGCAGGGGATTAAACACAAAGGCTTTCTAAGTAACATGTTACAGTGTTGTAAAGAATACTATATTGAGTTGAGCACGAAGCTCCTATCTAAGGAAATACTATCTACTTATATAGTGGTGTCGTGAAGTTCTAACAGTTCTCGCAGTTCCACCATTAAGGACTTGTAGGAACTGTAGGAACTGTATGAGTTCTAACAGTTCTTACAGTTCCATCCTACAAGGTGGAATGGGGTCCTATAGCATGACCCACTCAGCACTATAGGAACTGTAGGAACTGTATGAGTTCTAACAGTTCTCACAGTTCCATCCTATAGGGTGTCATAGGCCCTATATCGTGACCCACTCAGCTAATAGCTCTGCTGATAGCCGTAATACTACTAGACCCCGGTCTACAAACACTGACCCTTAGGTTTCATAAATGCCTCACAACCCAACCGAAGCTCTTTCCTAAACAACTTTGGTTAAAGATCGTATTGCCCTTCAACAAGGAAGCTCACTAACACCGATATTTGCTACAGTTGCTACGTTGGCAAAGGGGACAGAGATCCTAGCACACCAGAATACCCTGTTGGCTGCTGAGGTCAATACCCCTTCGCAAAGCAAATGAAGCACTTAGCAAGCGCCACAGGGCTAAAAGAATCCCATCCGTCAAGGAGGTGCACTTACTATAGAGGATGCACATGATATTTTGGCCCAGGAGGAGGTTGATGCGCAGATTCAATGGGATAGGCGCTCCGGAGGGGTTGGCAAAAACGAGAGGCAACCGACTGCACGACGCTGTGGCACTTGCGGTAAAAGTGGTCATAATGTGCGGACTTGTTAGAAGGTTGTAGAAATATTTAGTTCATTAGACTCTGAGTAGTTTTAGTTAATTTAATGTGTTGAGTCTGAGTAGTTTTAGTTAATTTAATGTGTTGTGGTTGATTAATCGTATTCTGAAGTGATGGTACTCGTGCGGCCCAAAAGTCTGGTACTGTTGTACCAGACTTTTGGGCCGCACGAATACCCAACTCCCAACTACTCGAGTATCTTCAAGTACAACACTCAGTTACAACAATAATACCCAACTCTCAACTATCTTCAAGTACAATGGCCGAAATTTCAATTCCACTACCTGCAGCAATCATTACCCTACGCATATTTATGAATGATTCATATGCAGAAATTGAAAAGAAGCTTGGAATCTCAGCTAATTCTGTTGCACGTATATGGCAACAAACTGTGGAAAAGGCAGGAAATACAGAATATTCTCAACCTTCTTGAACATCTTAACCCAAAGCCTCAGAGCGGAAGACCTCAAACGAGACAGAAAGATTCTCAAGAGTCATTACGCGTACGCTCTTTACTTCTGGCAGATCCATTCGATACATTCCAACAAGTTATTGATAAGGAGAAATTACTATATTCATGCTCTATTGTTGAACGAGTTGCAAAGAACCACTCAAGTGCAGAGATCCCTCGCCCAATTGTACGCAAAAACATCTGTCTCAAGCCATATCTTGATAATATTATTCCTGAAGTACGCTTGAGATTCTGCAAATGCGCATTATCAGAACTTGAAGCTGGTTCTATCTTCATATTCTCAGACGAGTCATATATCAACTTTGGAGGAAATCCACACAAGAAACGCCGAATTACAGTCCAAAAGGTCAAACAGCAGAAAGTATGGTAGTTCAACAGAAGAAATCTCTCTTTCAAGTTGTGTTCTGGGGTGCAATGAGTTCTGAAATCTCTGTCTCACGCCCGTCACTATCCTGGATCCCTGAAAGCATTGAAGAAAAGCGGCAAAATGTGTTAAAACTTCGGGAGATAAATACATACTGGCAAAAAAAGGCAGATGATGAGCTTTTACAGGCAAGAACAGTTGGAACTCTCGAATATGAATATATGGAGACTTTAAACAGAGATATCCAAGAAGGGAAAAGCAAATGGAAACGGCCACGAAGATCATCACAAGAATTTGGAGACATGGAGAGTTGGAGTAGAGGAAGAGTTTCAGAAAACCAAGAAGTTTCAAAGGGTGGGATTGATTGGTTTTTATACCGTGAAATGGTTTTACTCCCACTTCTCTTTCCTTATTTTCGGAAAATCAAATCATTACATCCAGAAAAACGACTCTGGTTTGTAGATGATAATGTTAGTCTTCATTTGAAAGCACACCGTTCACTTGAAGATTATATGAAAAGAGAAGGAATTCACAGAGTAGGATTCTGGCCTCCAAACTCTCCTGATTTACATCCTATTGAGAATGCTTTTGATTATCTGAAAGATCGAGTTGATGAATATATACCTTTAAATGGAGGTAAGCTTGAGAAAGCTCATGCAAGGGTATTTCTTGAGGAAGAATGGGGGAGGAGAATGGGGGAGGAGAATGGGGGAGGAGAATGGGGGAGGAGAATGGGGGAGGAAAATGGATGGGAAAACTGCTCAACTATGTGCGTCGTCAGGGATGGAGGTAACAATTTTCGTGGGTAGATTATGTACATTTCTATGTATTTATTTTTCGAAAGTACTTACAATGACCCACCTCCCGTGCACAGACCCTGTACAGACTTTTGGGCCGCACGAGTACCTTGCAGCTTTGGCTTCGGCAGATTTTGTCCCCAAATAAAAGCTGGGGTCTGTGCCGTCTGTGCCGTCATGCCGCCACTCATTGGCCGGGGTATAGTCTGGGCCGGAGGGGAATGCTGGGTTTTGTTCGGAGAACGGCGCGTAGTAGATGTTTATATATGTTTATGTGATTGAGTCTTGCTGTTAGTTTTTGTTATGGATAAGGGCTTGGATTTATAGCGATTTTTTTTTGGTTAGTATGACGACTTTACCAGTCGGCAATGGCGCCTTCATATCCAGCGAAGACGATAATGGCGCCCTGAGGCATGAGTTGGCGCCGAGTACGCCTAGCGGTGACCTGGACACTGTTACCTCCAGCTTAGATAGCAAAAGCGACGAGGAGAAAGAGTTGGAGAACGAGTCTGGGCTCGCCCCAGAGTCACATGGGAGACCAGTCAGCGAGGCTGGCATAAGTCGTCCAGTGACACGTACCAGATCGCAGAATGGATACGGCTGTGACGATATTGAGGCAGTAGGGGGGATAGCGGAGGATGACCTCTTTATCGTCGGTTGGGATGGAGGGGATGCAGACCCGTTGAGCCCCAGGAGTCGGAGCAATTTTCAAAAATGGACGATTGTGCTGATTAATTCGGTAGCGGCTGGCTCTGTGTAAGTATCACCCTTCCTAGGAACCCCTTGGTAAAGGTCAGTGCTAATGCTTGGATAGAACTTGTGTTTCTTCCATATACACTGCCACCTATGAGCAGATCTTGCCGGAGTTCCACACCAGCAGGATTGTAGCCACGGTCGGGCTTTCCCTCTTCATCTTTGGCCTTGGGTGCGGGCCCATGCTGCTCGCGCCGCTCTCCGAGTTCTATGGCAGGCGTCCCATCTATCTGGTCTCCTTCGCATTCTTTATCATCTGGATCACCCCTTCTGCCGTCGCTCAGAACATAGCCACCATTCTAGTCTCTCGCTTCCTCGACGGCTTCTCCGGCTCCGCCTTCCTCTCCATAGCCGGCGGCAGCGTATACGATCTTTACTCACGCGACGACCTGCAAGCGCCCATGATGGTTTTCACCGCCTCGCCCTTCATCGGCCCCGTCCTCGGTCCCCTGCTCGGAGGCTTCATCAACCAGTTCACGCACTGGCGGTGGACGTACTACGTGCTCCTCATCTGGAATTTCGTGCTGTGGGTTCTCATCATCCTCTTCGTGCCCGAGACGTACCACCCCGTGCTCCTGCGCAACAAGGCGCGCAAGATCCGCGCCGAGACAGGCGATGACCGCTACAAGGCCCCGATGGAACTGAGCACCAAGACCATCCCACACGAGATCCGCATCTCGCTATACCGGCCCTTCCAGCTGCTAGCACTGGAATTCATGGTCTTGAATCTGTGTGTCTTCTCTGGATTCCTGCTGGGTATCCTGTACATTTTTTTCGGCGCGTTTCCGCTCGTCTTCCGCAATAACCACGGCTTCACGCTCTCGCAGATCGGGCTGACGTTTCTTGGCCTCCTGGTGGGGATGCTGATTGCGCTAGCGACGGATCCGTTCTGGTATAGGAATTATAGGAGGCTCGTCAAGAAGAATGAGCATAATGGGGGGGCGGAGCCGGAGCACCGGCTGCCTCCTGCGATTTTGGGTGCCGTGCTAGTGCCCGTTGGGATTTTCATATTTGGATGGACGACGTACAGCAGTGTGCACTGGATCGTTCCGATTATTGGATCTACCATTTTTGCCATCGGGTATGTTGATTCAGTTATTGCTGGTGGATTCAGAATGTGGAGAGTCGTCGTTGTCTCGGGTTTAATATTCCCCGTCTGTAACACGATGATGCTAACCTGTGTCTTACTATAGCAACGTTCTCGTCTTCACAGGAATATTCACATTTCTTGTTGACGCTTATCCGCAATATGCTGCTAGTTCACTAGCAGCAAACAGTTTTGTGCGCAGCTCTTTTGCTGGTATGTTTTATTTTCTCTATTCTTGTCTCACTTTTCCCTCCCCTCTGGATTTGGCTACGAACAAAAAGAAACTCAAAAGGACCCAACAAGCCGTGCCCAACTCACTAACCCTCATATTAGCTGTATTCCCTCTCTTCGGCGTGCAAATGTATAATAAACTTGGATACCAGTGGGCGACCAGCATACCCGCCTTTCTGACAGTAGTGATGATGCCGTTCCCCTACCTCTTCTTCAAATACGGAAAGCGGATCCGTGCGAGGAGTCGTTTTGCTAAACCCAAATAAAAGGTTGTTATCAGAGATTTGGGGGGAAATTTAGAGCTATATATCAAGGGCCTGACGTACCATACCCGTTGATCAACTCGAAGAGCGACGTTGGAGCAATTTCGTCCCGTCGGGGTACAGATACCACCAATCTGGGTTACCATCTTGGCATTCCCAATCTGTACTGTCAAATCCTCGAGCCTTTAGTGGACCTGGTAATATAAGTTTAGTATCGCTCGTTCCATCGGGATTTCTATCAAGTCTACTTAACACGGCTGGTTGCATTCTTTGCTGTAACCTCATCGTTGGACGGACCATCTAGAGCTTCGAACTTGATGCGACTCCAATCTGTCATCGAGCAGTACATGGGATCTAGCTTCTGCCAGGCAAGGTACAAAGATTGTTTCGCATCGCTTGGCTCCATCCCGGAACCAAGATCGAACCATCTCGTGGTGACTATCGCATTCCCTAGTCCTCCGAAATCGAGGAAATCGAGGAAATCGATGCGATAACGTATTTCACATGCAAGCTGCGCACACAAGCGAGCTGCGCACGACAACACCAGAACGCGTCAACTTAACTTGACTACAGTCAACAATGCCACGACCAACACAAGCCCAATCCTCTAATCGAGAGGGTAGAATATCCCATCGAGCGCATATTGGAGCTCCCGCGCAAGCTGGCTCCCGGGTTCTAGAGAACTCAAACCCAGGTTCGAGCTCAGGCTCAAAGCCTGGCTCAAATCCAGGCTCGAATCCAGGCTCGGGTTCGAACCCAGGCTCGGGCTTAGAGCCAGCTTCTGGGTCCGGAATTGGGTTGCCAGCTCGAATATGAGCTTTTACCCTCTTCTTCCGGAGGCGCTCCTGTTTCCGGGCCTCAACCCCCACCCCGTAGAGCTGCTTACGGGCCCGGTTGGCAGCTTGCCGGGCTGCTCGGGCTTCCTTCGCCTGGGCCTTCTGGGCTATAAGCTCAGCTTTGGCAGCCCGAAGCTCTACTCTCTTATATAAGGAAGAACCCTTATAAATGAGGCTAGATTATTCTTAAGGTCTATATCTCATATGGCAGTATGTACAGCTTCTCTATAGTAGTGCTTATATGGTTGGAATATCCCTATGTCTAATGGCTGTAGAATGTGTGCAAGGTGTGAGGGAAAAGTATAAATGGGAATGTTGCTCTCTGCTGCCCGAATGACGAAATCATAGCTTGTATGGTTATATGTGTTCTGGCCTAACCGTTAGATCAGCCAGCTTGCGAGCTAGCCGGCCTAACCGTAAGCCCAACCCAACCCAACCCAACCTAACCTAACCTAACGCAGTAGTGTAGAATAGTATCATAGAAAATTCAAATCTATAATCTACAACCTACAACTATAGCAATTATGGCTACTATTGCTTCAATTAATCCATTCCCATACGCATATGTACTGCTTTTAAGGCCTATATAAGTAGTCATACTTACTACAATCGAGAGCAATTCTCACATGAAAAATGGAGCTAGACACATACTATACTCGAGGATCCAATGTAATGGTGGGTGCACCAGATGTGAGAATCTAGCCACCCAAGGAAGGGATGATTTTACTAAGACAACACACTGTCTTAGGAAACAGAGCCAAAGGGTTGTAGCTTAGACTATTCCACAACGCAGCAATCAGGTGTATGATGTAGTGAAGTTGTTTAGACAAGTTGTAACAAATGTTGAGTCTGAGAACTCAGGGGTAAGTCAGAGGTTAGCACCTCACTGACTTTTCAGAAACAAAGAATAACAAGATCAATGCTTGGAAGCTTGTAAAAGACGTAGAAGTATGTGATAGTCAATTTACTGTAATGTCTGATTGCCCTTTCTTAAGGAAAGGGCAATCCTATTTATGCCAAAGGAGTGTAGTTCTCTCATTTTCCATGACTTTCCATGACTAACCAGGCTTGGTAAATGTATTAGAAATCAAGTGTGACCCATAACTAGCTTGCTAATCATGTAGCGAACGTAAGAGAATCCCATAGAACCATCTCTTGGGTTCCTAGCCTATAGGAAGTGAAAAGGAGGTCCAAGGTCAGAGTACGTATAGACAAATTATGTCATAACTTAACCAATCTTGTGGGTAACTAAGGAGCGATGATGTGTAATGAACCATAGAGGGTTGTAGAAGCTTCTAGAGCTATCGTTCATGTTCCTAGGCCTCTAGTTGGTAGAGATATGCCATGTGGTAGTATTGGCCCACCCCCTTAAGGAGGAGATTTTCTTAATAACTTGTTCAATGAGTGTCCAAATGATATGCCGTGATGTATGTAGCATAAACAGATGTAGTAGAAGAGTTTGCAGCAATCGTTGAGTAGTATTGCTCTTGTTGTTGGTGTGATAAGCCAAGATATGTATGGTGACTTGTAGGTTTGAGGAGGAGATTTCTAAGTTTGCTCTTGAGTTTGATAGCAAACTGAGTGCAACGAATGTCAGTATGACATCCAACTGCTTTTACTCTACATAACAAAGTACAAACCACCATACACTCTCTAGTTTTAAGCTTGTTAATAATAAGCTATATAAACAGAGTGATAAATGGAGCGATAAGCAGCACCTTCGATCTGTAGTTCAAAAGGCAGAGGTGTTTGATGTCATCACACAAGAGCACCTTAAGTGTTACGGCTATGGTAATGTGACATCAGTTACAGGGCTAGCAGGGCTCGGCTGTAGCATGACTAGGCTAGTGGATAGTTGCGGAAACTAGTGGAATTAGATATAGTAGGACCCCTGTTATAGCGATCTCCTATTAGCTAATATTTCCTATATAGCAATAATTTTGAGGCTACGCTGGCTTTTTATATGTAATTTTTGACTCCTTTACAATACTACGATATCGTTCTGTAATATGTAATAAAATCACTATATTTTGTATGTGTAAAATGGCTTAGCAGGGTATTACAATTCAAGATATCCAATGTTATCCATCACATGACATTCTGTGGATCGCCGTGGATAACATGGATAACATAATATCCATGATATCCAATGTTATCCATCACGTGAGGTTGCAGCTGTAAGCGCTAGCCATAGCACTAGCACTTAGCCATAACACTTTTAGCCTGAGCTCGAAGAGGTCCTTTGGCATTAGCAGCTTCGAGTTGAAGCAAAAGGGGTGTTTACTATAGGTGAAATCCTTCGAGAAAAGGCTCAAGAAGTCTGGCATCAACTCCCTTATTATAGGGAGAAACCCGAGCTAGAATTTAGTACTTGGTGGCTCGAAAAATTCAAGAGACGGCATGGTATTCAAGCACGATTTCAACATGGCGAAGCAGGGTCAATTCCTGATGTAGAGGAAGTGATGGAAGGGCTACAGCTTATTACAAAGCAATATGAAGAGAAGGATATATATAACATGGATGAAACTGGATTATTCTGGCATATGAGACCCTCAAGAGGTCTCCTTTCTCAGAGTATTCTAGGTGTCAAGAAGGATAAAGCATGAATAATGGTTAAGTACGAACGCAACAGGAGAAGACCGAATTCAACCTTGGTTTATTGGAAAAGCTAAAAAGCCACGAGCTTTATAAGGAATTGATATTTCAGGAATAGGAGGCATATGGAAGCATAATTCGAAAGCTTGGAATACAACAATTGTTATGGTCGAATGGCTTCAAGCTTTCTATCGCCACATAGGGGGACGACAGGTTCTTCTTACGATGGATAATTTCAGTGCTCATATTATGGGAATTGAATTACACCCTCCTCCTTCGAACATTCAAATCAAATGGCTTCCTCCAAATTCAACAAGCCATACGCAACCTTTAGATCAAGGGATTATTCAGAATTTTAAGGTCTATTACTAGTGGCAACAGCTTGTCATAAGGCTCTCTTCTTTCGATAAACAAGAAGATCCATATTTAATTATCACACTTCAACATGCAATTCGATGGGCCCTCCAAGCTTGGAATACAGATATTACAAATCAAACGATATATAACTGTTTCCTTAAGTCAACCCTTATTTCGACTACCTAGCTGACTTCTATTCCACTATGTGAGAATATTGATATTCTATTCTAAGATGTTATATGGGCTGGCAAAATCTGTAACACCATGTCACTTACAAGCTTATTAAACCCTATCGAATAGGTAGAAGAAGAGGATACTGTTATGATCACTGCTTATGGCTGCTAGCAATTAGGGTAACAAGTACCCACAGTAGCCACTAAGGTTACAGGGAATCGCTAAGCGTACAGCTGTATATACTGAGGGATAGCCTTACTTCCTTCCTTTCTTCTTCTTCTCTCTTTAGATTCACTCTAGCTTATTATTCTCTAGACTGGCTTCTTGACCTCCGTGACCATCGTAACGCTTTCCATTTTATCAAAAACTCTTCTTTGCGTCCTACTAACCTTCTGTCTAGGATCGCTTTGACTTCGTATTTAACGATCTCATTCTCTAGTTAGAGTTCTGTATTAGTCGCAACTAGGGTGTTTCCTCTTGCTAGTTCTCATAATGCTAGGTGTAGTCTAGAGTTCTTAGGTAGCTTTAGTCTGTAATTAACTAAGCTGGCTTTGTTTAATATTTTGAATGGTCCGAATTTCTTAAAGTCCAACTTCGTACTTAGTCATTTCGTTTTGATGTGTTTCTCGAGTAGATATACTTTATCCCCCTCCTTAATGGCAGGTTCTATACTGCGCTTCTTGTTTGCATACACAGTAGATCGTTCATTTAAAAATTGGATGTCTGTCGTAAGTTGTTTGTGGAACTATTTGAGTTGTTCTATAGCAATCATAGCTTGTTCTGCTCTTGATTCTCTAAGTAGCACGTTACAGTATTGTAAAGAATACTATATTGAGTTGAGCACAAAGCTCCTATCTAAGGGAATACTATCTACTTATATAGTGGTGTTGTGCCTTATAGATAATCCGGATAGTTGATGGATAGCTAGATAATCTAGATAGTTGATAGATAGCTCAACTATCTAATATCCACTAGTTTCTGAAACTATCCACTAGTCTGGTCATGCTACAGCCTAGCCCCGCTAGCCTTATAATCCTGTCTGGTCTATAGACCATGTAGGATCGGTCATATGGTCCTAGCCTCGTGACCTCTTATAACTTATGCGTGACTTATGCGTGACTCATAACTGTAGCCTCTAACGGGTCAGGTCACGTGGCCCTTGCCCCTATGACCTCTATAATTCCCACGCAAGGCCCTAAGAAGCCCCACGCGATAACAATGTCATGGAAGATAAGTGACCCCTACAACCCCCACTTGGTTTTCGAATGTTGTGGTGTACAGCCCTGTACAGTCCTGTCCAGCTCTCTGGCTGCATCCCGTGCGACCTATCGCAAATGCTTAACGTGCGGAGAAGGCTTAATTAGTTGCGGCTGACGTAGTATTCCATCCTTGTGCTAAACCATCCACGTGTTCCTCCTTAGGCTGACAGAAGACGTCGTCCACCGCCACTGTGGGTTTATTGAAAATGCTCAGGTTTGGTGGCTGGCTAGCACAGACCACCCACTTCCCTAAATGGCCTCGGCCACAAAAGCTATCAGTGTTTCCCGAAATATTGATTTCCAGAATGACCCCTTTTGAGGTCCCACCCTGGCGGTGAGTCCATTAGTAAACGCCGAGGGCTTCTTTTGTCCCGCCTTGGGTGGTCGAACCCACGTCACCATGCTATTGAAGATTGGAAAGATTGGATTGAAAAAATCTTACTATTGAACCACAGGATGCGATTTTGTCTCTGTTAGTACGAGTATGCATGTACGAAGCGTTCCGTCTCAGGGCTGAGTCCCTTCAGTCGTTGTACCAGTAATCTGCCGTATACAGCGTATATAAGTCCCTCCTTTGTGAAGGACGAAGGCATCTCTTCCCCTCCCAACTGACAGAAACGATCAACTCGAACCTCTATCGTCTCCATAACTGCCACCTAGTTCTTTAAAAGTCTTCTTCCTCACTATGAAGCTCACTCTCATGCTTGCGGCCACCGTGCCAGCTCTTGCCGCCGTCGCCGGGCCGATCGAGTCCCGCACCTGTGTCAACGACTGCAAACCACTGGGCTGCTACACCGATTCTGCCTCATTCCGCGCCCTCGACATCAACACCCAAGTCCCTGGCGGCCCTAGTGGCCAGAGCCCCGAAGCCTGCACGGCAGCTTGTGTCGCCCACGACCTTGCCTTCGCCGGTGTTGAGAATGGGGGCGAGTGTTGGTGCGGCGCGTTTATCAACAGTGGACAGACCCTTGCCTCGAACCAGGCTCTATGCAGCACACAATGCTACGGAGCCCCAGGCGAGATCTGTGGCGGAGCTGGCGGCATTAACATATACGACTGTACAACGGCCTTGCCAGCCCCAGTGAGCTACAATGACTGTGCTCCTCTCGGCTGCTACACCGACTCCGTCTCCTTGCGCACCCTGGCCACCAACGTCCAGGTCGTAGGCGGTCCAAACAACCAAGGTCCCGATGTCTGCACGGCGGCCTGCAAAGCAGCTGGCTTTAGATACGCGGGTAACGAGTACGGCGGCGAGTGCTGGTGCGGGAACAGCCTTGACAACAACGGTGGACCAGCTCCGGATCTGAACGAACAATGCCAGATGCCTTGCCACGGCGACTCCAGCCTCATGTGCGGTGGCCCCGATCGCCTGACCCTCTTTGACTGCGGTGCACTGGTGCCTATTGTGACTAAGGCGGAATAAGCGTGTTAGAGTGGGATTCTGCGTCCCTCCATTAGTAACAATAGGTTTAAATAGTTTAAATATACTTGGTTACCTTTTAATTAGCCTACGAATGATATCTTAAATTATAAAGCATGATCGGAATATAGGGTTTATCCAGGGCCGATCGAGTTGTGAGTAGTGGAAGTTGTAAAGCAGCAAAATCCCAGTTCGTGTTTATAGAAGTACCTGGATTACCGGCTTCTGGTTCTCCATACATTAGTACAAGTGAGTGACTAAGAAGATGTAGTTCTCAGGGTTTCGCTTTTTCGTGGCTTTGGCAGCGTTAATACACGCGGCGATATCATCTGTCCATGACGAGTCAGTATACACGGCTATTTTGGGTATTATGTATGGGCGAGAAATAGTATCCGTTCACAGGCGTGAGGTCGCCGGACCACCAGGCTTCAGTGGTTATATTCTCAGCGAGGGCTTCGGCGTACCCGGGCACGTCTCCTATGGTGACGATGTTGCCATTGGCGTCTATGATGTCCTGGGCGTTCCAGTCCTGGGCCGGCGTGTCCTCCGCTTGACATATCAAAAAATTGCTGTCGCAAAACAAATAGCGGTTCCCGTTCAGAGGATACATTGGTACCGCCACCGATTTGTCGAAAGTCGAAGAAGTCCTTAACACGTTGGAATTGGCCTGGCCACGGCGTTAGTTCAATCGATGCTTTTTGGGCCAGGATTAACAATTTATCAGATAAACGTAGATCAACATTATTTAGAATAAACGTCGTGTAAGAGACGTAGGTGTTAACACGTACCGATCGACTTCTTCGATTTCAACCCGCTCAGCCGCCGAAGCCCTTCCATTGTTGCGGATGCCGAAGAAGATTTGAAGCGCCCTTCGAACTTTGATATCTTGGTCGTACGTGTCAAGCCGATTAACGACCAAAAGTTATTTCGGTGTGCCAGCTTCCGCAGCCTGGTTAAAATGAGTATCGCAGCCGCCGTCGGTACTCCCACTCTGGACTATGAACAAATCAGTAAGAGACAGGCCCGAGACGGTGCGGAAGACGACGAGGAGGGCTGTAACCAGACCCAGAGGAAAGAGAAGCTTCGCCATTGTCCGTCGCGAGCTCAGGAAGGACCTAAGGTAAAGAGTCGCTGGCCGTGAGGGTAATGCTGCGTGCAACAGCCCAAGACAATGAAGTAGTGCAAAAGTTCTTGGGGCATGGGAATATGGGTTGTCCTGATGGGCGAGCCGACCAGGTTGCTTGCTTACGGCCGCCTGATCATGTGTGAGGATTACATTTTCTCATCTAAGAGACCAAGCACGGCCTTGTAGTCATCTACTGAAAGGCAAAATGGACCTTGCCAGTTAGGGATTGCTGACATACATGGTACCAGAACGACGATCACTTTGTGACCATGTAGGCTCAGCTCAGCGCTGGCAGTTTATTCCATGAGAGACACCTGCCGATAATGATAGTCGTCAATATTGGATTATCACCACTAGCTTTGGTTAAGAGCAGGCCATTGTACCTTCTCCCGATCCTTCCAATATAACCAATAAGTCTCTGATATTAGAAAGGGAAATGCTGGGGGTTAGATGGGGGCCAGATGGGGCTTCGGCATAGGACGTTAGATATTAATCGTGTAAGCAAACCTGGCAGGGGAAATAAAGGCCTCTTTATATCACTTTACATCAACAAGGTGATTGGTTTCCTTCCCCGCTTACTGTGACGATTAAGGAAAAATTGAAGGTGACCAGGGACGGCAAGGGTGGCTGCTCAAGGTTGCGACACTCCAGGCACCATATCTAATTTTTACAGGACTTGAATGGTTATATCTTTAGAAGCAGGCGTAAATACCCTATAGTAGCTAGCATATGTAGCATAGTAAAGCTGTTAAATATATATACAGCAGTTAGTGCTGACTCATAATTACTTGCTAAGCTGTATCTATGTAAAACTATAGCTATGTACATCGGGTATAGAAGCTAATTCTAAGTGGTTACGGATTAGCAACGATTGGCGACGGTTGGAGGCACCATACTGAATTTGTATGAAACTCAGTTAAGGTAGTCAGCGCCAATGCTTTCGGGAGGCTGCAATACGAGAATACACTCGTGTGCACTGAAAGCCAAGAGATAATTTATCTTACTTCGGCAACATCCTTCGAAATTTGACGAAGGCTATCCGGATGTTGTTGGCTGAGATATGATTTATCTTACTTTGGTCCCCGACTACAGTTACACTGCATTGAGACACAGTTAGCGACGGGAGTTTGGTCTGCCATAGCCGTGGTCATACAAAGAAATGGCGGGATTAGTGTATCTTGCAATTAAGCCGAAACCATGTAAAGTGGCAAGGTTGGAGTAACATCCGTGATGAAGCTGAGAAGAAAGGACTGTTACGACACGCCAATTTCCGCAACTTATCTACTGCAATATATTGTACTATTGGTAACGTGGATGGATTGTAGGGCTAGTAGGTTCAAGTGTATATTAAATGCATGTTTAATCCTACAGGATGGGTCATAGTGGTGATAACGGGCTTGGTGAAGATCATCGGGTTTACTTGCTGGTAATAACACAATACAAGCATTTATGCATGTAAGATCCACTTACCGCCCCCACCTGCTCGGCCCTTCCCGCTAACGCGTTGCAGATCCAGAGTACGGCCCCATAAATCTCCGTACGGGGCTGTGCACGGCTTGTGGTAAATCAATATCTCATTTGCTACAATTTGAGCACTAACCCCCTACGGAATCATAACGGTGCTGCACTGTATAGTCCAGCTTCCCGTTTCGTCCCGGCTAGAATCCTACAAAACCTCCCCTCACATTAGACTAACTCCCCGGCTCACGTTAGACCAACCCCGCGCCTCACGTCAGAATCTAGACCACGATAACTACAGCCGTCTCACGCGAGTGTCTCCCGCGCCGGGACATGGCTTCTAGTCTCCCCGCAGTCCACCGTGTAAGGATGGACCGTCAGCATTTCAATCGATCGGATATGCCGACTCCTCTACTCTATACAGGTGCGATACAGGGGGTTTTACGGGCTAGTATTTCTGTTCATGACATTAGGGAAGATGTCCTTCCCTAGATCTGTTCTTTTCCTCACCTCTCGCTCCTTTCCGCATCTCAGAGACTGCCGTCAAGCCTCCACGGTGACATGACGGCTCCCCTCATTTTCTTGTTAACTTTGCTAGCTGCACAATGGGGGCTTGTGCAGTCGGCCTTCTCGCATTACACCCCAAACGCAACGCAAAATGCGACTGCACTCCCTTTCGACCCGCGGGTTGCTCCGACCTCAAATTTAACCGCGGCAACGTCGGCTGGCGCGCGGGTTCACAGCAGTACACGGCACGTAATCTGCAATTCAACTCTTGCAACACGGCCGTGCATATGGTTTGGGATTGGGGCTGGAACTGGCAGCAGATCAAAGCTAGCGGCGGCTCCATCGCCTTTAACATCTCGGGCACAGGCGGCGACACAGGCTAGGGCACGGGCAGCGTATCCATCATCGACACCATCATTAGCGGTACAACCGTCGGCATCCTTACCAACGGGCTGAAATCATCGCCCAATATTGTGCTAGACAATATCGTCTTTAAGGACGTGGTTAGCCCCGTCATGGTGGATGGCGGCGACACGATCCTATCCGGCAGTTCCAACTTGTGGGCAACAGGCAAGCGGTACAATGGCTCAGTCGGCTCGACCGAGACTGGCGACGTGACAGCACCTGCCAAGGCCAAAGGGCTGCTCGACTACACGGGATTGCTCTTTAGCACCGGCTCCTTCCTCGTGGCAACCACGGACGGTGGGTAATGATGGCACGGGCGACCAGCAATCCTGCATCAATTCCTTTCTGCAAAAGGCCGCAGGCGCGGACCAGGTGGCCTACTTCCCGGCCGGGATCTATACAATCCGGCGGCACCGTGCTGATTCCCACAGGCTCGCGCGTACAAGGCTCTTCGTGGTCGCAGATCCAAGGGTCGGGCTTCTACCTCAGCGACATGAACAACCCCAAGGTTATGATGCAGGTCGGCAACAAGGGTGACATCGGCACTATGGAAATCGTCGAGATGCTTTTCTCGGTGCGTGGCGCCTCATGGGGTGGAACACGGCGGCGTCTGAGCAGGGCGCGGCGGCCATGTGGGACTCGCACTCCGCGTCGGCGGCACTCTCGGCAGCGATCTTGACTTTGCTACCTGTCCCAAGTTTAGCTCCAAGATTGAGTGTATCGCCGCCTCGCTAATGTTCCACGTGACGCCTCAGGGGAATGGCTACTTCGAGAACGTCTGGGCGTGGGTGGGTGATCATGACAATGACGCGAGCGCCCGACTGAACCATCACTCAGATTACCGTTTACGGGGCCCGCGGCACATTGATCGAGTCTCACGGCCCGTCGTGGTTCTACGGAAGCAGTTCCGAGCACACGGTGCTGTACAATTACTTGTTCAGCGGGGCCAAGAACATATACATGGGCCACATTCAGACCGAGTCGCCCTACTACCAGCCTGTTCCCGGGGCGCCGGCGCCTTTTGGCGCGGCCGCAAGCTTTCCCAACGACCCGGACTTCAGCCAGTGCAACATCACGGCCAACACGGACAACGAGCAGTGCCGCTACTCCTGGGGACTGCAGGTCACCGACTCGACCGACGTCACCATCCACAGTGCTGGGCTGTACAGCTTCTTCCAACGCCTATTACCAGGACTGCATAGACACTCAAAACTGCCAGGAGCGCGTCCTCGAGGTTAAGGGGTCCACTGGTGTCGTCATCTACAACTTGTTCACCGTTGCCATCGTCGATGCAGCCAATTGGGGTGATAACGTCGACATTGTATGGGTGGGTACAGAAGTGTGGGAGACGCCGACGGTGACCTGCTCGTCGCCGCCCTGCATGCTGATCATGCCAACGAGCTCGCTGGCACAGGACACCACCATTACGCCTCGCAAATACAAAACGTCGTTTTAGTACGGCGGCTTTGTGACCACCACGATTGGCGGCATTGGGACCACAGTCTTCGTTACGTCCACGACCACAGTGACAATCACGATTCTCACCATTGTCACGAACGGCATCGGCTATTCCAACGTCAATGTGACGGCCGCGGGGCCGACGCCCATAACCATCTATCCCAGCATGGACATCCCGACCATCGGCGTCACATTGCCCGACGGCCACGGAGGCGAGACAACACGCACTATCACCCTCCCGCCATGGCCACAGGTGAACGGCGGGCCCACCGTCGATTACACAGACCCAGGCACCGTGCCCGTCGACACCGGCGGCAGCAGCGGCCTGGGTAAAGCCACCACGTACTATACACCCATCGACGTCCCCGTCATAGTGTCTGGCGCGACCGTTACGACGCTTACGTTCCCAGCCACGACTGGGGCCATCACCATCTCCTGCCCGGCCGAGACGTCCGTCATCTTTGCCACGCCACCCATTGCCGTTGCTACGACATGCACCAGCTCAGGCTCGCTAACCTTCAACTTTGTCTGCCCAACTACTAAGGTGGTCACCTTCCTTGCATCCACCATAGCGATGGTCTCCGTCGACTGCTCTCTAGTCACGACCTAGAGCACCGGCCAAGCCGCTTCTACCACGACGCCGCTGCCCATATGGGCAACCTGGCCTGTCTACGGCCAGATCATCCCTATTACGACGAGCATCGACAAACCGATGATGGCGTGGTTGTGCCTTGCGACGCGTGGTTCTTCTTCATCTGCATCTCGTGGGGAGAGCTTCATATCAACGCCTGGCACTGGGTCTTACCGCCGGGAATATACGGTCCCGACCCCCCACCCATCGGCCTGATCAGGTGGCCGTCTGGCATTACCATCAAAGGAAACCTGCCGAACTGGCTCAAGATCACCATCGGACGCGACAATCAGATCACGACGCGGGAGGGCGAGTGCGAGACACAGACGGCCGAGGCCTGCACCACCACAACTACGTCTCAGCCGACTCGACGCTCTCGTCGGCCTCCATGTGCGAGACCATCTCGGGCTGCTCTATAAGCGTCTCGGACGAGTCCACCACTGTCATTGGCAAGCAGACGCCGGCACCCATCGGCACCTGGCACGATGAGGTTTGGGCGACCATGACTCTGGGTGATGCCTATAGTAACTCAGTCTACGACGCCCTGAGCACGCAGATGGCCCGCGACGACGCCAACGGCGACGGCACGACGATTAGCTTCACGTCAGGGCCCACGGCCGGACCAACATGCGCGGGAGCTACCACTGCTTGCGGCGGCACAATTTTCTCTGGCTACTATTGCACGCCCACCCCGACCGGCTACCCGCCCGGCTCCCAGGTCCCCAGGGATCCCAGCTCGGGTGGCTACTCGGCGCCTACGACAGGCATCGGCGGCTCGACGACGACGACCAAACCGCCGACCAGCACCTGCACCGTCACTAACGTATGCAACTGCAACGAGAGCGGGTGCGACGCGTGCTCGCCGACTTGCTGCGCCAACGGCACGTGTGGTTCTGATGTGTGCACCATAACTGGCAAGTGTAACTGCAATGAGAGCGGGTGCGACGCGTGCTCGCCGGCTTGCTGCGCCAATGGCACCTGTGGGGACACCTCGGTAGCACCGCCAAAGTCGACGGCTGTTGATCGGTGCGCGAGCTTCGATTATGGGACGTGCGGGTCGCCGTTTGATGATGCGTGCTGCCGGACGTTTTGTAGCGTAGGTTAATTATCAAGATGGTAGGCGTGGCGGTGATGACCTGAGGAGCGGCGCTGATGCTGATGACAGCGTGGGAGATGTATGTATTCAACTAGCAGCTATATTCTATATAGAGATTGACAAATTGACCGTTGGTCGAGTTGGCCATTTCCCGTGAAGCTGAGGAACAGTTCTTATCTAAAGGACCAACATTGCCATCTTTCTATGGTGGGAGGTATAAGTAATGCGCCTCAGCTGGACTGTTTATGAGACAGTAGCTGAAAGCGTGTCTAGACTCTTATAGGTGGCGGAGCATCTTCGACTCAACTGAGTATGCTGGGCTTGATATAGTCGTGCCTTAGACTATGGGCACATCATCGAAGCACGCGTTACTCGAAGTTGAAGATATTGGCAACCCATGGCTAACTCGCCGTGACCATCGCCGTATAGTTGAAGATACGAATTCAAGCAGGGAAATTCCATGCCTCATAGCTGACTCGGATTGCGTGAAATATCACAAGAAATGGCGATATCACCATGGGAGCCGGATAACGGCACGTATACTGTAGACAACAGCCCTCGTTGATAGACAGAACAGTCATCTTAGGAAGGTGGCACTAGGACGCCGCAACAAAGTTTCTACACGAAACATTCCGTCTGATGCCAGCCAGGTTGCAGGTAGTGGCGCGCCAGCGCAGGTACACCGAGCTTCCTTCTTCTTCCGTAGTTGACACCGCCCACTAGTTAGTCTGATGCAACCCTCATATCCACAGGCGCGCATCAAGAAGACGTTCGGCGGTTCTCTTCTGTCTCTGTCAAATCAATGGCCCTTACTAGGGTCTGGGCATTCCTAAAAGAAGCTTTTATGTGGCTTTCCCTTGACGGTGAGCTTTGCGCTAGATCATGGAAGTGGCGTCGGCCAAGACCAACATCACAAGGGGAAGTCGGATGTGCAAATGTTGATGATGTGATGGCGATAATGCATTTGAGGAACGGGGGAGATGTCTGAATATGGGGAGTCGTTTGCGGTCTTCAGCTGGGACCTTGTCTAGCTTCTGATGGTGAGGTGATGGGCCGGCGAATGGTTTGTCCGTATTGGTTGTTCCTGACTGCGCTACTCGTACGGCCGCCTCACGCGCGCCTGCCGCCCCGAGTCCAGCAAGACTTCTCCGTCATAGGTGGGAGAGCAACATTTCTACTCTAATCCTTTCTTGATTGTTTACATAGTATAGGCTACTCTACGGAGGTTATGTCCATAGGTTCTTCTGAACATTACCTCCGTATATCACCCGTCCAGTTGATCTTCTCCGAGTTACCCTTTAATCTCCAACAAAAGCGCCGAAGGATGAAATTGTGGTAGATCCCGACAAGAGAGATAACTCCCCCCCACACGCCATTTCGTTTCCCCGTGGGTAGCAGCTTCCCCATCCTCTCGATACAAGATTTAATTCTGTTACACAGATAAGCCTTAATAGCCTCTTCTATACGGAGCAGAGACACACTGCTCCGTATAAGCCTTAATAGCCTCTTCTATACGGAGCAGAGACACACTGCTCCGTATAGAAGAGGCTATTAAGGCTTATCTGCCATACGCTATATGCTATGGATACTGATAATGGCCCGGCGGGGGACTGAACCCTGGCTGCATCGCAGACGTGCATCGTCCAAAGTGTACCTTGGCGACCACCGATCGTTATTACCATCCACCTGCCTACTTTGGGTCTTCTGCCGGCCAACACTCTTCGCACTAGGAAGATGTGTGTGAATATCGCCACAGCCTCAACCCTAACCTTCTCCTATCCACGCATTTGATTTGTGTCATGGGTGCCATCAGGGCCGCACGCGCAGTAGAACCGGTGGACCCGGGTCATCTCCAAAAGACCGCAGATCCAAATATCACATGCCACACCCACGTTCTGACGCTACAGTCAGGCACTACTTATCAACTACCGTGAACTTAGTCGGCAGTTCATTAACCTTCCAGTTAGAGAACAAAGGACCGAAGACCGGCCTACCACATGAGGGAGGTTGCTAGCCAAGCCAACGTCCGGAGAGTTGATCGGCGGCCCGGCGCCATGATGTTTCCTTGGCCCAAAGCTTGTGTCAACCTTTGCGCAACATCATCATCTCTGTGATGGACCATTGTGACAATGGAGGGGATCTATAAAGGGGCCGCGATGGAACGTTTCCAGATCCCTTCGACACCCCCTCATCCAGTCTTCTCTCCACATCTCCATCCAAGCCTCAAGTCAATCCACCATCAAAATGGTTGCCGCCAGCAAGCTTGCTCTGTTCGCCACCGCCGCTGCGAGTGTTGCCGCCGCTCCTGTCGCCGCCCCTGCCGCCGCGAAGTCCTTCAGCGTCCCCGCCGTTCACAACGCCAACTACCAGCGCAATGGAACGCTTGCCTTGCTTAAGGCTTACGCCAAGTACGGCCTGACTCCCTCCGAGCCTGACAGCATCATCAACCTCCTTCTCGGAGGCCTCGCCAAGCGCCAGGACGGCACGGTCCCAGCTAAGCCAGACTCCCAGAACGTCGAGTACATCTGCAAAGTCACCATTGGCGGACAGACCTTGAACCTCGACTTCGACACTGGAAGCGCCGATCTGTAAGTTGTTTGCGCAAGGATGAGACGTGGGAAAAGTAGCTCATATTTCTAGCTGGGTCTTCTCCACCAGCCTGCCCGCGACTTCGAAAAATAACCACAACGTCTTTGACCCTACCAAGAGCTCTACCTGGCAGGAGATGTCTGGCGCATCCTGGAGTATTCAGTATGTTGATGGCAGTGGATCTTCCGGTACCGTCGGCACCGACACTGTGACCATTGGTGGCACTACCGTCCAGGGACAGGCTGTTGAGATTGCCACCGATGCTTCCGCCCAATTCATCGCTGGCGCCAACGATGGACTCCTCGGACTGTCATTCAGCAGCATCAACACTGGTATGTTTTCTTTGTCTATAGTTTGCGCCGGCCCGCAAGGATGTTCACTGACAATTTGTTTCCACAGTCCAGCCAACCCAGCAGAATACCTTCTTCGATAACGCCAAGGCCAGCTTGGACAAGCCCCTGTTCGCGGCCTACCTTCCCCTGCAGGCAAGCGGTGCCTACGACTTTGGCGCCATCGACTCCAGCCGCTACACCGGCGAGGTTGCCTACACCTCTGTCGACAACACCAACGGCTGGTGGGAGTTCCCCAGCACCACCTACAAGGTTGGATCCCAGGCCTTCAGCTCCGCAGGCTACACCGCCATTGCTGGTAAGTTTCTTTTCTGCCCATTCTCCCAGCCTCACCACTAATGCTTTCCAGACACCGGAACCACCCTGCTCCTCATGGGTGACGAGCAGGTCACCAACTACTATAATAACGTCCCGGGCTCCAGGTTGGACAACAACCAGGGCGGTTACGTCTTCCCCTGCAGCGCCACCCTCCCATCTCTCTCTGTCGCCATCGGTGATGCCGGTGATGCCGTCATCCCCGCCAAGTACCTCAACTTCGGCCCGGCTGGCCACAGCGACACGGACTGCTTTGGTTCTCTCCAGTCATCTGGTAACGGCCAGCAGAACGTCTACGGTGACGTCTTCTTCAACGCCTTCTACGGTGTCTTCGATGCCAGCGGACCCCGCTTCGGTTTCGCTGCCACCGCATAAGGGATGAATGCATGGGAGAGACTGATGGAGGTGGGCTTTTGACTTTATGGAATTGGCTTACCTCGTCGATCGGGGGATATGTTGGGGGGCTTGAGTTGGATTGGATTGAATTGGATGAGGTGATGTGGGGGGTTTTGTATCCTACTTGGTTTATTCTGCGGCGCAGAATAAACATTACATACAGTACAGTTCAGTAAATACAACATTCATGATTAAAAAAAAAAGGGAAGACGACGTGCACTCCAAAATTTGACAATTCGCTTATATGCCACAGCCAATTTCGCGATGAGACATTCCTGATCTGACAGCAACACCGTAAAACAAACCCCCCAGCCAAGACCCGGCACCCGCTTCCGACGCAGCACCGTGGAGGCGGCGAGACACAAGGGCAGGTTTGAGGGGGTGGATATCCACCCCCCCTCCCCCATCGTCAACACACTGATGATAAATCCTCGCACCACCCACTCACCCACCCCTACCTGCTCCGTAATCACACACGCCCTCGCTCTCCTGTCGTGCAACAGCCAGTCCCCGGGATACCGCTCTCGCACTGGCGCGACCCGGGTCTCTGCGGTGGGCGGCGGCTGTGCTGCGGTGTTGTGTGTGCGGTGTGGTGGTGGCGGAGGCGCAGGCGGGAGGGTGCAGGTGCGCGTATGTATGTGTGTGTGTGTTGGTTTGTGTTGCTGTGGTGGTGGGGTTGGAGAAGAAAGGAGATCGGACGACTTGCCTAGCACCTACCTTTCTAGTTCTTTGGTCGACCCCTTAACCCGTCCCCGTCCCCGTCCCCGTCCCACTCCCCGTCCCCGTCCCACTCCCCTCGTAAACAAACAACCCCAGACCAACCGGTAAGGAGTCTCCTCGGTCTCGCCGCCGCCCTCCGTCCCCCCTCAGCGCGGCAGGGACACGCAGCCCAAAACCTGTGTGTAACGGTCAGCGGCCAGATTAGCAAGCAAGACATTCACGGCATCGTTGGGGCCGACCACCAACAGCACATCACAGCACATCACAGTACATGACAGCCTGTCGTCGTCAGCTGTGTCGTCGTCTGTGTGGGCTGGGCTTGAGGGATGGGACAGAGGTAAGTTAACTTGGTGGATGGAGGCACGGAATGGTCACAGGTACAGGAGGGTTGGTGAAGATATCACAGGGGGGGAGAGATGTCTGAGATATTGGAGGTGTCTGAGATATGGAAATGTCTGAGATATTGGAAATGTCTGGGATATTGGAAATGTCTGGGATATTGGAGATGTTCGAGATGAGACATGCAGCAGAGACATGGGTACTTGTGCTTTCCATTGTGACATCCTCGGCTGTTGCGTGAATTACTTGTCCGCTGCAGAATCCTAGGCGGGAGAGAGAGCTAAAAGCCATGTGACTTGAACCCTGCTTATGTACCTCTGTCGTAGGCCAAGGTATCCATCCATCCATCTCCCCTCATCTCATAATCCCGTCTTTGTATTTCTGTATGGCAGAAGCAGAAGCAGAAGCAGATGCTATTTTCTGCTTATTACTTCATACTACTACTACTCGTACTCTCGTAATTAAATGGTTCAGATGCTGCGTACTGATGATGATATTTGTTATGGATTGGTTTGTATGTACTACCCTGGCTGTATGTTGTATGTATATGCTCTTTCCCTCTCTCTCTTTTATATACTCTCTCTTTTTATATACTTCTCTTTTATATACTCTCTCTTTTATATACTCTCTCTCTTATATACTCTCTCTCTCTCTCTCTCTTATATATTCCCTCTCTCATATACTCTCCTCCCCCATTATCAAAACATCAAGGCCCAGTCACAGTCACAGTCACAGGCACTCACAGTCACAGGCAGATACTCTTCCAACGTGCGGGGTTCCTCCCACGACTGATATAAAAAACCCCCAAAAAAGGAAAAAAAAAAGGAAAAAAAGGGAGAAAAAGGGAGAAAAAGGGAAAAAAAGGGAAAAAAAGGGAAAAAAAGGGAAAAAAAGGAAAAACATCCCCTGCCCTGTTTTACAGATTTGATTTCCTCTTCGTCTCTTTTCAGCCCTCCCTCAGCCCTTTTTTGTTTTTTTTTCGCATGCGGCCTTCGCCCAAGCACGAAAGAAATAGCGCGCCCCAACATCTATCTGTCTTGACCTAGGAACTGACACAGCTGACACAGCCAGCCATCACAGTCTACTCGACTCCCACCACCACCACAAATCCACACACCAAAATCCTCCACCACCTCCACCTCCACCACCTCCACCACCCATTTCTACCTTCTTCCTAGCTCCGATCCACGCCGGCAATTGCTCCATTGGCCTACCTACCATTACTCGTACATTACACATTACACATTACCCGCCACAGCCACAGCCACAGCCTCACCCATAACCACATCACTCTCCACTCTCCACTCTCCACTCTCCACTTCACTCTCCACTCTCCACTCTCCACTCAATCCCACCACCTCCAACTCCAACTCCCCCCCAGCTTGCATCGCATCGCCGAGGAGCGCTTGCCAAAACCCCGCTCTCCCCCCACCCTCCCCTTCCCAACCGCCGACGCCGACGCCGACGCCGATACCGAGCAACACAGGAAGACCTCACAAGACAACCAACAACCCCCTCGGCCTCGCCAATGCGATGCCCGCATGCACGTCTGACTTCGCCACCACATCCCCGACCACTCCCCACGCGCACGCGCAGCTCGGCACGCCCCGCGCCTGCACGCGGGTAGCTGCATTCCAGCCACCCAGGCAGACGCAAGCAACGCACAGCGGCGGCACGACACCACGACACCACGACACCACGACACCACGACACCACGACACCACGACACCACGACACCACGACACCACGACAGCGACGACGGACGACGCGCGTGACGGATCCAGCGACGGCACAGGGGCAAGGAATCTGAGAGGCTGAGCAGAGAGACCAGGACCGAGAAAAGGACGGCGGAATTGCGAAAGGACAGGACACAGGGCAACGGTTCGGGCTTGCGAGCTGTACGAGCAGAGAGCTGTAGACGTGGCCGGCACGCACGGAGGAGGCGCATCTTATGCTGCGTAACCCGGTCTGAACGACACGGGCCAGGCGAGGCGAGACGGACAGCGAAAGGCCGCGACAACGTGTTGGACGCGGGCCAGGACCGGCTGGGTACAGCGCACGAGCTTCAGATACACGGCGCGGTGTGCGACGGACCGACTTTTTTTTTTTTTTTTTTTTTCGCGTAGGCTGGTCTGTCTGCTGCCACGGCACGAGACGGCTCGGGAAGGGGATAGGCGCACGACGCTTTCTCCGCGAGACGGGGGGTAGAGAAAGTGGACGTACTGACTGCCCTTGCGTTGTGGGGTGTAACGTCGCTTTTTTTTTGCGTGGGCAGAGAGAGGGAAGAGGGATTCGGGGTGTGATTTAAGACATTGGATAACCCGGCGACGGGAAGATAGCTACGCTGTAGCGACAAGACGTGAAGATGCCGGGAAACGAGAGCGAGATTGTAGACGATTCGTCTGATGTCGCGTCTGAGAATGAGTATGATGCGAGAGAGGAGCATGATGAGGGAGGGCCGGGGGGCGCGGCGCATGATGGGCAGAATGGCAGTAGTGAGGGGAGGGAAACCAAGAAGCCGAAATTGGATCCCAAAGATCCACTGAGGCCGAGGAGGAAGAAGGCGAGGAGGGCATGTTTTGCATGTCAGAGAGCGCATCTTACTTGTGGTATGTTTTCCCACGTGCTAGATAATTTTGTCTGTGTGGTCAAATCTCCTTGTAGTCTGATTGTCTCGGATAGCTGCCTATTATTATGGGTAGATGATTTCCGACGATAGAACACTGACATTCCATAGGCGACGAGAGACCGTGTCAACGCTGTATCAAACGCAATCTCGCAGATGCGTGCCAAGACGGCGTCAGGAAGAAGGCAAAATACCTTCACGATGCTCCTCCAGAGGCACTACGACCAGTGCTTGGGGCTAACTACAACGCCGGGCGCAATGGACGAACACCGAGCCAGGCGCCAACTACCGCGGCGTCCGACTCTTCCCCCGGAGTCGGCGGATTCTTCCCGCAGGTCAGCACATCGCCGACGTACACTATGCCATTCCAGCAGATCCGGCACCCTCAAATGGCGCCTCCGATGCCAGACACGATGCCGTTCATGACGAACCCATCGCCTCTATCCCCCAGCTTCGCAGGAAACCAGCAGCTGCGGGGTCTAGGCAACTCCATGACCCCCGCCAAGATCGAGATGCAAGAAACGAACCCCTTCGCAAACGCGCTCTTCGACCCAAGCAACCCCGCACTCTTCAACTTCGACCTCGACTCCCTCAACTTCGGCAACCACTACGGCGCCATGGAATTTAGCATGCTCAACCACATGTCCTCCGGCGCCGCCGAGACCCCGCCACAAGACCAACCGGGCTCCTCCCACGGCGGCTCCTTCGACGCGGGAAACATGTACAACAACGCCACCGTGCAGTATAACCAGCTCTACCCCCAGCAGTGCGACGCCATGCTCTCCGACTACGGCAGCCTCACGCGCCAGGACTCGAGCGGGAACGTCTACAACCTCCCGCCATCGCACCACCTCCCGCGCGCCTTTGCCATCGAAACCGGGCCCATGAGCAACGCGAGTCCCAGCACAGACGCCAACGCGTCGCCGCAACAATCCTCTCTAATCTTCGACACGAGTCCCAAAACCTCGTTCACGAAATCCGCGGCGCCGCGGACTGCTAAGCGTACAAACCAAGGGGACGCGCCACAGAAGCCTGTCCCGAAATTCCAGAGCATTATGGCGCCGACGAAACGCGGGCGGGACCCCTCATCCATCTACTCCTCCGTCACAGAGCCGTACTCCTACACCACCGGCTTCCACGCCCTCACGGCCTTCATCCAGCGCCGCTTCTCCGCCAACGCGACCCTGCGCATCGCCAAGTCGCTCGGTTCCATCCGCCCGAGTTTCATCAGCTGCACCAAGACGCTGAACCGCGAGGATCTCATCTTCATGGAGAAGTGCTTCCAGCGCACGCTCTTCGAGTACGAGGATTTCATGCGCGATTGCTCGACGCCTACGCTCGTGTGTCGGCGTAGTGGAGAGGTGGCGGCGGCGAATAAGGAGTTTAGTCTGCTCACGGGGTGGGGGAAGAATGTCCTGATGGGGAGGGAGAAGAACGAGAATGTCAACCGCGGACGCGCGGGGGATGCGAGCGCGGGTAGTTCGCAGGGCGGGCGCAGCGGGATGGCGACGCCGAGGATGACGAGGCCGGCGGCGATGGATGTGCAGCCGGGTAGGCCGTCGTATGTGTTACTCGCCGAGCTGATGGATGATGATTCCGTAGTTGAGTTCTACGAGGATTTCGCGCGGCTAGCGTTTGGAGACTCGAGGGGGAGCGTGAGGAGGAAGTGTAAGCTGTTGAAGTATCAGACGAAGGGAGGGGGGGGGGCGGTGGGAGGTGGGGAGGGGCCGAGGGAGGAGAGGCCGTTGGGGGAGAGGGTTAGTAGGATTGATGGGGAGTGGGGGATTGGGCGGCTGGAGAAGAATGGGAAGCTGGATTGCAGTTATTGTTGGACGGTTAAGAGGGATGTGTTTGATATCCCTATGTTGATCGTCATGAACGTGAGTATCCCCTCTTTCTCACACCCACGCAGAGAGCAAAGCTAACACACCCCAGTTCCTCCCATGCATCTAATCCGCCTCACAACAACCATCACCCCCACGCCAACCCACCCCCCGATCTATCGGCGCCTCACTCTCCGCGGCCCAGCCCGCTCAGAAAACGGGAATCTGCATAGTCACACCTGACGACGACACCGGCCATCAGCATATAAAAGCTGCACAGATGCAGCAGCACAGCGCCGCGTCCAAGCATATATCAGCGCGCAGCGTGTGGGGGTATGGGGTAGGGCCGTGACACAATGACATGGCGGCACGCGACCGGCCTCGGCGCCGTGGAACGGGTGCGCGAGTATGTGGCCTCGCGAAGGGGGCCGTAGCGTTCGCAAATTCGCGATATATAGAGGTGCGACTGCCGTTCTCACGGCCCAGCATTGCGCCGCGTTTTGCATTGTCTTTCATTGGGTTTTTTTTTTTTTTTTTTTTTCAAAGTTTTCTTGTTTCTTTGGTAATAGGATGCATTGGAAGTGGCCGCATTGTGGGAGAGAAGACGACATGCATTTGGAATTGGCATTAGGAATTAGGGTTAGGCATCTTGGATTAGGAGGGGTGGAAACAGGTTCACGCCCCTCTACTACATCCACCCTCGTTATGACGGGGTGGCAAGAGGGGGGTGGAAGGTATTTAAAAAGTTTGGGATATGGCATAGTCTCCCTAAGCTGGGAGGGACGGGTGGACAGACACGGGACGGGGGAATACAAGATAGTCGAGGTCGAGAGAGAGATAAGAACTAGGATAGGAGGAGGACAGAGGGTGGTGGTTAGTGTATGGAATCAATTCATTCTAGAACGATTATAACCCATCCCACCCAGCCAACTATATCTGTTCCCTCCCCAAACACCCCCCGCGTCACCAACCAGCACCTCACTCCTCCTCCCCCCACAACCACCCATCCGCCCTCCTCTCCCTCCACGCCTCCCTCTCCAGACTCCTCTCCGCAACCGCCATATCCTCCCTAATATCCTTGACCAAGCTCTCCTTATCGACGTAATCGTATTCCGGGCGGATGTAGCCGAGGATGCTCAGGGCCATTTGGGAGCCGTAGAAATCGGCGGGGAAGGAGTGCATTATGTGGACTTCCTGTTTGCGCGTCAGTATACACCGCTGGGCTGATGGAGGAGGAAGGGTGATGAGGGTGGGAGGGGGAAAAGGGGGGACAAACAGCAGACCGCAAAGTATTCCCATAAAACGGGTTATACCCAATCGACATCACCATAGGAAAGACCCTCCACCCCTCCTTCCTCCTCTCCTCCGGCACTAATTCCGCAGCGTCTTCATCGGCATCCTTGTCGTTCGCGGGGTGCGAAGGGTGCGAGGAGGAGAGTCGGAGGGAGGCCCACCCGAAGTAGACGCCTGAGTCGGCGGTGGAGATCCAGGGCGCGGAGGTGACGGGGAGGTTGGCGGTTGGGATGCCGAGCTTGGGGGGTTAGGGGGGTGGTTGGATTCGGGGAGGGGAGGGAGGGAAAGGAGGGAGAGGGGGGGACGGACTTGTTTAGAACCCCTCCCAAAACCCTTCTCAACCGCGCCGCGCAGGCGGAGGGGGTAGGGTGCTTCGGGGCCGGAGGCGGGGCCGATGATGGTGGCGCGGGGTTCTTTGATTGCGGGTGGCATTTTTGTGGGTGTTTGGGAGGAGGTATTGGGGTGTTGCGGTAGGAGGGGGGGTATAGGAGGAGGTATTGGGGTGTTGCGGTAGGAGGGGGGGGTATAGGAGGAGGTATTGGGGTGTTGCGGTAGGGAGGGGGTATAGGAGGAGGTATTGGGGTGTTGCGGTAGGAGGGGGGTATAGGAGGAGGTATTGGGGTGTTGCGGTAGGAGGGGGGTATAGGAGGAGGTATTGGGGTGTTGCGGTAGGAGGGGGGGTATAGGAGGAGGTATTGGGGTGTTGCGGTAGGAGGGGGGTATAGGAGGAGGTATTGGGGTGTTGCGGTAGGAGGGGGGGTATAGGAGGAGGTATTGGGGTGTTGCGGTAGGAGGGGGGGTAAAGGAGGAGGTATTGGGGTGTTGCGGTAGGGAGGGGGTATAGGAGGAGATAGGAGGAGAGCTTTGGAACTGGGGAGCTGGAGGTGAGGTGGGGTAGTTAACATAATCGTGGGTCGAATAACCCACCGCTAGGCGGCGGGCGCAAGCGAGTTGCATCGCCCCAGATTTCTCAACCACCCAATTTGTATTGCAATTGAATCGTAGACTATGGGAAATATTTTACCACTACAAGTATGAAAACGCATCTTGAATTGAATCTTCATCTTCTTCGTCTTCTGACGCAATTGAATCACGGCCCTACATATTTGTGCCTTCGAATGATATGAAATCCTGTTGCGACGTAAATTCCTGAAGTCCTGGATCAATGACACCAATTGCACCTAGTTCCTCGTATTCAAATGAGACCCCATTAAATTCTGGGAGGGATATAAGAGCTTCCTTAACCTGTATATCAATCTCTTTATCGGTTATAAGCTTTTCTGGGTCCGGGATTGGATTGAATAGCTCAATAGGAATAGCTTCTTTCCTCCATTTGAAGTTTAGAATTGTCCTTTGACGTTCCTTCTCTGATTTCCGTGCAGCAACCCCTTGGATATGATACTTCTTCTTAATCTTATTTGTTGTAATTTGTATAAGATATTGTCGTCTTTTGATCCTATCAACCTGCTCCTTTTCACGCTTGTTTTCCTGGGTCTGTCGTGCCTGAGTTCCTGTAAGGACCCCTCCTTTTTGTAAGACCTTCCGATTCCCTCGAATCCTAGACTTCTGTTGATTTTGAACCCTATTATGAAGGTCTTCGTACTGCCGGTCCCGGACTTCTGCAGTCAGAAGGACGTTCTGGACCCCTCGTATTGTAGAGTCGATTTTCCGGCGTGTAGGACTACTAAATATATCAATCTTCTCTGAGATTTTTGATGCTATTTCTTGAAGAGATCTCTCAGCTTGAACACCTCTTACTGGTGTTTGAGGACAGGGTAATTCAATCGCTGTCGCCATTGCCATTGCCATCGCTGGTACCATATACGTCCTCATTTTCTTAAGCGCTTTCTGGCAATTAATTGGCCAGATCCCAGACTTTCGGAAGGCACCTTGAATAGTCTCTTTTTTCATAGTCTTTTCCCTGATTTCCGTTAAGTCCCGGAAGAACGATGAAACTGTATATTCAATATCTAGACGCCGGGTTGCATCTTGTACAGCCTTCCGGTGCCAGTGTTTATATGGCTGAAAAACACCGACATCAAGAGGTTGAAGAACATGCGTCAAGTGGCTAGGAAAAGGAAACGGGTGTATATTAGCTTCTGTAGCTTTAATAATAAACTCCGGGGTCATATGACTACCGTGTTGATCCATTAATAGAACCCTAGGACGTGTGTTTGCCCCAGCTTGTATATGAAGAATCAAGTGATCAAGATATTCAAGAGCTAATTGGGAGTTGATATATCCGGAATCAGACATTAATACCCTTGTATTTCCGTCTAATAAGGTATACCAATTCGTCATATGATTCACACCTTGTACAATTAGAACAGGAGGAATAGTTGTTCCATTTGCAATAATCGATTCTATAACGGTAATAGAACGTCGATTTTCAGGGCTAGGTGTATACAATGGCTATAGTTTATTGGCTATACTATATTTTATATTATAACTGGAATATACATACATCTACTATCCAGGTAGGGACAAGAATATCTTCTCCAGAAGCTACTCCAATTTGAAACCCAGCTTCATCAAAATTGATAATATCACCAGGCTGAATATCATGGGCTTCGCACCAAGTCATCCAATTCTTGAACCAATCCTGTACATCCTTAACATCTTGTGCACCGACTCGGTTTCGTGCAATTGGCTTTGTTTTTAGTGTATGAAGAAAACCCGGGGTTGTTTTTATGTAGTTTTGAAACCATCGCCAGGACGGTCGCGGTCTGCCTTCTAGATCCTTTAGGTATTCGATTATCGCAAAGACCATCTGTTTCGTAGCCCGAGGCCTGTCCTGTGCATATCGTCATTCTCGTCAGGATTGGCAGTAGCCCAGGCAATTGCCTGGGCTATAGCCTCTTCGTATTCGTGGGTTGCAGGTGGTGGCATTGTTCAAGGTTCAATTGCAATACAAATTGGGTGGTTGAGAAATCTGGGGCGATGCAACTCGCTTTCGCGATGCAACTCGCTTGCGCCCACCGCGTAGTGAAATTCCACTAACCAAATTAGCGCCCGCCCACCAACCACCAGCGCCGGGCCAACCCCCACATCCCAGCCTCGCGTGTCAGCCTCCTCCGTTTCCCAGCGAACCGAGTCCTCGCCCCTGCCACATCATTATGGCAACCACCAGCGTACAAAAGGTTGCTTGGGGGACCACAGCTGGGTAAAACTGTCAAGAATCTACTCCAATTTACTTCTGGTTTACGGATTGAATTAAGAGTCTGATATTGTTATTATTGTCGCTATTACTATACTACTTGCTACTGCTTAACCTACCGAGTGAGAGTATCACTTACACGCAGTTGCACTGTGGATACCAACCAGTACGTCTCCAAGCTCACCACCTCATCCCAACTCCGCCTTTCAAAGAGTCATTCACTAACATACCTTCCTACAGCTATATCAATCCACACTCTCAGTCTCCCAACCACACACACACACAACCGCAACCATGCAACAAAACGTCACCATCGCCGTGATCATCATCATCCTCTTCATCATCATCACCGCCCTCGCCTACGGCATCCACCGCCTCATCCACGCAGCCGGCGGCAACGGCTCCAGCTCAAGCGGCAGCGACTCCCTCGTCGATGACGACTGATCTACTCGCCGGAGCTACAGGGACGATGGAAACGATGCATGAGCGACGAGAACGGCACCCGCTCCAAGCCTCACAAAAACAGAGGCTTCGAAACAGTTTGAATTGTCAAGGTGCAGATGGGAAATGGGATACTACAATGGGATGGATACTGGGATGGCATTGGATGAAGCGTTTGTTTTTGTTGTATAGCGAGCATATCGGCTGGCGTTTTGGGAATATATGAGCGGATTTTGTGGGCCGGTGACCCGGGAGGGGCCTGGCTATGGCGAAGATTTGTTATGATTAGATAGATATGAGGTATATACCATGATCTTTATGGGATCTGAGGGCTGGATGGGTGGGAGGTAGGTATCGGGGGGGGGGGGGAAGAAAATATGAATATCACTACACTCAATTATTGCTGTCTTTGTCTCGTTTGATGAGTGTGAATGTCAGGAATAATAAGAACAGGATTGCGTAGGATAACATGCTTGCCATTGAGAATTCATTATACAGTACTTGGGTATCTATCCTTACAAACTCCTCGCCACGCTCCATAATATATCCCTCTCTCAGCTCCAGCCAGCCATTGGAAAATGCAGCCCCAAACACGCCAAATAACCCCACTTCAATGCTTCGTCTTCGAAAACTTCTTCCCCTTCCCCTCAAACAAGCTCTTCACCTTCCTCAGCCTCGCCCACCTCTCCTTATCCTTCTCATCCCTCAACTTCTCATACTCCCCCTCATCCCGCGCATCCCCTTCCGTCTCAACATGCGTCTCCCCCGCACCAGTCGCGGCACCCTTGTCCCCCTTCCCTGCCTCATCCTGCTTCCGAACCTTATCCTCCCTCCCAATCGCCTCTCCTAAAATCGCCCAGATCGGCTTTCCTCCCGCTGCACCCCCATTCTGACTCCCCGCATTAACCCACGGACAATACTCCTTATGGCATTCGAGCGGATTAAGCGCCGCCATAGCAGCCGCGCGCTCTACTCCCGGGCTCCCATCCGCAGGCTTACTCGTCTTAGGCCTGTATAGCCACAGCCCCACGGTGCGGAAACAGACACGGCAGTCCGCCGATCCGAGTTTCGGGACATGCGCTGGGCGCGCGGTGAACCCGAAGAGGGCAAGTAGGAGAGCGACGCGGTTCAGCGGCGCCTCCGATGATGCATTTACCGGGAAGGAGCGCGGGAGTTGTGCGATAATAGCGTCGAGGTCGTAGGTTGGTGGGAGGAGGAATACGGATTCAGCTGGAAGGAGAGCAGCCATGGGGAGGAGCGAGTCGTAGCGTGACTTTAGGGCCTGGAAGGTGGTGGTGATGGGGTAGATGGGCTGCTTGAAGATGGATTCGTCGCAGCCGCGTTTGCGCCAGGGGCAGAGGACGTCGTGGGAGGTTATCATTAGGTCGGCGTATTTGTCTACTAGTGCTTGTTCTGCATGTTGTTAGCTTCTGTGGCCTTCTAGCAAGTATTGAGGGGGGCAGGGTGAGCATACCAATGTCACTCTCCATCCCGGCAAACTTGATAAGCTTCCCATTCTCATCCTCCTGCTTGTTTAGCTTGACCATGATCTCGACGCAGCAAGTAACACAGCGCACGCGCTCGAGGCGCTGGCACGCCCAGCCGCGCTTTGCCCACGCAACCTCGTTGACCTTTGGCGGCTTTGGCATCCAATCCGTCAAGTTGCGGAAGGTAGCAAGACGCTCGAGGAAGTCCTCGCGGTCGCCGGGGAGGAAGGATGGTTTCGTGACGGGCTCGTCGGTTCCACGCGCCTTGGCCGAGTTGGCGGCCGCGAACTTCAAATCAGTCTTGGACATCCTGGCAACTGCAGCTGTACGGGATGAGGTGGAGAGGTTGGGCGAGGAGATTGAGGAGCGGGGGAAGGCGCCATCGTAGGATGTTCGGGCCTGTTTGGTGGTGTGTGTGAGATCGGAGGACGAGCTGCCGATGCTGTTTAGCAGCGCATTGAACTTGCGCTTTGTGTTGTTCATGTCTGTAAATGAATCGTCCGAGCTGGCGGAGGAGTTTGAATCGTCGATCCAAAAGGACGCGGTGTCTTCGAGCCAGATGGAGGAGGATTCATCAACCCAAAAGGGAACTGCTTCGATCTGGGTGATCAACTGCTGGAGCTCTTCTTGGAGAGACCAGCTTTTACTGGGGTCAAAGGTCATTGTTGTCGGAGGTTCGGAGCGGGTTTATCCGTTATTCAAGGTATTGGATTACAGTACCTCAGAAAAAGGAACGCCTATGTCGTTAGTGATGTAGTTTATTTTGAAGTGACGGAAGAGATCCCTTATGTTCAATTGTAAACCTTTACGTTGTTAGAAGAATTTATGCTGTCCTCGAGTACAAGTCGAACCGCTTATAGATTTTTACCAAGGTCACTTATTATTTTTTCCCTCTTTGTCGTGACGCTGGCCATCATAGTCCGCATCTCCCTCCTCTCAGTTCACCTTGCCCCACTTCCACGTCTTCTATCAACAACAACGAAGATGGCAAACACATATGAGAAGGAGCGCCTGGTCGCCGAGCTTGCTGTTACAAGAGCTGCAATTCTCACCAAGAAAGTCTTCCACGAGAAGGCGAAGGGAACCCTCAACAAGGACGACAAATCCCCCGTCACCATTGGCGACTTCGGCGCCCAAGCTCTTATTATTCAGGCAATCAAGCATGCCTTCCCCGAAGACCAGGTTGTAGGAGAGGAGGAGGCGAGCTCGTTGAGGGAGGATATCAAGCTACGGGACCAGATTTGGGAGCTTGTCAACAGCACACGGTTAGACGATGCCGAAGCCGAGAAGCTCATCGGTGGGCCGATCCCGACTGTAGAGGCTATGCTCGACGCCATTGATGCTGGCAACAGCACTGGAGGTGATAAGGGAAGGATATGGGCACTGGACCCAATCGACGGAACAAAGGGCTTCCTTAGAGGTGGACAATACGCCGTCTGCCTCGGGTTCATGGTCGATGGAGATGTCAAAGTGGGAGTTCTGGGCTGCCCGAACCTGCCCACCGACGACTCCGCACCTCTGATACAAGATGCTGGAAAGGATCAGACAGACTCGGAGGGCAAGGGTGTCCTTTTCTCGGGTGTCCTGGGTCAAGGTGCGACCAGCCGACCCCTCACTGCCGGTGCGCTAGCAAAGAGCCAGCCGATCCGCATGAGCGAGAAGAAGGACATCACCGATGCCACTTTCTGCGAGAGTGTTGAGGCTGGCCACTCATCTCACGACGACCAATCTCAGATCGCCCAGAAGCTGCAGATCAGCAAGCCGAGCGTGCGGATGGATTCGCAGGCCAAGTATGCCTCGATCGCCCGTGGCGCTGGGGATATTTACCTGAGACTTCCAACCAGCGCAACGTACCAAGAGAAGATCTGGGATCACGCTGCTGGAGACCTGATTGTTCGAGAGGCGGGAGGACAGGTTACGGATTCACTAGGCAGACGTCTGGATTTCAGCAAGGGTAGAACTTTGGCTGAGAATAAGGGTGTCGTTGCCGCACCACAGGCTCTACACGCACGAGTCCTTGAGGTTGTCAAGGAGGTCCTTGGCAAGAAGGGAAACCTATAGCAGATATGAACAATTGAAATAGATTCTACATATCGTATAACTATCCGCTTGGGACCCTCCAATTCTATGACAATATAAGAGCAATATAATACATGGACGAATCGTCTATTTGATCTTCTTGGCCTTCAACCTGATCGTCTCACCGTTGACGAAAATTCCCTTCCCCTTGTATGGCTCAGGCTTCCTCCACTGGCGGATTTCCGCAGCAAACTGCAGAACCACTTCCTTCTCCGGGCCCTCCAGCAATATTCTCGTTGGCTGCGGTGTGCTGGCCGTCATGCCCTTCGGCACTGGCAACTCGATAGGATGTGAGTAGCCCACCTTCAGGGCCACGAACTTCTGGCCTTCATATTCTGGCTGCTTGGTGGTGGCAGTATCTCCGACTGAGGCTCTGTAACCGACTCCGACCAGGCGGAGAATGGCGTTGTGTCCTTCTGAGACTCCGAGGATGTGGTTTTGGAGATAAGCTCTCGTGGTGCCTGGATATCAATGTAAGCACTGCGCCCTCAACCGGGTTCAATTATAGCACACCCCACATCTCCCTCTGCTTGCGAACCTCCCTGTCCTCGACAGTGACAAATGCCTTCTTCGTAACGGTATCATGCTCGATATGGACAAACGGCGGAATTGTCATCGACAGCGACCCAAGCGGGCCCTCGACCTTGACGGTCGGCCTTAGCTGCTCCGGCGACGGGCGCGCATTCTTCGGCGCAGTAGGGTAAATGACAGAGAAGTTGACCTCGGAAGGAATCGATAGGGGTGCTCTGCCGATTTGCGACTGTGTCGAGGTGGTCGCAGAGAAGGCTCTGGCTGAGGATTGGAAGGCCGGGACGAGGAAGGTGGGGATGGTTATGGATGGGCTGGAGCTGATCGCCCTTAAGGCTGCCCCTCGACTTGTTGAGAGCATGGCGGCAGCTGCTTTGTGGAGACAATTGCTGCTCTTGCTGTCTTCGGGATATTCTATGGGGATGCTCCTCAGAAGTTCTATGGATGGCGCTAGTGCCAAAATTGTGCACGTGACTTCGCGATTCCCCCACCAGACATCCGTCGCGTCTCCCCAACTGGATAAAACTAAGCCATTGAGAAATAAAGCCTCATAATATTCGCTCCAAACCTTGGGGTTATGGGATATGGAGCCCAATACGTCCATTATTTGAATGATCTCCGATAAATTCCAGGTAGTAGCGTAAGTCTCGTTGATTCCACGTCCCGTCTCTCAAAACCCAGTCAGTGTTTCCGCGTCTCACTTGGGAAAGACTGGGGACTGCTCTCAAAAGTTTCATATCTCCAAAACGGTCCTCAAGTTGGCAAGGAGTTTCTATTACAGTTTTTCTACCGGTCTTCACTTTTTACTCTATCGGCGCCTCATAATTATCTCTCCTCCGCCACGTTTGTCACATTTATTCTTTCCGATCTCGTGCAACGTCATCTTCGTGGTCTTAATCAATTACAAGACTCTCTTCCTGCCTTTCTTCAATCTGTCACTCAGCATTTGATACCATTGAAGTTGATCAGTCTGACTCGTCCGCCATCTGCTGGTATGCCTCGTGGCAAGCCTCCAGCCAAGAAAGCTCCACCACCGAGGCTAACCTTCACGACTACAGCAAAATGAAGCCATCCATAATTCTACTTTGGGTCCTACTACTGGGCGAAGGCTGTACAGCATCAATCTGGCGAAGATATATTGATGAGGACGCCATTACTCAGAAACCTATCATTGGTGGTCAGTCTCCACGTCATTGAGGCGGAAAATGGATCTAACGACTGTCATAGGCGACGAGGATATTGACTTCGATCTCACATTACCAAGACGGCAACAACCTCCCGACTCCGCAATCATAAGCAAGGCATTAAAAGCAATTGAGGACTTGAATCGGAAACAATTCTGCCATCGCTTTGCAGCCAGCATGCTGTTGGATAACTGCCGAACTCCACAAAGCTCCACCGACCCCGTCACAAACAAAGCCGCCGAAGAAGAACGTCGTGAAGACTACTTGAAGATCTTTGCTGTCAGCCTTACAGTATGCGACATTGAAGCCCTTCAGCGACCGGTTCCCCAACAATGCTCACCATACACACAATCTATTCTTATGGGTATAAAGAACAGCCGTGGCAGCCAGTCCATTATTATCAATCACTCTGAAATGAGTGGCTGTCTGAAGGCAATTGGCTCTGACCAATCGGCGGTTGTATCATGGAAGTTCAACCAACAATCGACAGCGGTCGTGTGTCAAGTGGCACGTATGGATATCGAAAAGGGTAAGTATTCGAAGCCTCTGTACTCAAGCTTGCCTCTAACGTATCACAGATGAGACAATTGCACTGTTCTCGACTCTTACCCGGCTGATGGCCGACGTCGTGGATGAAGTTCAGAAACTCTCCGAAATTAATCGCGACATCCGGCAAGAGGCAGAAGACGCGAGGTCTTCTGTTCACACGATAAAAACATCAGTTGACAAGCTCAAAGTTGGTCTCTCCGATGTTTGGGACGGTGTTTCCGCAGAAGCAACAAAAGCAAGCAATAATGTGAAGGGCATCTTTAACGGCATGTCGACTTATGCTGCAGACGTTGAGCAAATGCTCAATAGACTCCGGAAGGGCTCACTTGAAAACCATGCCGAGCAGGCTGCTTTACAACAACGAGCACTTGATATCACAATGGACATCGCCAGCGAGGCGCAGGCAGCAAATAAGGACATGGAAACATTGAAAGCCATGATGCTCGCTCTCTACAGCAACATGGCCACCGTTGGAAATGGCCTGGTGGCAATTCAAGACCGCCAGAATGAAGTGGACAGGCAATCCGCGCAAGTCCTCTCAGCCATGATGAATATGACCGAGCAGCTGCAGATGGCGGCGAAGATGGGGGATGAGCACGAGGTATTATTAGTACGAGCAATCACTGCTGCGTCGAATCTGGCGGATATAGTCGATAGGAGTTCGACTATGGCATCCACTTGGCAGACTCGGATATTCGGGTCAAGAGGCCCCTTCGGTATTGACTGGACACTACTCGTTACGACCCCACCTACGGTTCTTATTCTGGGCTCATATGGTCTTGAGGCGTCTCTCTCTCGGAATACACTGCTTCTGATTATAGGTTAGTTGTCTTCCCCAGTTACATTTAATTCACCAGGAATTGTCGGCTAACAGCACTCTCCATAGGTGCTGTCTTAGCCAAACTACTTACAATGAGCTATGACAACCATCAGAATTGGCCGAGGCCATCTGACGGGGCTGGTGCACCCAGCACTCCATCACCAACTCATTCATTCGGGAAGGTTCACACCACTCCCATCGAGATGATTCGGCAGGCGGTCATCTAAAATCAGTTAATCTTAATTATGAGGCTGCAAGGCCATACAAATCTCACCGTGTCGACACCAAACACTTTTATCTCAGTCAGCACCCTTTGCTGCGCCGTCTCCTCGTTTCACGAAGGAGGGACATCATTTCGAAATTTTACAGCATCTGCATTTTCTGGAGGGGCGCAGCTTCTTTTCATTATACCCCTTTCATTTTGCTCCTTCATATTTTCTCTTTTTGCCAAACCAGCGATCCAGCGATTCAATGAGTCTCAATTTTATATACACTACATTACATTACCTTTGCTTTAGAGCCTACGAGCTACGATCACGAATTCACATTTCATATACACATTCATTACAGTCGCTTAACGCTTAGAGTTTTGCGGGGAAGACATGGTTTCGGATGGTAATTGGCTGGTACTGGCAGGAACAGGAACAGATGGACAGGTGCTCGGGGACGGAATGGGGTCGGAAGTTAGTTGGCTGATTCAAAAGTTGGTAATGGGTTGGGCACTACTTTAATAAATATAACATACATTCTCATTTCAAGAGCTTTCAATAATAACACGTGCCGTGTCGCCCAAAGATATACCTCAGCAAAGAGAACATATCAAGATATAGAATCAGAGATGGCGCCACTGCAGCAGATATCATCGAAATTGAAGGCCAATCCCTGAAAACAATACGTCTATCCATTACAAAAGATATCAACCTAGAAGAAAAGGCAGCCACTCACGATGTTAACTGCGGACCGTTGCAACCATTATATTTTGTCGCCATTAGTTGCTTGCTATTACCATCATATGCTGTCACCATTAGATGCTGTTACCATTAGATGCTGTCACCATTGAAAGCTGTCACTATTGGCTGTCACTACTGGATGCTGTCCCTCACTTACTATTCTAGATTTGCTTGGGCTTCGTCAAAAGAAATATGGTTCGACTCGAGTGTGCTTATCAAACTAGTAATGCCCCTCTCCATGTATCCGGGTGTGGGCGTCATGAGGAACTTTGAGCCTGCAGCTGCCTCCTCTTATAGTAGATTTAGGGCGAGCGGGCAAGGACCAGGGGTTCGTGGTCATAAGTGAAATATAATCCATCCATCCCTCTCCATGAATTACGATTGTTCCAGTCCAGTCTCTGTGTGCCAATTCCATTCTGATCATAACACCCCCTTCATCACAACATCACAGATAAACAACCCCCCTTACATACCCTCTCCCCCCTCACATAATTCCCGGCCCCTCAGTAATTACACATACATATATGCATCCACTCTCGACCGGCCCTTCCAACCACCCTTCAAATTTCCAAACCAAACAACAAAAAACCCCGATATCCAACGCGCGCGCACAAAAAAGCAAAAAATTGCGCCAGGAAAACGTGCCGCCGCAGGCGGCAGGGCGGCGATCGGGTATCGAATGAACAGAGTTGAGTTTGAGGTTGGGACCAAAAAAAGTAAAGAAATATGGGAGGAAAACACGAGTACAGGTTGCGAGTGATGGCGGCGGTGTTTACACGACGACCTTATCGGGGAGCGTCGAGATCGCTGATGGATTTGAGCATCCTATTTCTTATGCGTTAGCACCTTTCCTTTCGTAACTCGGGGACGAGGAGTGGGTGAACGAGCCTCAAATTCTCATCCTTAAGCTCGTCATTCATCTCATCAAGCTGCGACACCTTCACCTTTGCCGCTGTCAACTACAGTATATTGTCAGTAAACTTGCACAAAAGGGAGTCAGGCAAGGCCACCCACCGAAGCGAGCGCGGCTGACGAGTTATCTGGCTCACCTTCCGCGGCCGGCGCCGCAGCCTCCTCGAGGTCCTCGGCGAACTTGCTGGCGAGGATCCCAGACTTGGGCTTCTCTGCTGCGGCAGGTGCAGCTGCAGCCGTGGCCTAGTTTTTGGTATTAGTTTCACATCGATGACAGGGAGTAGGGGAGGGGGCATACCTTAGCCGCAGCAATCTCAGCATCCTTAACCTTCAACTGCGCCTCAAGCTCAGCGACATGCGACGACACATCTGTCGCCTTCTTCGTAGCAGCCTCGGCCTTCGCATTAGCCTCCTCGACGAGCTGAGTGAGCGAATCATGCATATCCTTGTAATCCGACTCGCTGGTCTTCTCCTTGCCTTCAACGGTGGCCTTGTGCTCAGCAAAGTCGGCCTGGCGCTTCTCGAGCGCCTCCTTGGCGGCGAGGTGCTCCTTAGTCGCCTGTGCGGACTCCTCCTGCGCGATAGAGAGAGCGGTGCCATGCTCCTTCTTAAGCGATGCAAGCTCAGTCTTCAGGGCGTCAGCTTCGGTGGTGTCGGGAGCCTTGTTGGCAAGAGCTTCATGCTCCTTCTTGAGGGAGGAGAGCTCAGCCTTGAGGGCATCGACCTCGGTGGTGTCGGGTGCCTTGTTCACAAGAGCTTCGTGCTCCTCCTTGAGAGTTGCAAGCTCGGCGCGGAGAGCATCAGCCTCGGTGGTATCAGGCGCCTTGTTGGCCAAAGCCTCGTGCTGCTCCTTGAGGGAGCCATGCTCCTTGCGGAGGGCATCGAGCTCAGTGGTATCTGGCTCCTTGGCAAGGACCGTAGTGTGCTCCTCCTTCAGAGTCGCGAGCTCAGCCTTGAGGGCATCAGCTTCGGTGGTGTCCGGTGCCTTGTTGACAAGTGCCACGTGCTCCTCCTTGAGAGAATCATGCTCCTTGCGGAGGGCGTCGAGCTCGGTGGTATCCGGCTTCTTGTTGATAGCAGCATCAAGATCAGCCTGCGCAGCAGACTTGGCAGATTTCTCCTCGGCGAGGGCGACCTTCAGCTCATCGATCTCAGCTTCGCTCTTCGCGGCTTGCGCGGCGACCTTCTCGGTCTCGGCCTTCAGCGCAGCCTCGGCTTCCTTGTATTTCTCAATCTCAGCTGCAAGGCTCGATTGGGTAGTAGCATGCTCGTCCTTCAGCGACAGAAGGGCGGCGCTGTGGGTGGAGTGGACGTTCTCAATTTCAGTAGCGTGAGTAGAGTCACCAGAGACAGCGCGCTCAGTGACCTCGCCGAGCTTCTTGGAGTGCGAAGTCTTCAGGTCAGCCACAGCAGTCTCGTGCGCAGCCTCGGCAGCCTTGAGCGCATCAACGGCGCTACCATGGTCGGTTCTCAACTTCTCTAACTCGGAAGTGTGAGCCTCGACGGCGGCATCGCGAGACTTAACAAGCTCCTCGTGCTGAACATTCAGCTCGTCGTACTTGTCCTTGAAGCCTGACTGGCTCTCCAGGGCGTCGATCTCCTTCTGGTAGTCCTTAGAAATCGACTCCAGCTCCTTGATGTGCTTCTCGTTGATGGAAGAGATCTCTTTTGTCTTCTCATCCAGCGTCTTCGTCAGGGAAGCAAGCTCCTTCTTGTGCGCCTCATCGCTGCTCTTGCTAGCCTCGTCGACGGTATCCATCATCTTCTGGAGCGACAGGACCTCCGCTTGAATGTTCGCAACCTCGCCATTGGCCTTGGTCAATGCTGCCTCGCTTTCGGCAATCTTAGCTTGCGCGGCTTCGAATTTCTCCGACAGCTCAGCAAGGTCCTTCTCTGTGGTGGCAAGCTTCTCCTTCAGGGTAGCTAGCTCAGCAGAAAGAGCTGCCTTGTGCTCGTCGTGTGCCGACTTGGCAGAGGTCAGCTCAGCGCCAACGCTAGCATGAGATGCAACAGCAACGTCGAGCTCCTTCTGCAGACTTGCTTGCGCCTCCTCGTGCTTGTCAGAGAGAGCCTTGAGCTCCTCAGCATGCGACGTGCTAGCATCGGTGGTTCCCTTCTCCAAAGCTTCCTGGTGAGAGAGTTTCAATGCCGAGATAGTCGCCTCGTGCTCATCGGTGAGCGACTTGAGGGCCGTCTTGAGCTCCTCCGATGCCGATGCATGTTCCGCGTTGTGGGTAGCAATAGTACCCTCAACCTCCTTAGACTTAGCCTCGTGCTCAGACTTCAACGAATCCAAAGTCTCGTTCAAGGCCTTGGCCTCTCCCTGAGCCTTCTCAGCATCAGCCTTTGCCGCCTCGATATCCGCTTCCTTAGCAGCGACAGTGGTGGCATGCGAATCCTTGGCAGTTTGGAGCTCGGCCTCAAGCGCAGCTAATGCAGCTGTGTGCTCGGTGTGCTTCTTCTCCAGGGCCTCGGCAGACTCGGTGGCGGTTGCGTTGGAAGCCTCGAGCTTGGCATTGTAGGAAGTCTCAAGCTCAACGAGTTGTGCCTCAAGGGTCTCAACATCCGACTTGTGGGAGTCGCGAGTCTTCTCGACCAGCTCGGCGTGGTCCTTGCGCATGCCCTCTTCGGCAGCGGAGACGCGAGCGGCCTCTTTCTCGATCTGCTTGCTCAAGTCGGCCAACTTCTCTTGGGAAGCAGCAACTTCGGCCTTGAGCTCCTCGACCTTGGCTTCGCTCTCTTGCAGCTTGTCCTTCAAGTCCTCAGACTCCTTGGCTGCAGCTGCAGTAGCGGCGGTTCGGCTTGTTGAGCCTGTGATAGAGCCAGCGAGGTTCGAGATTCTCCTCCCTGCTGTCGTAGTAGTAGTAGTAGCTGGCTTGGCAGTCGACGAAGCCAAGCGGCCAGTCACAGAGCTATTCGAAGCTGCGCTTTTTGGGGTTGTCGAAGTAACGGCCCTCGTAGTTGGCTTTGGTGGGGTCGAGGCGGTAGATACAGCTGGCTTGCGAGCCGCAGCAGTGGTGGTTGGTGTAGTCCTGGTTGCCGAGCTGCTCGATGGGAGTATGGATGATCGTCTCGCGGTTCCAGCTAATGGCTTCTTCTCCTCAACCGACGAGGTGGACCTGTGCGAAGCAGCAGCACTCGACGAGTTCGGTCCCGTCGCGCTGGTGGCAGGCTTTCTGGAGATAGATCCAGCTACTGGTCGTGTAGGAGGCTTGCTCAGTCCGCCAGTCGTGGTGCGCGAGACAGACGATGTTGGAGTCGTCTTCGCAGTCGACGTTGTAGTTGTAGCCGACTTCGTGCTCGAGGTCGCCGAAGATCCTAGAAGCTTCGCCGGTACAGCAGCGCGCTTTGGCACAACACCATCCTTCTTGACCGCGACCTTTCTGGGGCTTGGGGTCTCCTTCTCGGTCTCCGTCTCGACCTCCGAAACCAGCCCCGTCGTCTCCTCGCCGGCAGTCTCAGTTCCAGACGCCGCCGCCTGCGCGCCCTCCTCCTGCGTCACGACGTCCTTAGGTTCGGTATCGGCCATCTTCCTCAATTTCAATCGGATCTCTCGTGGAGAGATACCGCACAGATAGTTCCTAGCTGCCATTGGGACGAGCTGTCAGCGAACGAATTATATAATAGGTGTATAGGAAGAGGATCTGTTGGCCATCAAGGGCGGGACAAGCTGCCTGCGCCTGTCTGATATACCAGGGACGCACGGCGCCACGTCAACGCCCGTTGGATGATGCGAGGCCGAGCCAACGCAGGCGTGCCCGAAGCCCGTCTGTCCGCGCTGCACCTGATGGGCAGAGATCTCCAATAGAAGGAGGGGGGACTTACTACGTGTTCGGCGTCGTTGGTGCCTCACCGCTGTATGCGCAGGCAAGAAGAAAAAGAGCGATGCGGGTGTTGGGTGGTGAGGTATAAGAGTGGTGGGCTATTGAGATTGTCGAGGGCGCCAACGCAGCGAAGTGGGACTTTTGAGCTTTCTTCAGGCTGTATATGAATCAGACCCTTGTGCATAGAGTAGAGTACGTGAGGCTATGATTCTGAATGGGCTTGTCTTACCTGAGGAACAGTTGCGATAGTTTAATTGGAGTTAAGGTAGGAATGGGAGATGCAGCGACAAGATCCTCGTCTTAATTCAATTGGGGGAGGGAGGTTGAGAAGACAGTGGTGGGCATCCGTCCCACAGCCGTCCGGTCAGGGGAGAGCTTCAAAGCCTAATTAGGCGAATGGAAGTCGCCGCCGGTTCGGTGGCAGGGGTGCATGAGGTTAGAGGCGTTATTGTGGTTGTCAAATTATTGCCAAAACCATGCCGAATCACCCCAAATCACACCCAAACAGTGCAAAATAGTCACAGATCATTTCCAGTAAACACGCTATTACTCTCCTACCCGCTCTTATTGTCACTATATTCAATATAGTCGAAATAGTCGCTCTAATACGGAGTAGTAGCTTCAAAAGATACCGACGCGACACCGACGCGATATCCCCGGCCTTTCCGTTGTATGGACTCGTCATAATAACGAGCATCTTATTTACCCAGGGCCAGCCATCGCAATTATTTGCTCCGACCTATAGTGATTTACACACCGTGCCCTTGATGATGGGCCCAAGCCGCTCGACCATCTGCGGCGGTGTGGATCTGACCGTCCGTCCAGGACCTCCCGAAGAAACCCCCACTTTCCACAACCGCCCTGGCAGTCTGACTGGACCCCCAAAAACGAAAAAAGGGTTCTGCGCGTCGACAACAAACACGTCAACCGCATCCAGCGTCACCGTTAGGCCGCTAACAACATGCCAGCTCAGCAGCTCGTTTCGGAAGCCTGCCAGAAAAAACTAAAAATGCAGACTAGAAAATCTTCACGCATGCACGTCGTCACGGGTATCGTATGCACGATGCACGCGGTTCAGTTTGGATAGCACGGCAAGATTGGTCGTCGTCACATGGCTGTGGTGGAAGACAACGTGGAATGCACAGTGCCACGAACGTGTCCGGGCAAATAATATCATGGCTTCGCGAAATAGGGTATCTGGACAGTGTAAGAGCCACTCTGATGCACACCCCGCCATCGCGCTGGTCTCACTCTCTTCCCCTAGGTAACATCTCGTCGCCAATGATTTCAATCCACGGTGGGACTGGTACCCCTTTCGCCATATAGAGACCCTCGATCATGACCCTCTTAACCTCTATTGCCTTGTCGAAAATCTCGTCCAGGCTCCTATCCAATCTCCTCGCAATGTTCGGGTATTTATCAGGCCCTGCGCGTAGATTAGTTAGGAGAAACAGCATCGTAAGAAACATGGCATACCTGTCTCCAATCTGAGCCCATCCGCCAGCACCTCGTACTCGGTCTTAGTCCAAGGTTCGGCGACAGGAGCGTGATTATTGCCAGCAGGGAACATCTCCACCCTCTCGTAGTCAACCTCATGCGCGTCATCTGCATCGTACCCCCTGAGCTGGCGCTGCTCCTCACGCCTCAGCTTCGTAGCACGTCTCTCGGCCGTCTCAAGCTTCTTGGTCAGCGCCTCCACTTCCTTCGCCAACGCGCTCACTTCCTCCTCTGCGCGTATGCGGTGCGCGGTAATATTAAGCTCTTCCGTCTGCTGGGGTTGAGACGGCTGTGGCGGTTCGGATGCCTGGGGGTTCTGAGACACCTGGGTGCCTGCCAACGGTACCGGGTGTAGCCCGAGTTTCATCCTCTCCCGGTTGTATGCATCATTGATCCCTAACTGTCGCCTCTGGTGCTCTATCCGAGCCTCTTCCTCCGCGAACCGCTCTGCCTCCTCCCGTTCCTTCCGCTCCCTCTCCAGTATGGGAGCCTGTCGCTTCGCTTCGGCCACATCTTCTCGATGATGTAACTCTTGTTTGCATTGCATCTCGAAGCCTAGTAGGAGGGGCTTGATGCTCATGTATGGCCTTCGGATTGGAAGGGCGGCGTTATGAACTGCTCTTGGGCGAAGGTTTTTGTTATGCGGATCCTCGACTATCAATAGCAGCCTCGACACTAGTGATACGTATCGTAATATCTCCTTTAAATCAAAGGTGCTTGGAGGCCCATCGGAGCCATATGTGACTATGGCTGCAGATGCTGCTCTGATGATGTCTGGCATGACGAACAGGAACAAATCTCTCAGCATCCTTTCGCGCCACGACTCGCCTTTATCTCCGTAACGAGCAGCAACTTTGGCGGGGTCGCAAAGTCTCTTGTCTATAATCCTCCGCACAGTGACTTCTAACCTGTCAAGGTCTCTGGCAGCTGAACAGAGCGCCTCGGTTCGAGCAGCAGGATCGGGGTCTTCATGTTCGTCGAGCCCCTGGATAGACTGATATGAAGAGATTATGTCCCTCGTTAAGACCTGTATCTCCATACCGGGAGCAGTGCGGGCCTTCATCAGGGGTTCTGGATCGTTTTGTACATCTTTTGCTTCAGTCATCCCAAGTTTGTCAACTAACTCTATGACCTTTTCGATTTTGCTAGCGGCTATAAAGTCATCTCCGAAATAAGGGGACTTTATAAAGACTTGTCGTTCGCCTTTATGCTTCCTCCTGGGATTTTCAGTGCTGATAGGCGATATTCCTTCGGTCTTAGGTTCAAGTTCCTCTTCGCTCCCGCCATCTTCGACACCGCTACCATTGCCTTCGTATTCTTGATCGTCTGGGTCTTCTTTGTCCTCGCTGGTTGCGTTTTTGCCTTTATTTGTTCTCTTGGCGGTTGCATCGGACGGCCCCGAGGCGGCACCGGATTGTGATCCTTTGTCCGAGGCGTTAGGTGTGGCTTCTGGCAACTCGTCTTCGACGTGGGGTTTCTGTAATGTTTGAGGACTCGTAGCTTCTTCGGCTGGGATATCCTCCTCGGTGAGATTCTGCCTGCCCGGAGTGCTGGGTCTGTCTCCATCCTCTGATTCATCGACCTCATCTTCTACAACCTTTTTATTCCTCTTGCGACTCTCCTTCGGTGCCGGCTCGTCATCAACCAAGTCACTTCTCCGCTTTCGCTTGACCATGTCTTCAACCTTTTTCGAATAATCAATAGGCTCGACAACCTCACCGGAACCTCGACTCCTAGTGACTCTGGATGGAACTTCTGTCTTTATTTCTTCTGATTCTTTAGAAGCAGTTACGAGCAAGTCAGGAGTTGGTAGTTTACCTTTAGGAGACGGCTTCTTCGTTGCGGCATGATTGTTCCTCTTGCGCTTCACGTCCTGCCCTTGTTTCGACCGAGTTCTTGTGGGCGTTGTCGCCGCCTTCTCTGGTGATGCATTCAGGTCGTAGACATCTGGTTTCCCAGAGCCCTGTGGCGACGGTTTATATATGTTGAGAGGATGGTGCAGCACCGACGGGCGACTAAGCTTCTTGGGGGCTTTGCTAGCTGAGGTTGAAGTGGAGCGTAGTTGCATGGTGTCGTCTCTCGCCTCTGTGGGGCTTGTGTCTTCAGTGATATCGTTGTCGTTTAGTCTGCTGCCCAGAAGTCGCATGCCATCACTGGATAACCCAGTAACTCGCTTCCGTATAGAAAATGGCGGGTTCTGTTGTGGCTCGTCGTCTTGTAAAGCTCGATTTGAGGTGCGAGGTGTGCTTGTGGCGTTGTTTAACACATTAAGAACGTGGTCGCTGACATCCTCGTCCTCTTCTTCGCCCTCTTCTTCGCCCTCTTCTTCGCCCTCTTCTTCGCCCTCTTCTTCGCCCTCTTCTTCGCCCTCTTCTTCGCCCTCTTCTTCGCCCTCTTCTTCGCCCTCTTCTTCGCCCTCTTCTTCGCCCTCTTCTTCGCCCTCTTCTTCGCCCTCTTCTTCGCCCTCTTCTTCGCCCTCTTCTTCGCCCTCTTCTTCGCCCTCTTCTTCGCCCTCTTCTTCGCCCTCTTCTTCGCCCTCTTCTTCTAGGTCTTGTTCGGCATGGAGTTGTTCACGAAGCAGTAACGAGAATTTGCCTTGGCCCTCTGTTGCGACAGAGTCAGCAACTAACCGCTCTGCATAAACAAATTGCTCCCAATCACCGTCTTCCCCAACTTCCTCTTCATCTTGATTTTCGTTGCTTGCGACGGGGACAGGCGAGCTGGTCGCATTCAGTCGCGCCATTGTAGAGGAATACCCAGGCGTAAACCCAGGCAATCATCCTAGTAAATTGCAGGGCTTAGTTTGTACGTCAATCCAAGTTACAAAATTCAAGCCCGACTTCAGTTCCGCAAGCCGAGCCATACATAGTTCCCAAGGTTCCTTTGTCGCGGGTAGCTTGTCACCAGTGGCAGACGCGACTCGCTTACCTTCCCCCACGTCATGTCAACACAGAACATTCCATAAGGCAGGGTCAACTCAACAGCTTCACAGCAGAAAGCCAACAGATTGCAACAATAATCAGTATGGCTGAAGCATCTGGCGCCCGCGGGCCCGCACAAAGCAAGCTACCCAGGCTTTCAGTAATGGACCTGTCGAAGCCGCATACCTTTATCAAGCCTGTGAAGAGGATCAATGAGGGGCACGATGTCCCCCACTTCCTCAGCTCACGTGCATATAGTGACATAGGAACCTTTGTGATGCAGCTTGACACTGCTATGTGTCCTAGAAAAGTTGAAGTGGATGGTAAGAGGCAAGTAAAGACGTGGGAACTGGGTAGCAGTGACTTTGCGGTTTCGGGATTGGTAGAGCAGATTCAAGAGATGCTGAGGACGATCGAAGCTATCATCGATGAAGCACCTCCAGATACCGGGCCGAGAAGGTTTGGTAACATCAGTTTCAGGAGGTGGCATAAGCTTCTTGAGTCCAGGGTGGGGACGATTCTGAGGCGGCATGTTCCTGTTGAGATTCTCGATGCTGGGTCACCGGGAGAGGCTACCGCGGAAGATGAGCTTACTTCATACCTGCTGGGCGGGTTTGGAAGTTCACAGAGGCTAGACTTTGGGACGGGCCACGAGTTGAGCTTTCTGGCATTCTTGGGGGCTCTGTGGAAGCTCGGTGGGTTTACGACAGGAGACGGAATATCTGACGATGGCCGCTTGGAGAGGAGTGTAGTACTTGGAGTCTTTGAACCGTAGGTGTGGCATTCCTATATTACCTTCCCTATGCTAAGATGTTTATTTCAGTTACCTGAAGGTTATCCGTCGATTAGTTCTCACATATTCCCTCGAGCCCGCTGGCTCTCACGGCGTCTGGGGCCTGGATGACCACTTTTTCTTATCATATATTTTTGGTTCAGCTCAGTACAGCCCTGCAATACAAGACGGAGAGCCGATGCCAGTAGAGGGATCACTACCAGATGCACCAAACCCTGCGTCTGTCATCAAGAAGAACGTCGTCGATCAAGAGAGAAAGAAGAACATGTACTTCGCGGCGATTGGCTTCATCAACGATGTCAAGACGGGGCCGTTCTGGGAGCATAGTCCAATACTATTCGATATATCTGGGGTACGCGCGGGCTGGGGGAAAGTGAATAAGGTATGTGGACGAATTCCAAAGGCCGTCGGTTGGTTCTAACAAAGCGTCAGGGCATGATCAAAATGTACAATGCCGAAGTGCTCTCCAAATTCCCAGTGGTCCAGCATTTCAACTTTGGGTCTTTGTTCAGCTTTGAGCGCGATCCAAATGCGGCAGCAGCTGCCGCTACAGTACACACATCTAACCAGCCATCATCTCACACCATTTCCGTCAGCGGAAACACGAGTGGTGCGCCAACGAGTCGTCCAGTGCCGCAGGAAGGTACCCGCGCTCCATGGGCGACCAATGCTCCGGCCACCACCGTGGCAAATGCTCCTCCTCAGGCGGGTGTCGCAACTTGTGCACCGTGGGCAAAGCCTGCTGCTGCTGCTGCTGCTGCTGCTGCTCAAGCTGATGGCTCGGTGCCAACTCGTGCTCCTTGGGCAGCGTCGGGGTCCGGCTCAGCACCACCGCCAGGTAATCCTCCAACAAGAGCACCATGAGGAACACTGCGGTAGATAGTAATGCACAAAGCATTTAGTACAATGGCCATCCCTCCAGAGACGCCGTGGATCGTATAGAACCATCGCATGGCATCCTATCAGGCTGTAGACGCAGCATAAAAGGCAGGAAAAATAATCATGTTCAATCAAGCCTCTTTATAATCCAGTGTAACTTGGTTAACTAGTTAACTAGTTAACCAAGTTATAAACTTTCCCCTTGTCTGATGTAAGTTATAGTTAGTAAGTTACAGGCAGTGCATGCATGCCATGCTGTACATCGTACAGCGTCGTACGTACAGTACATTGTACATCCAACAATCCGTCGTTCCTTCCAAAGAAATTGCCTCTGGGTTTTGTTGGGAATACGACATGGGTAAGATCTGAAGAACGCGCGTATCTCAAATATTTCCTCTGTAAGACGCGCCCCATGAAGTGGAAAAAGCGTATCGCCCATTCTCTTGCGACGCTTGCATGGCCCATTTCTAACCTAATCAACCTAATCCCAAATCGACCGTCGCTTGGTGCTCGGCGCCGTCGACAACGTTCACAACAATAACCGCTCCGCCCACTCCGCCCACACGCAAGCTCACCTCCCTCACGCTCAACCTCACGCTCAACCTCACGCTCAACCTCACGCTCAACCTCACGCTCAACCTCACGCCTTGCGCACCCTTCTTCAGCTCCCTTATACCATCACCCTCAAGTTTTCAACCACCCAACCGTCATCATGCCTGGCGTTCGTAAGTCTCCCTCGTCGCATCTGCACCTTCAAACCTCACCCAACCTTCCAACCCTCTCCCACAACGCGTCTTCCGCCTCTCACCAAACACACCAGCTGACCCTCTCACAGCTCCCAATGCGATCGCCAACCTGAAGGCCAAGTGCAAGAGCTTCTTCAAGTCCAGCAAGAAGTCCAAGCCCGCCGAACCCAAGCCCGCCGCCGCCGCTGCTGCTGCCCCAGCCGCCGTAGCTGCTACCGCCACCACGGACGACAAGCCGACCGAGATCGCGCCCGCGGCCGCCGCTCCAGCTGATACCGGTATGTGGATACCAAATCCGTAGAACCATCTTGGCGACATCCTTGGAGAAGTGGGGATGTAGAGTCGCGCAGAAGAAATATACCCATCTAAGTTCGGCGCTAACGAACCTCAGCTGTTGCCACCAAGGCTGCCAAGGCCGTCGACGCTGCTGTTCCTGAGGCCGCTGCCCCAACTGCTATCATTACTGAGGCCGCCCCAGTCGCTGAGGCTGCCCCCGTCGCTGCTGCCCCTGAGGCCGCTGCCGTCCCAGCTGCTACCATTACGGAGGCTGCTGTTGCCCCAGTCGAGCAGGCTGCCCCAGTCGCTGCCGTCACCGAGGCTGCTGCCCCAGCTGCCACTGAGGAGGCCGCCGCTGTTGCCGCCCCAGTTGAGGATAAGGTTGAGGCCGCCGCCAGTAAGCATCCTTTGCTCATCTTGGACCGAACCGAACCTAGACTAACCCCCCCACCAGCCCCAGTCGCCGACGCCGCCGTAACCGCGACCGCTGCCGAGACCAAGGTCGAGGAGGTCACTGCTGCCCCGGCCGCCACTGCTGCCTAAATGGCACTCCACGTCGCCTCCTAGCTCCGCACGCGCGCACCTCGATTGTGCTGATATGTGTGTTGGAGGTGGGAAGCTAACGAGTCTCATGTCTTTTTATGCGGCGCGAAGCCTGCCTTTTGTTGTCGTGTTCTATCTCTCGTTTATACCCGCGCGTGGCGCCGAGATGGATCGATGATACCCTGTGGAACCTGGATCTCTGTGTGTGCCGCACTATGATAGTTAGTTGTTGTTGAATGGAGAGAGTTGTTAATGTGTCTGCTGTGTCGGGTGTGTGTGTGGCTTACTTTCTTGAATGTGATTTGTGGGTGGTGTGTGGTGATTGAGAGGTGAGTTCGCTGTTGTGGTGAGTTTCTTTCTTTGGTCGAGTTTGTTCTTGGGTTGGTTTCTTTCTTTAGTCGGGAACCTTCTTCTGCCGAGTCCGGTCTCATCCTGATCTCCTTCTTGTGTTTATTGTTGGTTGATGTTGTGTGTGAACGGTTTATTTGCTTTCGTGCAGTTGTTGACGTGACGAGGGGTACTCAGCTTGGTCGAGCTGTTGAAGTGGAAAAGGAGACCCCGGCTAGTTCGGTTTCGACAAGTATGATGTCGTCGTTGACGAGCTGCTCCGCCTGCTCTCGCTCGCCGAGCCTGCGTGTTAGCCTGGTTTAAGAGGCGTTTCGTCTGCTTGTGCCCAGCGTTCTTGCTGGCGAGCTTGCCGGCGAGCTTGCCGGCGTGATGACTGATCTACGGGCCTCGCATGCCCGTCAGCCCTGAAGATTTTCTGCTTCTCTCAGTTGTCTTCGTCTCGTTCGGGCTAGCTTGTCGAGGTGAAGGCAAGCGTCCATCGTGAACCCAAGAGCCTGTCCCAATTTGGGTGCTTGTTCGAGCTTTCTTTGATGGAAACGTTTGCTTGGTAAACGAGTCTCGTGGTAAGGTGATTGCTCGCTCTCCTAATGTCAGTCTTGCGTAGCTACTCACATATATATATAGAGAGAGAGAGTTGCCGTTTCTGGTTACTCATATATATATATATATATATAGTTACCGTTTCTATTGGCGTTTCTATAATCACTTCTACGAGTATGACCACCTACGACTACCATCACTTATTCTACTACGATCACTCCTACCAGCTCCATCACTTCTACGAACGTTCTGCGGCAGGTGAATAATCTTGACAAAAGAAGCCCTCTGCATGCCTATGACACCGCAATCCGAGATAGCCTTACAATATGCGTCACATACGTCCAGTTTTACAAAAGCCCAGATCTAGGGGTCACATATCTGTCAGCCTGAAGGCCATCGAAAATACTCCCAAGATCTAGCATCTTGGTATTAAATCTGCATAGTCTGTCTCCATTTCTATCGAAATAACTTACTCTTCTACCACACACAACCTACAACATCCTAGCTCCAAAATATTATTTCCATCACCATGGGTATACGCTGCAAAACGAGAAGGTTGGTTTCAAATACGTTGTTCTCCAAGGGTCCGATCTCCAAGGGTCCGATCGTATATTACTCTCACCCCTTATCTCCAATTTACCAAACTAATCTGTCTCTCCAAAGCTGGCTCTTGCTCCATCGAGCAGTACGCCGCCAAAAAGGACCCTTTTCGAGTAGGCCCAACAGGCAAGATCCCCACTCCCTGGCCCTATGGCCGTAAAGTTGAAGCTTTTCAGTATCGAGTGGGATTGGATGTGTACGATAAAGCTCTCGAGAAAAGAGTTTTAAACGCACTGAACAAATTCGGGATCCAATTCAGCACTGCAGGTGTCCAGAACCTGTACCAGCGAGGTTTTCCCGAGGCAGCAGAGGATATTAGCATGCAAACTCGAGATACGGACACCACCCGCTGGCAAGAAGCCGTTGACTACATTTACGAGATGGTGAAGGACGCTGCTGCGGTACGGATTGCAACAGCCGAAGTCGGGGAGGTGACAAGGTCGAGAATGTTGCTGCGCAGACGCAGGGGCCTCTGGTCTGTGGACATCAATTGCATACCACAACCGCCAGCACAAGTTCTCAGACATCGATGACATCGAACGACCAACAGTTATCGTATTCGTCGCGCCAGGCTCCCTGGCCCACTGGGCTGAAGTCGAAGCTCAGATCCACCAGACAATCGAAGCTGTCCCCTTTGAAGGGGATGTTGAAATCGCACTAGAGATCCTACCCAGCTTCAACGTCCCATCCACAGGACCCTCGACAGCAGATACACCAACTACTAGTAAACACCCAAGGTTGCTAAGTTCGCAGCAGGAGATTCATGCACCGATCGACATGGTTATGCGGCATTGCCGATATCGAGGCAAGAACAGGTGGGACCATCACTCTAGTCTAGTCCATACCAATGTCACATTTTATCTACCATTTCTATCGGCTACCATTCGTTCTTTCCTCGTTCGTAAGCGCTCAGAGACACCATAGGATCTATCCCAAAAGTATAGTCATAGCCAAAATACCTACCAATCTGCTGAAGAAACATAACCGAAGGCTGAACATTGGTTTTTATGACCATTTTTATATTGATGTTTTTTATTTTGAGTGAATTCCGAATATATTTATGTGAGCAAGAGCGAGTCTATATACCGAGACCAAACTAAAATAGCAGTAGTACTCATATTAATTAGCACATGATTCTCATCGAGGACCATGGTTTACTAGCAGTGTTGCCCGAATACCACACTGAATACTAATTAAGCTTCTTTAATGCTATCAAAGTTGCATTAATTAGCAATTAGGCTTCATCCGAGATTCCTTGTTTCAATGCGTGGATATGGATGGGGAAGGTTGGTGAGATATGAGTTACAGCGTACTGTATGGGGAGAGATTACGACTCATCCATACGGAGTACGTTTTGTCAAATATCCAACTGAGCGTTTCGCATCATCCCACGCTGGTAATCTCCATAGTCTCATCCATCACCTGACCATCACTAGCAATCTCCCCCATTTCCATCAGCTACTCACCTGACCATCACTGGCAATCTCCCCCATTTCCATCACCTACTCACCTGACCATCACTAGCAATCTCCCCCATTTCCATCACCTACTCACCTGACCATCACTAGCAATCTCCCCATCCCCATCCATCGGTCCCATCCGCATCCCACCCCCACCCATCGCATCCCACCCCCATCCCCATCCATCGCATCCCCATCCACCCCCATCCATCGCATCCCACCCCCATCCCAATCCACCCCCATCCATCGCATCCCACCCCAAGCAAGCGCGCAGCACCAGGCAGCTCAACAACCCTGCGTACATTTTTTCTGCGTGGCACGGGATCCAAATGAGGGGACGGTAGGGTAGGGGGAATGTGATGGCGGTGAGGAGGGGTTGGGAGTGGAGTTGCTGGTCTGTGCGGTGGGACGTGAGTGTACGGAGTACGTACGTACTCGTACCTTTCACCACCACAGAAGGTGGGAGGGGAGTGGGAATAGGGTTACGGATTTGCTGGATGGAGAGCGTGTAACCCATCCTCATGAATCGACGGATTGATGAAGGAAAGCCCATCCGTATCCCCCATCCCGCCCTCAGCCACAGCCACACCGGTTCACCAGCAAAACGTTTCCGGAATGGGACGCCTCTACACAACGCCTCCGGGCTGGACGCCGCGCTCTGCCGACTACCCGACCGGTACTGCGCGCGCCTGCGGTTGTAATATCCCGGCACCTCCAGGCACACCCACACCATCTGCACACGCCCCCCCCCGTCCCCACCCACCCACCCCTTCAACCCGCACCCCCGGGTCCCGGCCGAGCTAGTTTTTTTTTCCTTCGACGTACGAGTAGTAGAAGCAGAGGGGCACAACAAAAAACAAAATTTCTGTAACAACCACATGATGCGTTTCAACGAACCACTACACGGCCCGACCACCCAGCCCCGTCTAGCCCGCCACTGGGAGGACATGGGTTGGGGGGGCGGTACATGGTACATACTATACAAACACCAGCACAAACTCTCCTGTTCGGAGTACCCGTTATGTCCCCAGCACACACCCTTTCCACCGCCGTCTCTTCTCTATGGTGGATACGATACGGGATGTGGGTCACAGTGTCCAGTGCAGCAGTCCTGACTAGTAAAGTACATACAGATAATTGCCCAGAACCGACTAACGCAACCTTGCGGCTCACGCCTGAGTCCCGTGCTCCGAGCTAGACGAGCCAGACTGCACTACTGTGCGCTAATCCACGCTAATCCACGCTATACACGCTAATCCACGCTATACACGCTAATTTACGCTATACACGCTAATCCACGCTATACACGCTAATTTACACCAATCTAATATAGACTGGGCCTCGAGCTAGCCATTACGAGGGGGGTACGTACACGACCCATCCATCCCCGTCAACCACCAAACCACACCAAACCACACCAAACCACCAAAAACCAGCAAAAACCACACCAAACCACACCAAACCAGCAAAAACCACACCAAACCACACCAAACCACACCAAACCACACCAAACCACACCAAACCACACCAAACCACACCAAACCACCAAAAACCACCAAAAACCACCAAAAAAAGCACGCCAGCCTTCCGCCCCCCTTCTCTTTCACACACTCACGAAATACTACTCACACTCCACTAATATCTCCACAACTTCTTACACACTTATACTACTAACTTGCAAACTAACAAACTAACAAACTAACAAACTAACAAACTAACAAACTAACAAACTAACAAACTAACAAACTAACAAACTAACAAACTAACAAACTAACAAACTAACAAACTAACAAACTAACAAACTAACAAACTAACAAACTAACAAACTAACAAACTAACAAACTAACAAACTAACAAACTCCCGCCCCTCCCCGCCCCTCCCCCCTTCCGCCCCGCCCCTCCCACCTCCCCTCCCACCTCCCCTCCCCCTTCTTCCCCTTCCCTCCTTCCGATCATCCATCCATCCATATATAAGCCCATCCACCCACAACGCCCTCCTTCTGCCCCTCCCTTCTTTTCTCTCTCTCTTCTATTCAATCCACTCCATATTTTCCCACTCTCAACCGTCAACCCTCACTCCTCACCGACATCCACCTCAAGTCAGTCTCACTTCGCCTCCCCCACCACGCCGCTTGCCCCGAGATCCATTGTTGTCTCGGTGGCGGGTGTCAGCGTACAATCAGCTGACCGTTGTTATTTTCGTTTCTAGAACTTTTGTAACACCCCTCGAACTTGTTGAGTCGTCGTGAACTTCGAAGCCTACCTCAATTTCACTTCCCCCCAGAGTGTTTTTGAGCTTGAATTCAAAAGTTTTTATATATACAACCCCCTACGAATCCCACTTCCGGTATATATACAAATCCTACAACATGTCTGCGATCCGCACCTCCGTCTTCCGCGCCGCCGCCGCCGCCGCCGCCGCCGCAACCCGCCCTGCCACCCTGGCAGCTCGCCCTCTCTCCACCTCCGCGCGTCTCCTCCGCCGCGAGGTCATCGCCGAGAAGCAGATCCCAGTCTCCTCTTACGCCGACCCAGAGTCGCACGCACCCCAGCGCAGCACCATCCCAGTCCGCAACGACCCCGAGATCGAGGTCCACGCTGAGGAGCAGACTGGTCTCCGCGCGCCGCCGTTGACCAAGGCTCTGTTCTCCAAGCTGCCCAAGAGCATCCAGAAGCAGACCGTTATGGGTAAGGTTGTTATTGTTACTGGGTAAGCTTTTCCCTTTCTTTTTGTGTGCCAAAACCACCACCAAGCATCACCAAACCCTAAAACCACACAACCAATCTTTGAACAACAACTAACATCCCCCAGCGGTGCCCGCGGTCTCGGTAACTCCATCGCCGAAGCCTGTGCCGAAGCCGGCGCCCGCGCCCTCGTCATCTTCGACGCCAACCAGACCCTCGGCGATGAGTCCGCCGCCGAGCTCCACGAGCGCACCGGCATCCCCGTGCAATTCTACAAGGTGGACGTCCGCGACGGCGGCGCCATCATCGAGGCCGTCAACGCGGTCGTCGACACCTTCGGCGCGCCCGACGTCCTCGTCAACGCCGCCGGCATCGCCGACTCCAACATCAAGGCCGAGGAGTACGACCACGCCATGTTCCGCCGCCTCATCGACATCAACCTCACTGGTTCCTTCCTCATGGCCCAGGCTGTCGCCAAGTCCATGATGGCTGCTGAGAAGCCCGGGTCTATCGTCTTCATCGCCAGCATGTCTGGTTCCATCGTCAACTACCCCCAGGAGCAGTCTTGCTACAACGCCTCCAAGGCGGGTGTGGTGCACCTCGGTCGCTCGCTGGCGGCGGAGTGGGCCAAGTACGGCATCCGTGTCAACTCCATCTCCCCGGGTTACATGGACACGGCGCTCAACCGCGTGCCGGCGCTCGATGCGCAGAAGAAGATCTGGACTAGCTTGACTCCTCAGGCCAGGCTGGGGAATGTGGATGAGCTGAATGGATTGGCGGTGTACTTGGCGTCGGATGCGAGCTCGTTCATGACTGGCTCCGAGATCAAGTGTGATGGTGGTTACAGCTTGTGGTAAATCCGCAATAGCGGTTTCGGCCTCTGAAGTATTGTTCGCGTCGGCATCGCATCGCTTCTTGTCTGTTGTTTTTTTGAGAACGCGAAGAGGAGGAGGTAGATGATTCAAGCTTGCTTGTTTTCTTGTCGTCGGGAAATGAAAAATCTGAGCAGCAATGGGGCGTTATGTTCTGAAACGGCGTCGTTTTTATTTTCCCCTCCGTTTAATTCTATCTTGGGCGGGCGGATGGAAAATACGTTTTTTTGAGGGTTGAAAAAACTGGTGGTGGGAGAGGAGGATATACAAGTAGGTTACGAATATGGTATTCGAGAAGAAGAATTGAGGGGGGGGGGAATACAACTCTGATTTTGATATCCTTTTGCCTTTTTTTGCATGTGTGAGGTGTGAAGAGTAACAAAAACCTGAAATCCCGCGCGCAACAATTTCGTCAAAAAATCGATTTTTATAAGTGTGAATAGTTACACATGTTCAAATCCCGCCCGCTACGAAAATGTACCAAAAGTCGACGTAAAAGGTCGCCGCCGCCTTTGCCGCCCTATGTTTCGATCCACCGTCAAGCATCGAACATCAGATTCAGGTTTCCAGAGGCTAGTCTAGCACGACCATGTCACGATACCCTCATCTATTCAAGTCCGGGTACGCGGGTACAAGACGACCTTAAAAACAGTGGAACGCTGTCTAAATTGAAGCCATCGTGAAAAACCGGCCCTACTGCAACAAGGGAAACAAGCTTAAAAGGAGGTGTGTGTGGAACCGCCCCGAGGTGTGGACCAGCCTGCCGCGCGGACGGGGGGGGGGGGTGTGGTGCTTTTTTGAGGGTATCGTGAAGGGGGCCCGGCGATGGATATAATGCCAGGTCGCTAAACTAAGTTTTGGTGACTAAGCAAATACTGTAATAAGATAAGTTACCTAACTTATCTTATTACAGTACTTGACTTAACTTAGCTTAGTTAACTTAGGTAAGTTAGGTAAGTTAACTAAGCTAAGTTAATTCAAGTACTGTAAGTTAACTAAGCTAAGTCAACTTACCTAAGTTAACTAAGCTAAGTTAAGTCAAGTTAAGTTACTGTAGTATTTGCTTAGTCACCAAAGCCTCGAGTCATTCCATGGACGACTCTGTAAGTTGGGCGAGGTACGCCCCGATCATGGCGCCATTAATCAGGAGATATAAAGGAAAGAACGCACATTCCCCCACGGTGAATATATAGACCTGTAGTCCCTACAGAGTTGTTTAGGCGTTGCTGACGGCAGCTGGCAGCAACCTCTGTAGTAACGTCGCTGACATTTGGTGTCGGTAACCTCGACGCTTCGAGCTCTCACTTCCCATTTCCTACTTACTCTATACCTATAAAATAGGCTAGTGATTATAGACCATACATAGATTATTTACGTAAATAACATACAACTATTAGCGTGTGGTTTTGCTCATAAATTCATCTGATGGTAGTATTCCGCTTACCTTGTCCCTTATATAGATGACAACAGTACAACTTCACTTTGCTACCTCTTGCTAACCTCAACTACAGCCTCTACCATCAAATCACTTCGACTGTCCTCTAATAGCCTTCGACCATCACCGCCATCAAAGCTTCCGCCAAATCCATCCCTCAATCGAATACCGCTGTTACATCTCAAAATGAGCATTGCACGCCTTGCTCCAGAAGTCCAGCAAATTCAACAAAGTGCTCCATTTATAGACACATACACAGATGCGGCAACGACACTGCTTCGAGCAAGACCGGTCGAGCAGCATGCAACCTTAACAATGCCTCACGCTCACCCACCTCCCAAAAGGTGGACAAGCCCTCGTGGCTGGGGCGCAAGGCACATTAACGACGATGCACCATTCAACCTGTGGGATGAAGCCAAACGAGATTATCGATTTCTAAAAAAGGGTGCTGAGTACGACTGGTGCCGTGACAAATTCGGAGATGGGCAAATAGCGAGTTACGGTTGGTTTATGACGATTGACACAAAATCCCCACCTAAGCCAGTCCCACTGACTGTCGGATGCATGCCGGTCATCTTCACAAACATGGGGGAAAAGTTATGGAGTCTAACTCCCAAGACTTGCTATGCCAACCCGCGGGTGTCGAACCCATGTCCAGAAGTACAGTGGGAAAGGATGACATCCCCAACTAAAGATCAGAATATCGCAATTCTCACAGCGCTAGAGCCTCTCGCCAACGTACGTGCTATCATTTACATGCCCCACTGGACTATTGTCGAACTCGAATATGGAGATGGTCGTGTATACCAGCCAGGGTCCCTACCAGGTACTGTGGGGGTGAGGACGACTTTATATCACCATGAGGAGGAACCATTTTACAAAACATTGAGCAAGATGACTTGCCATCGGCGACTTGACCCTACACAACAGTCAGGTGCTTCTGATCCAACGCCCCAAGATACGACCAACTACATACAAGAATGCGCTTTTGTTAGTCCCGGATGTCGCTTGGAATCTGGGCTTGGCATGGTTGGCTCCCAGAACGAGCGGGTAAATGCCGCAACATCGGCTGGTGTTAAACTTTGGAATATTAATGGGAAGGAGGCACTTACCGTATCCCACCATGGCTTTTTGAATTCGAAGGAGGTCTACCATCCCTTTGCGTCTGGCGTCAAGATTGGCGAAGTCTTTGACGAGCGCCCGGAACTTGATATCAGCCTTGTCGAGCTTGTGTCTGATGTATCTAGGAAATTCCGAAACGACTGCTATTTCCAAGGGGAGACTCCAAAATTACTGTTAAGAGGGTCCGATATCGTCAAAGGAAGTTGGTTTGAGGTAGATGGGATGTCGTCAGGCCTCGTCTCTCTCCTCACCTATGCGTCAGTATTTTGCAAACCTCCTCGGCCTCTAGGACATCCCGAGATTGACTATAGGCACTGGGAGTCCCACTCACTAAGCGCAATGTTCGGGGTTGTTAACAATACTATATGTGAAGGGATGTGTGGAGCCCCAATCGTTGAATGCGAGTCAGGAGGTGTAGCTGGTTTTTTTCATTTGTCAGATGGGTTCAATTGCCTTGCTGCTCAGCTAGATGACTTGGTCGCAGAAGGGTGGCAGATTGCATAGATTGCTCGGAGAACGTTTTATGACTACTGTGTATAACTTTGCACTATGCGGGAGTAGGGTTTTTTATAGGGCTATACAAAAGCCTTCATCCCTACCTTTATTGAAGTCCTTTAGTAAGCCTTTAGCGAAGCCTTCAGAGGCCTCTACTCTAGCACTGCCATCAAAGACATTAGAGGAGCCTTCAGAGGCCATGTCAAGCCGGCGCTAGGGTGGGATGGAGTGGGTAGGGAGGTCATACGCAAGAGTTTGGCGGGCTGGAGAGTGCTTGCTGGTTGTGTTCGATCCAGTGGATAGATCAGATATGACAGAGTTAAGGCTAGTCACAAATCTGTACGTCTAGAGAGAGGTTGTACGGGTTATAAAAATTTCGTTCCAGCAAAATAGAGCTACTATACATCCATCCTCTGCGCGCATACATACTCGGACGATAAAATCATCCGCCGATTCTTCCTTCCCTCCTTTCAATTCCCGTTTCCCCGAAGACGCCGTTTTCCGATGGTAAAAAACCTGTAAACTACATAATATAACCTGCATTGTTCCTGAAAAACGCCAGTATGATCGATCCGTCGACTGGGGATGGGTATGGTCATCCCTGACAAGAGACGATGGTGGTGTCGGTTGAGGAGATCGACCGACCTGCCTGGTATAGTCGCTGCTTTGCTTATTCAGCGATGGCGATGAGGAGGTCTCCTAGGTATGACGCCTGCAGAAGTACGTATTAGCAAGCATTCTCAAACCAAAACCCAAACCCTTGCCCCAGAAGAAGCAAAAAAGATAGCCAAAAACTCACCAAACTCTTATTATGCGCAAACACAAACCACAACTCCCCCTCCACCCCCCCAAAATACCTCGCCACCTTCCGTCCCCCCCCAGCCTCCCTCTCATCCTCCCTATCCTCCTCCTCCCTCCCCAGCCTCCTCAAATTCCTCGCCAAATTCCTCAGCACCAGCACAGCCGTAAGCGGGATCCCCGCCGCATCACCCCGCTCATCCACCGCCGTGGACAGGAACGAGAAACTCTTCGTCGAAGCTGGGGATACCCAGCTCGGGTGCTTGAGGGAATCGGAGGGGGGAGAGGGGGGTGGGAGATGGATCTTGATGTGTGGTGCTAGCTGGGCGGGGCGGATAAGAGTGGGGTTGCGGAATTTGGTGCACCCGGGCCAGAGACAACGGTATGTCCCCTCGTCGTTTGTGAATTTCTCCGTCTCCGTCTTCTCGGGCTTAGGTTCCGCCGGTGCGGTCTCGGCTGCACCCTCGCCGCCGGTGGGCTGGGGGGAAGGAGATGGAGAAGCGGTCTTGGGGACGCGGAGGTGGTGGGAGAAGATGTGCTCGAACATCTCGGCTGGCTCCATGAAGAAGCCGCCGCAGGGACGGGTGCTTGTGCCGTCGGGGGTGGGTGTTGTCCACTGGCACTTTTGGTATGGACGGCCTGTGAGATCGACAGGGGCGTCGCGGATGCGGATGCCCTTGATGATGAATTTCTGCACCGGGCCAGCCTGCACCTGAGCCGCGGCCTTGTCGGCAAAAGTCGTGCTGACGTTCTTGATGAACTCCGCGGCTGGGAGGAGGGGACGACCCATCTTGTCGACGGCGTGTGCGAAGCGGGCTTGGTAGGCTTGCCAGAGGGCGATCTGGGTTATCGCCTCGTCCTTGTCTTCTTCGAAGAGGCAGCGCAGCCATTTGGAGGAGCGTTCTGGTTCATCGAGGGCGAGGAGGGCAGTTAGGAGGGGGGCGGGGATGGGTGGGATTTCGGAGGGGGGAGGGCGGCGCGTGGGTGGCGCGAGGAGGAGGTCGCGAGTTGTTTCTTTGGCGCCGTAGATGAGGAGGCGGGTGAGTTGGGCGACTAGAGAGGGGAGGTCGATGGAGTGCGTCATGAGGGAGACATTCGGGAGGACGGCGGTGTATTGGTAGAGGAAGTCGAGACAGGAGTTTACGAGGTCTTCGTCGTCGAGGAGTGTCCAGTCGAGGATGCGTTGGAGGGTGGTGGGGGGGATGCCTTCGAGCCGGTTGGTGTCCTCGAGGTTCATTGAGATGCGGCTGATGGCGCGGAGGGAGGTGAGGACTGCGCCGCGGTCGGGCGAGTCGAGTTGCGCGAGGAGAGAGAGGTAGAGGGGGTCGGTGGCGCTGAAGTGGAGGTACTTGGTGAGTTGCTCGACGATGTCGAGGGCGTAGTGCTTCAGCTCAACGAGCGCCTCAAGGTTAGGCAGGTTGAGGACGATGCTCAACATGTCCCGCAGTGGCCGCATCTCTGATACGTAGTGCGCGTTGTCTTCCAACATCACCATGTTCCGCAGCGTCAGGGCAGCCTCGACGACCTGCAGCATCTTGTCGCTGAAGTTCTCAGGATGGATGCTGTCGTCGACAGCCTTCCGTGCTAGCTTCCCAACACGCTCTAGAATATCCGGCGTCCCCTTTAGGCCATCGAGCGTGTTCCAGTCGCGCTCTTTGCCATCGTCGGGATAGACCACCTGCCACGTAACTTCATAGAATAGAGAGCTGACTTCCAAAATCTTATCAACCAGTGCCTCTGCCAGACCCGCAAATGACTCAAAGCGGTACTTGTCACCCCGCTCCATCGAGATCTTGACGAGATGGTGGAGCGCGTAGTCCTGCTCTTCCTGAACCCCGGATTTAAGTGCTAGTAGACAGCGGACGTAGATATTTGGCCCATCAAAGCCAGTGCCAGGGAGCATGATCCGTGCGCTCGGAGCCGGTCTGGCGAGAGGATTGAGTAGCTGCTCCTTTGCCGCACGTATACGTTTGAATTCGGAGGGGTTGTTCGCCGGTGTAATGACGGGGCGAAGCGTCAATGGCATCTGAGGCCGCGGTTCGTAGTTTGAGACGGCATGCGAGAACGAATCGGGGTTCGATGAGGGATTGTATGATGTAGATGCCCCTCGTGGAGGAAGCGGCGCGGAACCGGGCGGAAGAAGGTTGTGTCTTTGGCGTGAAGGCTGGGTGTCTGGCTGAAAGAGGACTCTCTGTGGGGGGGCCTGTCGCAAGCCCCTTGTTGCTCGTCCTCCGCTTCCAGGCGTTTCCTCACCAACGAGGTCTCTCATAGGTGTTCCATCATCACCGGACGCTTCTGAGCCCTCCAATCCCAACGCGTTTGTCTCGCGGCGGCTCGCAGGGCGATAGTTCTCGACGGTTCGCTCCAGCAAGCCTCCGCCTTTGGCTGTAACGTCTTCGAGAATCTCTTTTGGAGGCGGTTCTTTCCCATGGATGGTGGATATCTCATACGCCGCAAGATTCTTGTAATAAGTCGACTTCAGACTGAAGGCGAGGGCTGGGAGGTTGGCGGTGCCTAGGTTGAAGTCCTGTCCCATTTTGCGCCACGCCAATTTCTCGTCGCTGACCTTGTCGTATCCTCCCCGCTCAACCACCGTCTTGAAGAGCTGCAGCAGGTCGACATGCTTATTCCCGACGCGGGGTTCTGGTTCGAGATTGGTCCCCCGCTTCTGGTGATAAGCCGTGAGGTTCGCGATGAACTCATTGTATTGCTGCTGGTAATTGGCAGAAGTTTCCGACGGTGGCGCCATGGTGTGAGGAACAGGGCGCGAGAAGGCGATACTGCCGCATGCGATAAAAGCCGATCGTCAGAGGTGGCCTAAATCTGGCAGCACAATTGGTTTGCGTACTTCTGTCTTGCGACGCGGTTTGGTGAGCTCGAGAATATTACACGCGACAGCCGCAGCAGACATGGATCACGCTAGTATCTAGGTCACGTGCTTGACAAACCGGATTTGGAGTGGCAGTTTTGACCCTTTCGGGACGGGAGGGAGGTGCCTGGGAGTCCAGCTCTAGGAGACAATAAACCATAAACCGCGGTCTAGAATTCATTCCTGGTTATGGATTGCGACTTTTATCTCCTTTTGTTGAAGGTTGAAGGTTTGGGTGAAGATAAACATCATACGTCATAGAAGTCACCCGTAGATCCACGGACCCTGGCTACTAGTATCTGACAATATATTCCCAGAGACCCTTCAACCAACCTACAACACCCAAGATACCTTTTATCAACACTTTCTGATATCCAGAATCCCATATCTTCGCCCGACAGGGGATCCATCGTCCGATTCACACCACTCTTCACTCTAATCTATATCTCCTTCATATCTCCAAAGCTTCATATTGAGTCTCCCAGTCCGAACGCTGACAAAAACCCTGCACAAGCCGCCTACAGACATGATCTCGCACCCCGCAGAAAAGGTCGCAGCGCCGACGCAGCTGCCAACTCGCCAAAGTACCGGCGCAAGCGGGTTGAGCGACGTGGCAGTGCCTGAGACGGACACGAGAGAGGTTGGTTGCTCCCGTTCCTGGCATGGCCATCCGATACTCTGGAGAATAGTCGCTCATATTTAATAGACCTCTGCTCTTCTTGAAGAGCGCCTGCGCGCATGGAAGCATGCAGTTGGATACCTTGAGGAGTACATTAGTGCAACAGAGAAGGCCCAGAAGGCACATGCGAAAGAGTACGAGAGGGTCTTGAAGGTGAGAACGCCTCTACAATACTTTGTGAATAACTAAGCTAACATTCATATCAGACCATTCAAGATCCTTTGAAGGAGGGTTATCATTTCGACCAGAGTCTTGGCGGTGTCGCTGGGCTTTTTGAGAATATGAGAGTAAACACCGAGGTGAGCAACTCCAAACTTCATCCCCGCTATGTAGCAACCTGCTAACGACTCCATCTCAGAGCCTGGCCAACTCCCATCTCGAAACCGAGAAAAACCTCAAGGGCACGGTTCTACCGATCCTCGAGCGTCTTCACAAGGAGATCAAGAACAAATCCAAGGAGATTTCGTCTGGTGTTGGAAAGGCGGCCAAGGAGATCGAGAAGTTGCGCAACACGACCCAGAAGCACATTGAGCTTTTAGGCCAGCAGAGCGCTGCTGCGGAATCGTCCGGGAGCAAGGTTAACCCGCACGACGATCCATATATCACCCAACGAGGCATTTACTACCGCCTCCACAAGCAAATCCTGGAGGAGAACAACAACAGCCAGGATCTGATCAGCGTCCAGGAGAACTTTGCTGCCTTTGAGCACCACGTTGTCGAGGTCATCCAGCAGGCGATGGCATCGTTCGTCCAGTACGTCGGCGGCCAGGTGCAGCGTAACCAGAACGCGTACACGGATATGCTGAGCAATGTCCAGCGCATTCCTCCGGACTTTGAGTGGAACGGCTTCAAGCAGCGTGAAGCTGAGACCCTTGTGGACCCCAGCTCCGCACCGCGCTCCATCGATGGCGTCACCTTCCCTAACCAGAACCACAAGTCCACCCAGCCGTTGCTCGAGGGCACTCTGGAGCGCAAGTCTCGCAACATCCTTTCCAGCGGCTACTCCACTGGTTACTACGCCATCACGAACGCTCTGTACTTGCACGGTTTCAAGGACAACGACAATGTGCGCAAGGACCCAGAGCCGGAGGTTTCCATCTACCTCCCCGACGCCGTCGTCGGCGTCCCGAACGGCGAGAAGTTCCATGTCAAGGGCAAGGACGTCTCCAAGGGCTTCAGCAGCAAGCTCGCCGGAACATCCGAGCTCAACTTCAAGGCCCACACCGCCAACGATGCCGAGAAGTGGGTTGAGGTTATCAAGATGGCCGCTGGCGCCAATGCCGCAAGGGCTCCATACTCCTCGGGCCCTTCATCCCCTATCTCGCCTACTACTCAGAAACAGGCTAGTATCGGCTTGATAGGTGAGGCTGCCCCGGTTGCGGAGACGAAGGCCGTCGAGGCGGCCCAGGAGCAAGGTGTTACGGCTGCTCACCCCGCTCCGCTGAAGATTGAGGAGGGTGTTACGGGAGGGAAGACTGTTGCGAGCCCGACTGCTGTGGCTCCTTCGGCGACGGGGGCTGTTGTTGGGACTGATAAGACTACGATGCCCCCTGTTGAGTAAATACCCGGGGCAGAGATTGTTTGACAGATAGTCTATTGGTTTTATTACCTATGTCCTTTCTATGTGTTTTACTCTTTGAGTAATCTTTGGTGGTTGTGTCGCATAATTCGAGTAATTTGAATAGCAATTCTCATTGATTATTCTACATCTCTCCTACCGACCCGTTGTTCCTTGAAACCCTTTTCAGATCTATAATCCCCGGCAGATTCCTGTATCAGTAGATCTAGTAGCAGATAACTCTTAATATATCCTGTTTTAAGATAATCATAACGATCACTCTACGGTTTAAGGGGTGCAGGAATGGACGCTTGCGGTCACTGAGTGTTAAATTTGCCAACCGTTGTCTCCGAAGCCCAGAGCCCTCCTCCAGCTATAGATTCACACACACCCCATAAACAAGCCAAACCTATCAAACTAAACCCCAGCTGGAACCAAAAAATGCCCTCTAGCACCTTCCCTTTGAAGGTCCCGCACGTGACCTGCACCGCCACAGCACCCCAAACGCCCGCCACAAAACGCGGGGGTTTGGCGCTAGTCCTATCGTGATGACGACCGGCCTCACCACAGAGCACCCAGCCAGGCCAGAGGTCTTCAGCACGCTCGCGACCTCCTCACCCTCACCTCCATTCCCGCGCCCCGACAGCAACCACGCCCACGCCCACCTCCGCCACCACCGCACACGACGAGCGCGGCGCCCATTGCAGGCGTCTGAGGAAGAGATGGCTTCGCAGCTGGAGACGGTGTCGGCGTTTGTGGAAGGCGCTCCGCCGGGAGAGGTAGCTATGGCCCGTCCCGCTGGAGTTTGATAGGGGGGTTTGCTGACGCTTCTTTGATAACAGTTGGGAGATGTTATTGCAGGTACGACAAGATCAAGGTTTAGGGTGTGTGGATGAGGCTGATTGGAAGTAGATATCAAGGCGCTTACGGTCGAGAGCCCGGAGCTCATCAGCCAGCTTGGACCGGCATTTGAGAAGTACAATGAGGAGCAGTTTGCGACCGTGAAGTTACCGGGGGGAAGCCAACAGGTGTGTTTTCGAACTGTGGAAAGGGAGTACGATTGGGCGGGGTTAACTGGTGGGTTGTAGGTTATTGTGAGCTCGCACAACTCGCTGGGTGATGGGCGATACTTTGATGTGGAGAACTCGTCCAGTTTCGAGTTCGATCATAGCACACAGGTATGCTACTACCACGATGGGTGCTCAGGGGGTATGGTCTAATTAGGGGTTACAGAAAGCAAGCAATGTCCAGAGCTACGTGCTGGAGAGCGCCAACTCGGACCTCATGTAGGTTGCCGCCTCGTTCATGTCAGGCCAGTGCTGACCCCGCGCAGCAAATCGCTCATCAAGAGCTTAGCAAAGCATGCTGAGGACCACTACCCGAACTCATCATACGGTGTCTACCCTATTGAAGACGACTCGAAGATTGCCATCCTCCTTGTCGCTAACAAGTACAGCCCCAACAACTTCTGGTATGCTAGTTATATCTCTCAGTTGAGTGTCCGGTTGAGTATATGGCTAACCAGCACTAGGAATGGCCGTTGGCGCACGCTGTACATCCTCTCGCCTTCCCCATCTTCCTCATCTCTCGTCGGTAGCATCAAGGTCGATGTCCACTACTACGAAGACGGCAATGTGCGACTACTGACTACCAAACCCGTATCCCTGTCGGTCTCGTCAAGCACTGCTACTTCCATCGTCCGTGAGATTGCTGTTGCAGAGAAGAAGTACCAGGAGAACCTGAACAAGGGATTCACCAGCCTCAGCGAGGGAGCATTCAAGGGCCTCAGACGGCAACTGCCCGTTACCAGGCAGAAGGTGGAATGGGACAAGATTGCAGGATACAGACATGGCCGTGGTATTGCCAAGTCGGCTGAAGGGTTCTAGAGTTGTGCAAGCTGGCGGGGGGATTATTTATGCTTTATACCAAGTATATAGATGTGGTAATAAAATGGCATAAAATATTAGGTTGCTCCATAACCCGTCAGGAGGTCAATCAATTTCCATGATCCCGGAGCCAATCAGCGTGTCTTGGGATTTGATGACTAAGGAAGTTAGGACTTAGTCAGGCCACCAGGCCACCAGGCCACCAGGCCACCAGGCCACCAGGCCACGAAATCACGGCTTCAGGCCACGAAAGCAGGCCATTTAGCAACCGAATTATTGGCCCCATCAATTTTCACAGGCCGAGCGAATAAGGGGTCCTTCAGCTCCTCAAAGTACGATACCCGAATTTCAAAGCACGCGTATGACCAGTCGGTCGATTGTTTTCCCCAGGTTTCCATTTTGGTTTATTTGTCTTCTTCTTATACCGAGCAATTACCCAACGAGAGGAATATCGATCCAAATCAAGCAAATCCGCAATATCGAACCAGATCATCTCCTCCACTTTTTAAAGCATCATGTCTCAAGAATTTACTTTCGCCGAGGTTGCGAAGCACAACACCAAGAAGGATATCTTCATGGTCATCCACGATAAGGTCTACAATACCACCAGCTTCGTTGACGAGCACCCGTAAGTGCCTCATTTTTTCGAAGTCTATGTCTACAAATTTCAGTATGGGCGCCAGTCAGGAAGGGCGCGGTGGACATCCGCCCCTTTGATTGCCTCTGGAATGGGGCTCTCACATGCGCCGTTGCAGTTCCCAGTTCCAGTGGCCCATTGACTCCGTGAAATTGGCTGCCCAGGCTGTTACCACTTACTGCTGCCGACTACTTCTACTCTCACTCCTGTTCATGATGCTAACTATATCACAGAGGTGGAGAGGAGGTCCTGCTCGACGTTGCCGGACAAGATGCCACTGAGGCTTTCGAGGATGTTGGACACAGCGACGAGGCCCGCGAGATCCTCACCGGCATCGAGGTCGGCACACTGAAGCGCATGGTACGCAACCCCCCCTAAACCCGCTCCTAGCGTCGTATTCGGAAAATGCATCTTACTAACTCCCCTCCCAGCCCGGCGACCCAGTACCCAAGGCCCAGGTATCCTCCACCACCGTCCAGCCTGCCGCGACCGGCATGGGCAGCGTAGCCCTCTACTTCATCCTGGTGACGGGTGGTGCGGCCGCGTTCTTCGCCTACAGATACCTGCAAGGCGAGCAGTCGCAACAATAGATTTCTTGACGGCGGTGGCGCGTGACGTGATATATGAGGGCGGATGAATGGATGGGGAGGGAGGGAGGACTTGGGATGGGTGTATGCGAGGGTTTATACACGTTGAGCCAGCGCACATGGCCATGAACGCCATTTAGCAGCACACAAAAGGCACACTTTGGTGCGCTTTCATCTTAGATCGTGTAATAGACTTGGGACTTCTTTTGGACCGGTTTCCTTTCTTTGATTAGGATTATTAGGTCCCGCTGGGAGGGGTGCCGAGGAGGGCTAAATACCAAACGTACACACAATCCTCGTCCATTTATATTGCGAAAACAGCCTCTTTGCCGAGTGGTGATGCCGTGTAGTGATGCCGTGCGGTGATGCCCCGCACTTCTTGTAAATACCACTTCAGCCAAGTTCAAATAGTTCCTCGTTGCCTACAATGTAGAATAGTACGGTGCCTCTTTGGATTTAGAAGAAGTATTTCCTGATATGTTGCCCATGGTCATGTCATGGGTTACTTCTCCTGTTGAGACATCTGTGATCCACGTCTAACCCCCCCGCCCCGCTGTTGAGAAACTTCGAATCACGAACCTGAAATCATGCCTCAAAATAACCCAACTCCATTAGTTAGTCAACGAACGGCCCTAGAATCGATCAAGATTTCTTCTTCATGTGGATTCTTTCGGATTGAGGCCCACGCCTGGGGGTTGCACCGCCACTCGGCCCAGCAAAAACCGCGTAAGTAGTGACGAGTTGGCCAGTGACGTGCAGTCGGCCGCTAAATACACCCACCCCCCCGCCGCTAAAGAAGCTTCCAAGCGACTGTGACCGCCGACAATGCAAGGCTTCCAGCCTCTTTCAACAAACCAGACACGCATCTCCTTGATATCACCCCAACTTCCCCACGACGTATAGGAACCGCATCAACAGTACGCCATCATGTTTCGGGCTCAGCAGAATGCCTTCGACGATGTTGTCGGTATGTATTCCTCCTATGATGGAATGGGTTCGTATCCGGAAGACTAATGAGGAGCTCCTATAGCCAAGGCAACCGACGAGAACCTCACGTCTGAGAACTGGGAGTATATTATGGATGTGGTCGACAAAGTAGGATCAGAAGAGAGCGGCGGCAAGGATGCCGTGGCAAGCTTGATCAAGCGACTGGCGCACCGTAATGCCAATGTGCAGCTTTATACACTGGAGGTAGGCACGTCGCCACACTTATAACCCGGAGTCGCCCTGACATCATATAGCTCGCGAACGCTCTCAGCCAAAACTGCGAATCGAAGATACAGCGCGAACTCGCCTCGAGGGCCTTCACCGATGCCCTGCTCCGCCTCGCAAACGACAGAAACACGCACCAGCAGGTGAAAGCCAAGATCCTGGAACGCATGGCGGAATGGGCTGAGATGTTCAAGAAGGACCCGGATTTGGGGATCATGAATGAGCAGTACCACCGACTCAAGAGCCAGAACCCGAATTTACACCCTCCATCGGCGCCGTCGAAGAGCAGACTCACGGATGTGGATCGCAAGAAGGAGGAAGAGGAGCTGCAGATGGCTTTGAAGCTGTCCATTCAGGATAAGGGATCTCAGCCCGCTGCTCCTGCACAACAATCTGCGGCGTCATCGTCGTCGCAGGCGCAGTCACAGTCACAGGCCCCCGCAGGAGCACAACCTGTTCCGTCGGGGACGACTGCGGCGACTGTGTCTCGTGTGCGCGCGTTATTCGACTTCCAGCCATCGGAGGACGGGGAATTACAATTCCGGAAGGGGGACATCATCGCCGTTCTAGAGTCTGTCTATAAGGACTGGTGGAAGGGATCGTTAAGGGGCCAGACCGGCATCTTCCCGTTGAACTACGTTGAGAAGCTGTCGGATCCGACTCCAGATGAGCTTCAGCGAGAGGCGCAGATGGAGTCGGAGGTCTTTGCGGAAATTAAGAATGTCGAGAAACTGCTTACATTGCTCAGCACATCGACTTCTGAGTTACGTGGGGAGGATAACGATGAAATCACTGTATGTATTCTGTGACACTGTCGCCATACTTTGCTAACTGTACCAGAAACTCTATCATTCAACTCTAGCAATACGCCCTAAGCTCATAGAGCTTATTGGAAAGTATTCTCAGAAGAAGGGTAATTATTATCTTGCGTTATCCTTGATACCGAGGCTAATCTCTAATAGACGACTTTACGCAACTGAATGAGAAGTTTATCAAAGCTCGCAGAGACTACGAGAGTCTACTAGAGACATCAATGTCCCATCCACCTCAACCAACTTACGGATACGGTCGGCCACCGCAGGCCCAGCAATACGGCGGTGCGCCCGCTGGATATCCCCCGCAACAAAGCGGCCCGCCAGTGCAGGATCCTCAAAGATACTATACTCCTAACCCACAAGGTATATAGACTCAATTTCATTAGTTCGGCATCCTTGTCACGAGAACAGCTGTTGAATTATTTCCAGACCAACGTCAACAACAATACCCGCCACAACCCACGTCGCCGGTTTACCCAGCTGGCCAGACCGTGGCACCGTTCTACGTCGTCCCCCAAGATGCCCAGCAACCGCCGCAACACCAGCACCAGCACCAGCAGCACCAGCACCAGCAACACCAGCATCAGCCACAACATCAACCACCCCAACAAACTCCCCAGTACCCTCAAGACACTCCACAGTACCCTCAAGACCAACCCCTCCCCCTCCGCACCGCATCGTCCACATCCAACATCGCACCGCTGCAACCCAATTCCCCACCCCCTAACCAGGGCACTCCCTACCCACTCCAACCCCAAACGGGTCACCGCCCACAGAGCACCTACGCCGACCCCCAAGAGCTTGCCACATCAAGATACTCCCCCATTCAACAACACCAACCCAGCGACCCGTACAGCTCTACCCCCGCCTACCCCAAGATCCTTACAACGCCATCTCACCCCTCACCCAACCGGCCCACCCCACCAACCCCAATACTCCGCCTATGCTCCTCCCCAGCAGCAGCAGCAACAGCATCCACAACAGCCCACCTACGAGCCGCCAACCCCCTTGCCGGCCCCACTGCAGGTGAACTCTGGTTTTGCAGCTCAGAATTCGCGCCAGACGCTTCCAAGCCAGGGCCAGGGCCAGGGACAGGGACAGGGGTATTTACCATATAACCGCCTCGACTCTACTCGGAGGACATCGGTGGGACCGCCGAGCGTGCCGCCTGGTGGAGGAGGACCGGCGGATTTCTATCGCCAGAGCACGGCGTACTAAGCATGGATTAGTTACTTTTGTGGAGGGGAAGGGGAGGGGAGGGTGTGTATATAACTTCACGGATGAGTTGGGGGGGATGGAAGTGAGATTTAGCGCGTTGCGTTGATACATTGAATTAGTTGTCGTCGTTGATTCGAGAGGCGGTTTGAAGGCGCGAGACGTGGTGGTTGGCGGCGGTTATGATATGATAGCTGCTGACATGAGAAATCCGATTTGGTCCGCGCGGTGGAGATGTGTCGATTGTGCCATTAGAGCGGGTTCTGGGGGAGGTGCGAGTACAGATAGGTCTGGCGTTTTCTCAAGATGCGATATAATTCATCGTTTTTTAAAATACATATTGGGTTTCCATTGCTATGCTGAGCCTTGATTGAAATATACTAGTTTGCTTTTGTTCGCGTATGTACAGGTCACTAATTCCACCCTCACCCCCACCGAAGGTAAAAACCGAAGCCATGCAAACTAATCAATGCACCAAACTATCCTCAAACAACTTCCTCAACTGCTCCCTCTCCTCCCCCAGCTCCTCCGCGAGACTCGGCGCAAGCATCAACACCCGCTTCTGCGGAACCGTCCCCTCAACCAACTCATCAATATGCTCCCTCCCGAATCCCAGATCCTTCAGCCCCCTCGGCTGGTCACCTAGCTCCTCGAGAAACTTCGCAAGAGCCTCTGACAACACCTCTCCAGCGCTCTCGCGCTTCACGTTCGAGATGTCCACCCCGAAGGCCTCGGCGGCGGCGAGATGGCGCTCGGGGTTCGTGGCGGCGGTGAAGCGGAAGACGGCGGGGGCGGTGACGGCGACGGAGACGCCGTGGGGGATAATGGGGTAGGGGACGTTGTAGCCGGTGTGTTTGTACCCGCGGTTTTGGCCGGAGACGGGGTAGGACATGCCTTGCTAAATTAGCGAGGATGCTAGGTGGGAGAGGAAAGTTGGTTACCGTGGCAAAGATGCACGCCAGCGTTGCCGAAACCGACGCCGGCAAGTGTGGCAGCGAGGAGCATCTCGCTCTGCGCCTCGTGGTCATCTGGGTCCCTAACCGCGCGGGGCAGGTACTTAACCGTCGATCTGAGAGCCTGGAGGGAGAAGATATCACTAATAGGATTCGCGCCCTGGTACGCGGGACGATTAATCGGGTTTTGCGGGCGGGGCATACGCTCATTATACGGGATGGCAGTCCAGCTCTCGAGACTGTGGCAGAGGACGTCTAGACCGCTCGAGGCGTGGACGGCGGAGGGCATGGTGCGTGTGTTAAGTGGATCACATATACCCAGCGTAGGCTTGAGAACGCGGTGAGCGACGCCGGTTTTCGCGCGCGCGGAGGCGAGGTCAAAGATGGCGGAGCCGGTGGTCTCGGAGCCGGTTCCTGCGGTGGTGGGGACGGCAATGAGGGGGAGGAGGGGTTTGTCGATGGGGAGACCTTTGCCGAGGGGGGCGTTGACGAAGTCGAGGAAGTCGGCGTTGGGGTAGCAGGTGTACAAGTTCATGAGCTTGGCGGTGTCGATGACGGAGCCGCCGCCGACGGCGAGGAAGGCGTCGGGTTGGTAGGGTTTCGCGAAGGCGATGGCTTCTTTGATGCTGGTGGGGAGATGGTTAGTTGTGATCAGGTAGTTGTGGGAGGGACTTACGAAGTGTCCTTTGGCTCGACTCTGACGCCGTCATAAACTATGTAATCGATTCCTTCTTGGTCCAGACCCTCTTGAACTTGCTTCATAGCATTGAGATGCTTGACCGTGCTATCCGTCACTACGCAAACACGCTTGGCTCCCATATTCTTGAAATCCATGCCGACTTCCTTAGTTACACCGGGGCCGAACCGGATAGAAGAAGCGGCCATCTCGAAAGCATACTCTTTCTGACGGGAAAGGTCCACGGGAGTGGCATAGTTACGCTGCAGATTCCGCTTGGCATGGCTGAGAAGGCTGTTTGACGGCTTATGATGATGGTGATGAGACGGATTGCCGTGGCAAGGACAGCTTGGGGGGTGAGTGTATTGGACTGTACGAAGCAAACTCATCGCCCGCGCCGCTTTCTATAGAAGATGTTACTCCAAGTGATCTCGTGCCGAGGCTATAGAACAAGGATACTACTTACAGTGGGCGCAACACGGATAGCGGAAGCCATTTTGGAGGAGATATCTTGTGATTATAGGATATTTGTTGAAGAAGAGGAGTAGCAAAAAAATATATATATGGAGCTGGGGAGGGGGAGGGGTTTATAAATGGGGTATAAGCGGAGAGTAGGACTGTTTGTTTCGTCGCATTACCGGGTTGAAATGCGGGGGAACTGGGGATGAGACCCGATTTGGAGAACCCGTGGGGTACAAGCGAAACCAAGCCGATTCGTGTGGGGTAAAGTACAGCCAGCACATCCTATTACCCCAACTTCGGACCAAGGCACCAAGACTCTGGAAGAAACAACCTTTTTATCAAGAATAATAAACCCAACGGTGCTGAGAAGTATGCATCGTGGGAATTGTACTATATATCAGCATCCCTTCCATCATTAATCATACTAATACCGTACACACAGTTCATATATCGCGCAATCACATCACAAGTTGCCAACACAGTCAGTAGCGTCAATCGTCATTTCAACACAAATCTCCAACTACTCTGAGAGCGAAGATAACAACGTATCGTGCTCACTCATATACTGCTCGCCGCAGACAACGGCCCTTGAGCCGCCCAGTCGCTATGCATCCTATCTGCGCCTTAAACCCCATACGACAAAGAAACCAGACCCGTGGATACTGACGGTATCCAGCGCCAAACACCCCATGCTCCTAAACGAACGTGTGCTTCCCTATGTACAATACTATATCCGCCTCTCGCCGTCTCACCACATCTCTCCGTCCTTGTCGTGATCATAAGCCCCTTGCTGTTGATTATCGTACTGGTAATACTGCTGATGCGAATATTGCCCCTGTCCAGATTGCGAATAGTCATCGCCGCCTTGCCTTCTAGACGCCTGCCGTGGTTGGTTATGGCCTCCACCGTCGTCCTGGTGGTCGTAATCATAGATCTGAGAATCATCAACGTAAGTCACAGTTTCTGACCCATCGTGTTGCTGCTGCTGATGGTGTCGTTGTTGATGATGATGCTGCTGCTGCTGCTGCTGGTCTGATGGAGAGTCGGCATAGTTAGCGATTCCCTGGAGTCGGTCAGTATTGCAAGCTCCATCTGTGCCAAATGGCTGTAAATCTTACCTGATGATAGTCATATCTGTATTGTTCGCTTTGCTGTTGCTCCTCTTCTTGGCGACGCTCAGCCTCCTTTGCTTTGCGCTCTGCTTCCTGGGCCTTCTTCTGTGCTGCAGACTGCGGTACCTGCACATGAGGATGCATCTGCTGAACCTTGGCCAGGTAGGCATACATAAAATTGCTCAGAAGCACTTGACTATGCAATGGTCGCCGCGGGTTGGCCAGCTTGATGTGCGCCATGCGGTAGATGGCGCGTTCTTCCAAGAGAGAAAAACTTGTCCAGTTATAGTCGACGTCAGGACGGAGATGCCTTGGCGGGTCGGGTGATAGAGCGCGTAATGAGGCCGATTTCTTGCCTCCTGAATCGCGTTCCCCTTTCTTCTTACCACCAAAGAGAGACGAAAACAAGCCGTCTTTCTCTTTCTTCTCCTCTTTGCCGGATTTGCGAGAGCTCTCTTTTTTCCGCTCATCTCCTAATTTGTTTTCAAAACTCTCCCTCTCTTGGTGTAAACTCTCCCTGCCCCGCTGAGCATTTGACTCAATCGAATGTTGCAATACGTCGAGACGAGCAACGTCATGAGTTTTCTCCAGGCTAACCTTGGCCTTGCTCTTTTTAGACGATTCGTCATCCTTCTTCTTTTCCTTCTTATTCTTGTCATCGCTTCCCTTGAACCATCCCCATCCTTTCTTAGGAGTGTTCGACTCGTTATCATCCTTGTCCCTTTCTCTATCTTTATGGGTCTTTACTTCTGGCTTCTTCTCTTTGACCACTGTAGGAATGAACGTTAAGCTATCTGTTCTCGAGCTACTTCCAGGCAGTGGTGATGACGATTGCGTTAATTCGTTAACCAGGTTTGCCTTGGAAGATTTGGGAACGGCGTCGCCAATGGAGGAAACCTGCCTTGCCACTCCCGGCCGCCTGCTAGAACGAGGCGGAGGCTGTGTCAGTGGTTGCTCTGCGGCCTGTGGCTGGTTAAAGGATGACGAACGTTCAGGGAATGAGTGGTGGGTAGGCGACAGAGGTTCTTCTGATGGCTGTTCGTCTTCAGGAGGTGTTTCAATTATCTGCGGCAATGAAACATCAGATCGGTGAGATTCTGTTTGCGACAACGTTTCTTCCCCAAATTGTACGCTCTGGTCGGTCAATTTATATTTTGACCCTTGTATCTGATCAGAATCTTTGTCCTCTATAGTAGGGCCTCGCCGGCGGTTTGGGCGTGAGAAATTCTCAGAAACAGGTTCAGACATAACTCGTTTTACTCCTTGACTTATAAAGGGATCATCCCCATCCGCGTCAGCCTGCCTTGCTCCGGCTCGTTTCGAATATGGTACACGTTCTCCTCTTCTAAGGCTGCCTTTGCGATAAGTCGTATGTGTGGATCGTCGCAGTCCGAAACCTGGCGCAGCTGGGAGTATAGGCATATCCTCGTCTGCCGGAACTTCCGCTCCTGTATCGTCTCGTTTACCCCTTTCCATTGACAGCTTTTGAAAAGCCCTTGCAGGGTCTTTAACCAGCTCGTCCAGCTCTGTCAAATCAGATATCTTTATTTCATTTCCTCCCTGAGACAGCAACGACCTCCTTCGTTCGAGCTTGTCGGCTCCATCTTGATAACCCAATCCGCCCTTTCCTCCAGAGTTGTCTATTTGCCGTGACAGCATAGACTTCTTCCTCCGCAAACTACTCGCAGACCCAGACCGTTCCAGGATGTCCGGTACCAACGTCGAATCTCCCGATCGCCTCTTAATAGTCTTTACACGGGTTTCCAAGAACGACTTGAACTCCATGGGTGCCAGCTCTGGATGAACCCTTGCAGGCACCCAAAATAGTCGTGATGGGTCATCTTCGTCGTCTCCTCCGGTCGGGGCGACCGATGGCATCACAGGGCGCCCTTGGAACGAAGGTAGATCGGGGTCGCTGGTATTTCCCACATCCATCGACATGCGTCGCAAGGCTTGTAGGTTACTCAGCTCTTGCGCTACAGCAGCGGGGTTAGATTCGTAGTCGATGTCATCTAGAGGGAACTGTTGGTTGGCCGTGTCGGCAATGGAGTGGCCGTCTCGCAACGAGTGGCTCGTAGAAGGCGGTGCAACATCGATAACTGCATTCCTGTGACTTGGATGCGCCGCTGGCAGTGTGTGTGATTTCCCAGCCGGGCCGCCATTAACTTGTAGCTGAGGTCTTGGCCCAGCATTTCGTCTACCTGTCAGCGGTTCTGTTGTCCAATTCGAGTTCGAGAAATAAGCTTCGTCCGACTCAGGCGGTTGATTCAGAGGAGAGCTGATAAAGCTCAAGGGTCTAGATTCGCGTTTCCAGTCGTCATCGTCTCCATACATGTCTCCGATCGCTTCTGTGACATGATGATTTGTGTCGCTGATAGAAAGTTGAGCTCCATGGCGGCTTCTGCTCTTAAAGCTTCCTCCCAGCTCCCGCGGTCTAGGTGTTGCCTGCGATAAAAGAAACGTAGGTCAGCCAGGAAGTCAACAAGGCAGCCGGTCAAGGCTCAAGAGTCAGCCTGGTCGCGTGGGTTGCAGAAGCGCTGGCCATATTGAGCCGGGCCAGACCTAGCGACACAGGTTTCCATTTCCAGATAAGGGATTGTGTACGAACCTTCATAGAGATACCGATAAATCTCACTTGTCAATCCGGGATTTTCTTATTGCTCGGCGAAAGACCACCGAAAGCTGGTTAGGTCGCGGTGGTGGTGGTGATGCTCATTTGGAGGACAATGAAGGTGCGGTCGTCGTGAGGGCTGAGGTCGACCATGAGTTCCGTCTCTCCAGCTTTTCGATACCAACCACTTCGCAAAACTTATGGCGAGTTATACAAAGATGTCGCAGTCCCAGAAGTTGGAAGAAGCATCAATCAGTAACGCTGGGGGGTGGCCTTAATGATCGTTTTGGAGGAAACCCATGCCCCAAGCTTTGTTTAGCGAGTTGACAGACCCCTGCCTTATACAACAATAGAATATCAGGCACAGTCCCTTGCAGTCGGTGGTACACGGCGCTGTACAAACAGTTTGAACTCATACAAACAAACCGTAAACAAATGTTAAATAGACCTCGGTGCTTTATCACTCGCTACTCATGTCAGCGACGATTCTCGAATTCTTCATAGGGATCGAGGCCTTTCCATGACGAATTGCCAAGCCCTTCCCTTCCCGCTGCCTCATTCCACTCTTCTTCTGGCGCTTAGCTGTGCCGTCCCTGTATCGAATGGTTATAAAATAGCCAGTTACAGCGTCACATCGATTAAATCTTTTACGGAGAGTAATAAAGGTACGTTTGGGGATTGGATGCATACAATTACAATATTGCTACTGTAGTACTGGAATGGACGAGAAACCTACAGGGCCAAAAAAAGCATGCACCGACCCCCTTTCTAGTTAAAGCCAGTAAACAAATGCAGAGAGGTGCAAGACATGTAGAGCAGAGCCCCCTAGGTATGCTAGACTGCCTGAATTAAGATCCAAGGTTTATTTGTAGGATTTCCCGGTTGTGCGACACATTGAGACTGCCTACCAGGGAACGTATGATCCGTCCTTCGGTCGAAACAAGGTCAAAGCCGTTGGACATCATCATAATAAATCCCTGGCTCAATTCCAGGTGCTATCCCTCTGGTATAGTTACCAAAGAAGCCCAACCAAACAACGCGATTAAGACGTTCAAGACCGGATTGTTCATCTTCTCAAAGATATTAGCCTGCACAGTGCCAGGACTAACAGCGACGGTGATGATGCTCGGATACCGCTTCGCGGGCGCCTTCGCGTGAAGAATGTTTGCCAGCTTGGACCAGGCATATCACGTCCAATTGTTCCCAGTGTTGAAATCGTCGAAGTCGATTCCCTTCTCAGTGGCATGGTAATGCCCGTCGGAGCTGATGTTGACTATGCGCACTGCCCAGTGGGTGCTGACTCTGCTGTCTTCAACATTGTGGGCAGGAGAAGCTTCGTTAGAAGGGCGTGACCCATGTGATTCGTCCCGAATTGTAGCCCATAACCGTCTTTTGTGACATCAGAGGGAAGGTTTGAGATTCCGGCTTTGTTGTATCGAGTCTCTCAAAGTCGGCTTTGACCACAGCTACGGCCGACTCGATAGAGGCGAATGAGACCATGTGAATCTCGAGTAGTTTGGCATTGGAATCTGACGCTTCAGATTTGATATCACTGAGCGCTGCCTCTCCTCTCTCTAGGCATCGTGTGCCCAAATAAATGCATTTGGGGTTGTGCTTTGCTAATCGCAGTACCATCTCCTTGCCCAGGCCATTGTTGCCTAGAATCAGCGTTAGAAAGGGATAAACCTCAAGTCATATCTGAAGGATTGCGTACCTCCAGTAACCAAGATAACCTTCTGAGAGATCCTCAATGTCCTGGTCCGGATCAAACTTCACACTTTTTCACCACCACATGATGAATGAAGATTTTGTGTTAACCCAATGAATTCCCGCTGAAGATGTAAAACGTTAGACAATATTGAAAGGAGGGAAATTCTCCGGGCTGTCACGACATTTATGTGGTTTACACATGCCCAGGCTCCAAGGCAAGCAAGCAAGGCCTCAAGCCTTGCCCATCAGTCAACAACAAAATCCAGATATTCTCAAATCATAAGACATAATATTCGGTTAGAGCTAAATGTATTCAAGGGGTCGACGATACTGCACATGACGCTCAACCTTGCGGCAACAAACCTGCGATCCACTTGAGTAAGCTGACAGTCGTACCAGTCACAATGCAGATAGGGGCTACGAGTAGTAGGCAAGGGGGCATTCTATACCCGTGCATAGTCAAACAATCATAAATAGTATCTGATTACAGTAATCCTGCGATGAGCACTACACTACACAATATAGAATATTAGATTCTTGTATAAAGGATCTAGCATCGCTATCACAAGCATGTGGCCTGATGATGAATGCGAGAAGTACGCCTTGTAAATGCCAATGCAAAGCCCACAATGACCTCTCCGATGCCCAGTAACGCTGCGAGCAGGTTCAAATGCGAGGACGACGCCAAAATAAGAAGCGAAAAAATGATCAACACAATTTACACATGGGATCCCGTGTTGACAAAAACAATGAAGTCCGAAACGCCCGTACATGCCCCTACAGGAAATCCATCTTGATAAAGATAAAAAGCTCCAAGGGTTTCCTCATAAACACTCTCTCGTATCAGGCATAATAGGGGTCCTCCTTAAGAGGTCGGCCCAGTTGGCTCAGTAGAGCATCCAGCTCTGTCCAGTTTTCGCTCTTCTCGGCGAAGCGGCGATGTTTGCGGGTGACACAATGCTAGGGAATGTTAGCTAAATGAAGAGAACAAAGGGTGTCAAGGATGTAGTACCTCTTCAAAGTCATCAAACTTATCCATGCAGTTTTCGCAATACCCAGGTTTGGGGTCTCTTTTGACGACCTTCCTCTTCGGGAGAGCTTTGACAGTTCGGCTCTCGTCTGTACGCCGAGCAGTGTTTTCCTGTTCATTGTTCCATCCATCTTCCTCAATGGCACCGAGGCTTTCTTGATTCTTCCGTTTGCGAATCCGTGCCCCTGCTTCGTCTTTAGCGGCGACATTGAGGTCTGTCATCCGGTGCGAGCTAGCCAAGCCCAGCGAGGTTGGGCCACTAGTTCGTTCCAGAACCTTGCGCTGCAAGCCGTAGACTTCTTTGCTAGTTCCTGCCTTGGCGCCCGGTCCGGCTGCGGTGGATGATATCATTTGAGATCGAATTGCAGAAGTGATGTTCGACTGCTGGAGCCCAGAAGCCACCGGTTCACCGCCAAAGAGTCTCCCAACACCAGCTCGGCTGACAAAAGCATTCTGTGGTCCTTTCGACGAAGGCTCGTCATCCAGTGACTTGGATGGATCCGTTGCTCGGCTGAATGTGTTTCGCTGCTTCAGAGGAGCTGAAACCGTATTGCGGTTAGCAGTGTTTTCGCCGTCCATTAAAGCTCGCTTGCTGCTCGCTGTCGGGGGCTGCATCCTTGCTTGGCCTGCAGCAGCTGCACGGGTTCTGGGCACAGCACTACTCTCTTTCTCCTGCTGACGCTGTTGCCTGGCGGCGTCTCTCTCGGCCTCTCGGCGGCTACCATCGACCTCCGGTACAAACGGGCATTTCCCATTGGCAACGCTCCTAAATTGCGGCCAGTCACCCTGCTCTTTATTCGACACTTTCGCGTATTCCCGAACCATGATAGGTTTTTGCTTCTCGTCAACATCATGGACATATATATACAGCCCCTTAAACATAATCATTTCTTTTGTCGCCACTGTAGGGTCACGGTCCGAAGGGCCATGGATCCGCTCATTCCGCAATAATGCCGAGAGATCAGCCTCACGCGTGCTCCGGGATACTCCACTGATAGTACCCTGGGTTGTGTTGCTCCTGGTATTGTGGCCATGTGCAGCCTGCGATCCAGTATCTGTGTCGAACATAGTGGTCATCATCCGTTGGAGTTTCTCCAGCGCCCATATCTTCATGCCCAGTTCTCTAGCACGATGGAGAACATCGGCATTCCTCCCCTGCTGCCTTCGGATATCGATATCATTATGGATAGCTGACGCCTTCCTCGGGTTCACTTCGAATGTAAACCTCGATTTCAGAGGTTGCGAATCAATGTGATTGCCTGCTGGCTCGGACGACCGATCCAAAAGCGACGGGTTGATTGTTTGTGGGTGGTTGCTCCTAGAGTTTACATCGGCTGCTGAGGAGTCTCTGGCAGTATCAGTCGGGCTAACAGCCAGTTCGGGGGGTATCGTTCGTGTTGTGACAACATGAGTAACGGCGTTTGAGAAGAATTTCTCCTCTCGCTAAATGAGCATCAGCAAATGTCCGTACGGTTGATTGAATGATATGAGAGAACTTACTGCACCAAGAGCTGTAACTTGTTTGGCATATCTGACTCGAACATCCTCCGAGATGCTCTCGAAGTAGAAAACAAACTTTGGGAAAACCTTTCTATAGTGACGCTGCCACTGCCTTATAGTCTCCAGGTTTTCTTCTGAGGCCTTGTCTGCCTTGGCAACAGCTTGCTGGACTGGCCTTCGTTGTACCGCCTCCAGCTTGCGGTCAAACGCTGCGGGTTGGGCGTGTGCCCTTCGCGAGAAGACCTGGCCTTCAGCTGACTCGGTCAGAGACTGCCGCGGAGAAGCCTTCAGGCCTCGGTGGGTAACCTCAACTATGTGTTTCTTAGCTGGAGGTGGTTGCCCATAGGCTTCTTCGCGTTGGACGGTGGCATGCGAGCGCTTCGGCTTGGCTGCTCCAGCCGTCCCGCCTCGATATGGCGAGTTGACGGCATTAGGGTTGCTAGAAAGAGGCACCCTCCTAGTCGACATGTCGGACATAGTATGGGGCGACTTGAGTATAGATACAGCTGTCATAAGAATGTACGTGCAACAGCTCGAGGCAGCTCGAGCCCCAAGGAGTGGGGGTGTTCACGCGACGTGAATACGTCGGAAGTGCCTGCTTCGATGTAGGTTTTAGAAAGGCATTGGAGAGAAAAAGTAATGCTAGACCTGGTAAACAATCGAATTACCACGAGAAGGCCAAACAATGAGCGTCGTATTATTAATGTTGCCTCTTTGGATTGAAGTGCGTTTGGGGTGGTTGATGGGACTCCCACACACAGAGAGGAAAGCAAGGTGCACGGTCCACCTATATCCGAACCTAGAAACCATAAACACCAGTAGGGACGCGCTTTGGTGGGCGCAAGTACGAGTACCTGTGGCAACCATTTTCGATAAGTAAGCAAAGCCAAAACAACCCAGGTAATGCAGTGCAGTTATGCTTCCATGCTTGCGACAAAGTGTTTTATGCAACCTACGTCGCTCGAATAAATGATTCAACATAGTTGTTAACTCAAGATACTATACATATATATGATATGCGACTGCGACAATGAGGTTACGGACTGCTGCATTACGGCAATTGAGCCGGGGAGCATCGTGTTCTACTTCATCGAGGACGGCATCATGCCTGGCAGCACGAACGTCGCCATTGTTCACCATTTCACAAAAAGGCCAATTCCAGCCTCGTAGAGGTTACGCCTCTGTTTCCGCTGCAGAATGCCAGTTTGGCCAGCCTGTACACGAGACACATCCTCACATACTTGCCGCTGGAGAATGTAAATGGCCTCTTGACATTCCTCGAAGCTCTCACTGACTATTTCAGTGACGCCTGGCATATCCGCCCAAGAATACCACGAGAGACGAGCGAAGCTAGCCGCGAGCCTTCCTGAGAATGCCATTGCCATTCTCCCATCCGCCGACCTCAAATACCGATCGGGCGCTGTATTCTACGAATTCCACCAAGAGTCCGACTTCTTATACTTGACTGGATTCAACGAACCAGAGGCTGTCGCTGTCATACAGAAGATAGGCAGGGGTGATGATTATATATTTCACCTTTTCCTACGGCCAAAGGATGCTGCCGCAGAGCAATGGGAAGGCGCCAGATCTGGGGAACAAGCTGCATTAGACGTGTTCAATGCTGACAAGGTGCACCATCCCTCTGATTACCAGGCCTAGCAGCTCACTCACACACGTGCAGTCTGGAGATATTAAAAATATTTCGAGACTATTATCCCCTCTAATAGCTGGCGCCAGCCAGGTATATGCGGAATCATCCAGCACTAAGTCGGTCTTTTCAAAGTTCTTCTCCGCCAAGAATACGGCCGAAGACAGCTTCTTTGGGTTGATCAAGAATGCAAAAGTGAGGCCTATTAGGCCCGTTTTGAATGATCTGAGGATATTCAAAAGTGAGGCTGAGGTTAAAAACATGCGGTTAGCAGGCAAGCTGTCTGGAAGAGCTTATACCAACGCCATGCGTCAACAATGGACAAATGAGAAGGACCTCGGGGCATACCTGGAGTACCAGTTCAAAGCACAAGGCTGTGATGGCTCCGCGTACGTCCCCGTCGTTGCGGGTGGCATAAATGCAAACAGCATACACTACGTTCGAAACGACGACGTCCTGGGCGAGAACGATCTAGTCTTGATAGACGCTGGTGGGGAGTACGGCGGATACATAACGGATATTACCCGTACATGGCCCATTTCGGGAAAGTTCTCGTCGCCACAAAAAGACCTGTACGAGGCGATCTTGACAGTGCAAAGGGTCTGCGTCGCTCTCTGCAGGGAAGATTCGAACCTGTCTTTGGATCAGATCCACCGACTTACTGAGCAAGGCCTTCGAAAGCAACTAGAAGAGATAGGATTTGATCTTCGCGGAAACGCGATGGAGGTCCTGTTCCCTCATCATGTTGGACATTACGTCGGGCTTGATGTGCACGACTGCCCTGGTTTCCCTAGAAACGGTGTTTTAAAGACGGGGCAATGCGTCACGATAGAGCCGGGGATATACGTCCCAAATGATGATCGGTTCCCCGCGCATTTTCGCGGTATTGGAATACGGATAGAAGATAGCGTGTGTGTCCAGAAGGACACCGCTCTTGTATTAACGACGGAGGCTGTCAAGGAAGTGGTGGATATCGAAGCCCTTCGTGATTAATAGTGTACGATTAGTGTAACTTATCCGAACGGATAATTATGTATATTTATATGTATTCTATAGGAAAGAATTCGAAAGATTCCATCCAGTCGTCAAACACCAAAGCGTGAAACTTGGTCTCAGTGTGTGTGAAGTTCCGTCCAAGTCATCCGACATAAAGATCAGATCTCAGCCTCGCGAGCCTCGTCCTCGGTCACTCTCCACCATCTACAGCTTCCCAAGCCACACGCCAGCACAAGCAGCGTCTACAATTCAAACCTCCTTCCAAAGACTCGAGGCTATCAGTCTCAGCAAACCCCAAAATGTCCGAGTCAAGTCTCCCCGTCCGCTCCTCCCCCTCTCAAGCCACACCCATCCCCGACGACGACCATGAAGCCGACCTGCCCCTCACCATGACTGCCTCGGTCGTCCTCGCCTCTCTCCCCCGCGACGCAACCGCGGCACTAAAAGACGCCGGAGCCTTCGACAAACCGAAAGGTACGTTGACCCCACCTATAGTCTGTTCCGCATTCTCACAGTCCCGCAGTGACGGTGCGCTTCAAGGCCATCGGGTCCGCGCCTATTCTCAAGCAGCCGGTCTGCCGCATCAATGCGACGCAGCGCTTTGAGGCTGTGGTTGCGTATCTGAGGCGGGTAGTCAAGTGTGGGCCGCAGGATAGTGTGTTTTTGTATGTGAATAATACGTTTGCGCCTTCGTTGGATGAGATTGTTGGGAACCTGCATAGGGTGAGTCCAGTGTTTGGGAGCTTGGAGCTACTTCAAGCAAACGTACTCGGGACTGCATGGGACTAATGGATACCAGTGCTTTCGAAATCAAACGGATGACCAGCTTATTGTTTCCTACTCAATGACACCAGCTTTTGGTTGAGAAGTCAAGATTATGAGGGTAATATAGCTATATTTAAAATATGGTGGAGCTATGTATGCTTCACTTGCTACGAAAACTAAATATAAAGAACCGCCAAAATCAAAAAGCCACCCCCTGCTGACTATCATCACCACATCTACTTCCGGCCGCTCTCTTCCGGCCCACCAAAGCTGGACTTGCTGGTATTCGCCAGAACCCGTTCAAACTGCTCCAGCTCATCCTTCGAGATCGGGTAAGTGTGCTCTTGCGCCGGGTACGCCCTGCTCTTCACCTCATCTCTATATGACTCTATCGCCCGCTTGGTCTCGCCCCAAACGTCTCCATACTGCTTCACGAACTTCGGCAAGAAACGGCCTGGCGGGAAGTTGCCCGCCATATCGACCTGCACCAGCACCTGGCCGGAGCAGCCGCTGCCTGCGCCAATACCGATAGTGGGGATATCCAAACGCTCCGTGATTAACGCCGCGACCTCCGCAGGCACAGCTTCCACAACGACAGCAAAGCATCCCGCTTTCTGGATGGCAAGAGCATCGTGGAGGACCTTCACTGCGCTGGCAGCCGTCTTACCTTGGACTCTGAATCCGCCCAGGGCATTCTGGCGCTGTGGAGTGAGGCCGATGTGGCCGAGGACCGGGATGCCGGCGTTGGTGATCTTCTGGATTGTGGGCACCATTTCCAGGCCGCCCTCGAGCTTGACTGCTTGCATTCGGCCTTCCTTGATGACGCGGATGGCGCTGGCAAGAGCTTGTTCTGGAGAGATTTCATAGCAGCCCATAGGGAGATCACCGATCTGCAAACAGGCTATTAGCGGTGTACATTTTGTGTCCGGTTTCTTTTTGAACTTACTGTGAACGCTGTCTTTGTAGCTCGTGCGACGGACTTGCAGTGGAGGAGCATGTCCTCTAACACTATCTCGCTCGTGTCCTCCATTCCCAGCGCTACCATGGCAAGACTGTCCCCAACGAGGACCATGTCCATGCCAGCATGGTCGGCAACGTGTCCACTGGGGAAGTCATGCGCCGTGATCATGGCTATGGGTTCTCCCTTTTTGCACATTGAGCGCAGTGTATTGATTGTGACTTTCTTTCTGGGTGACGCCACCGCGGCGCCCATAGGCGAATGCGAGCTATTTCGGCATTGTAATTGCGAGAGCAGCGGACGAGCGGCAAATGAAGGTGGTCTGCAAACTCCAGATGAGAGAGAGGATAGAGAAGTGAGAGCACGCGAGCTCAAGATGGTGGTTCGAGACATTGGTTGGGGCTGGCGTTGTGCGGATTGCTTGTGGGAAATGCGGTGATGGAAGGAAAAGGATCTGAGTCAGAGGCTGCCATTGTTCAGCCGGAAGAGTGTTGCCTTTTCATGTCTGAAGAAGTGAAGGTCGTGATAGAGAATGCAGCGCACATCTGGGTCGGCGTGGAGAGAGAGAGATTATTTCGGACAAGTCCCAGTTTACCGAGGCTGGGGTTTGTCGGAACCGGCGGCTCAATTCTGGATCAGTAAACAGTCTTACTCTGCTATGGGACTTATGTGAAGTTTATAGTTTACTCTCATCTATTCATATTTTCAGGGTTCAAAGCATCAATTATCAGAGAGTTATAACGCATTTTACACAGTTAATTCTCTGTTTGCACGCCACATCCTGCTGTGGACGTTGGGGAAGTGGGATGGGGAACGATTACAAGGGTACGGAGGTACATCCATTATGACTTTTCTTTTTGGTGAACGAACCCCCACCATGCCCCACCAACGAACCAGATCTCGTGCCCGATCTGTAGAAGTGACGAGACATGGGCTTTCACAGCCAGTGACACGGTACCTGGGTTTCCATACGTAACCTGGCCATCCCCTCATCCTTCAGACCTTCATATTACATACTTGCATGCTTCAACTTCAGCATATTCCAGCTTCGTAGCCCTATTTCGACTGAGAATCTAGCGTGTACCCTTCAAAGCAGGGTCTCACACAGCTGTCTACAGCTGTCTGTCACTGATTCGCCAGAAATTCGCCTTCCACCCGACCCCGATCGAAAGCATCCTTTGAGCGCATAACAACTCCGCCACTGCACTGCGATCAAAAGCGACGGAGGATCTGAACTATACGGAGGAGACGAGCAATAAACTGCCTGGCCCAAGGAAGGCGTCGAATAGCCAGAACATATATCCCCCAAGGCCGTAGACACAGGACAAGACAAGGACCAGCTGTGGGTGGCGGTGCGGCCGAAGAGCAAACGCCAAGATGAGCAGCCCCCGGAGGAGGATAGAGACTGATGTGAGTTGACATGATGAAGTACTATAGTGTGTCCCTTGCTGACTTTTATATATAAGGTTATGAAGTAAATGCGCCTCCTCTGTCCCACCATCTTCGCTACGCCCGCCCAGATGACAATCACTTAGGCACACCTGCTAACATACTTACAGGATGTACGAACCTGCTCTGTAAAACGACATGCCTCACGAGAATACTGACGCTTGGTGATAGGCTTATGAGCGACTATGAGGTTACTCTGGTCAATGACAACAGTGAGTCTTTGCCTTCTAGTCCGTATTGGCACCGCCGCCACTACCAACCGACATCGCTGATAATGTATAGTGTACGCACAACCACCCATGACTTTCCAGCTCAGAATACTCGACTTACAAGGCAAAGGCAAGAATTCTACGTCCGCTTCAAGGGCCCCGAAGAAAGTGAGTCCTGCCGGTTCAATTCGTCCCTTCGCCCGAGACAAGGTCCTGACATCCTACAGCCCCATTCCAAGGCGGACTCTGGAAGATCCATGTCGAGCTACCGGACCAATACCCCTACAAGAGCCCAAGCATTGGCTTCGTGAACAGGATATTCCACCCCAATATCGACGAGCTGTCAGTACACCCCCTGTAATTGTTGTTACTGGGCCAAAACTGATGGCGGCAAATAGATCCGGTTCTGTCTGCCTCGACGTCATAAACCAGACCTGGTCGCCCATGTTCGATATGATCAATATTTTCGAGGTCTTCCTGCCGCAGCTCTTGCGTTACCCGAATCCCACGGACCCGTTAAACGGTGAAGCGGCATCGTTACTTATGCGGGAGCCGAAGACGTATGAGGCGAAGGTCAAAGGTACGCACCCTTTCTCCACCACCTCGACGAATTTTTCGAAGCGCAAGTCGTATTATGAACAAGCTACTAACGCACCCAGAATACGTCTCTAAATACGCCACCCGCGAAGCCATCGACGACAATGGCGCCGAGTCCGACGACGACGACGACATGTCCTCCGTCGCCTCCTTCGGCTCCGACGACGACGAGGCAGCCGGCACGATGGAGGAGCTCTAGATTTGGGGGGTTCTCCTACACGATTGTGTGTTTTTTTTTTTTTTTTTCTCGCAATGCATTATTGCCAGGTGTTTGTTAGGTTTTTTGAGTTTTTATGACACCCCATAAATCGCTGGATTTTTTTCTGATTTAACGGGTTGGCGTCTGTGTGGATTGGGCGAGCTGGGTCTTTGCTTTTTTTTTTAGGAGGAGGATGCATGAGTTTGGTATGGCGAGTTGTTCGGGGGGGGGATAGTTGGTTGGGGTGACTTTGCAGACGGATTGGCGGTAGATAACTATGATGAATCTCAACTTGACATGTTCATAATTTCTTCGAGCTCTTCTTTGGCGTCTGGTGAAGATATAACCATTGCTCAGAAAGTATGTCTGAGTAGTAGTAGTATGTATTATCTACTGTAGTTTGATATTAAATCGACAATATATATTTTTCCTACGAGGCCGAATATATAAATAAAATATTTATTTTAGCACCAATATATATCCTTGCAATTACACTCTAACGTAACTCGTGGCGTAATGCGTCTAATTGCAGGGGACTATTCTATTAAAACCTAGATTTCTGAACATCAACAATAATACAATCTCCAATGTCGCTCTCAGATTCATCTTGACCCTCTCCTTCAACATCTGCTTCACACTCAGTCTCGTAAGATACACCCTTGCCCTTTGTTTTGCCCTTTTTACCTACTTGCTTTTTTGTAGCTTTTTCAGCCTCTACTACATCACATAATTCTGTAGAAATATAGAAGTGACCCTTTAAGACTGCCCTCTTTCCCTTCGTACGGGTCGTACGCTTCTTTATGATCGATCGGAGTTTGTTTGCATCATGTTGGTAGACAATACTTTGAGCTTGAAGTTGCTCAGTTCCCGCTGTCAATTTCTTAATATACTAACGGACTAGTGTAGTAATATCCGTACGAGCTTGTATTGTTAAATTAAGAAGCTCATTTGCTACCTATAAGGTTTCGTTTAGAGGTGAGCTATTTACAAAGACTCGATCGAAAATATCAAATTAGGTTGGTGTTTTAGGTCTTTCTAGCTCATAGGGTTCCTCTTAAACCATCGTACGAAGCGCTCTTTGTGGGTTAAATGGGAATAACCCAGCTCCACGCCATGCTGATTTAATATTTTGGTAATTGCAAACATCCGATCAGGCTTGTATCTCCATCCATTCAAACTTTTGGATTCGTATGAGTTGAGCTTGAGAGCGCAGCAGTTAGTCGCTTCTTTAATAGGCTAAAAATTGCAACATCAAGTGGCTGAAGTAAGTGTGATGTTGAGGTGGGAGGATAAGAAGTATAATTCGATTTTAAAGACAGTGAGCTATAAAGCTTCTACTAATGTGAGAGTCATGGCCGTCACAAATAAGAAGGCGATATTGACCGCACGCTTTTGTACAAGTTGAAGGCTCAAAAACGCGTTTTAACCACTTTAGCCTAAGAGTAAGAATACTGCTTCATTGACCCGAGCTTCGATTTTAGCTGCACTCTGGCTTTTTTGGCGTACCATTTTTAAATGGTTTAAGTTTTAATTGAATAGTCCCCTGTAATTAGACGCATTACGCCACTAGACGTATTACGCCACGAGTTACGTTAATTTACAGAACAAGAGCATCATATACTCTAATTTATTACGTAGCAATTTACTCAATAGCAAAATATAGTTTACCTTCTCCAGCCTACCACTACCATATACACCATCTATCATGTGTAAATCGGCAAATCCATTACCACCTCGCCCCAACCCCCACCCGTCCGTCGTGCGGGGGTCGGAGGGAAGACCCTCCGTCTTGGCACCGTAGCACACATAATCGTACCCCGCACGTGATGCTGCTCGTGACACTCATAGGGCTTAAATACCACACCAACCAACCCTAAACCAAATTAACTGGCCTGCTGGCCCAATGGCAAGGCGCTTGACTACGAATCAAGAGATTGCAGGTTCGATCCCTGCGTAGGTCAAATATTCCGGTATATATTACCAAATATATATTTTTTTGCCAAAATTTCATATTTTTCAAGTCAGTTATCCACTTTTTTTTTTGTTTTAAGAAAAATCGTAGAGGAGACAACGCTTGGAAATGCCGAGTTAGGGGGTCCGTAAATAAAAATATAGGCCTGCTGGCCCAATGGCAAGGCGCTTGACTACGAATCAAGAGATTGCAGGTTCGATCCCTGCGTAGGTCACTATTCGAATACTTCGGTGTTTCTTTTTGATATTCTTTTTGATATTCCTTTGATATATTTTTTGGGCTGTTGGGGGGGATGGGTATAGAAGCCGCAGCGCTAAACTTTTGGCATGATTGAATAACGATTGGAAGATAGAACAGCAGCAGTTCGAACAAAAAGAGTAGGAAGGCTAAGACGACGGCGAGGGCGATAGAGAGACGATGGGCGGCGAGAGTGTTGGACGCATGGTTCTCGCAGTGTTTACAAGTCATTTGGACAAAACTCTTGTGATAAGTAGTGTTCCCTTCCCAATTACACAATCAAACAAAAGCAACCCCTCAAGTTAAATTTCCCCTGTCTTGACGAAGACGACGTATCACTCTAAAACCCCCTTTCCACTCTGCATGTCCACCCTCGTCAGCATCCTATTGATTACAAGGGTACTCTTTCGCCGCCTTATCTATATGGACGCTAGGTCTATCCGAAGTTGCTTGAGCCCAATTCGAAAAAGCCTCTTTCTCAGAACATATCGGCAACGTAAAGACGCCTGGAGCTTGTATCCCATTCGATGCAAGATCGTTGATTTGTAGGGCCCTTCGAAGTGTCCAACCCGAAGCCATTTTTGTCACCATTAGCTTTGTAGCTATTAACTGAGCTAATAATGATGTCGACCACACTTAAACCTCCCCAAGGGTTGTTTGTTCCATCGGCAGCGAGTTGATCGATTCCAGGCGCCGTGCTACATTGATTCTTCTGGCAAAATGATACACCATCACCGTCTTGGATGCACCATTGTGCATTGCCAGAGGCGTTAGAAAGCCAGTATGCCTTGCCATCAACACAGACAATGACTTTCTTGTTACTAGTAGGCTGCGCACTACTCGCTCAATACTCGGCTCACTCGCTCAGTGGGTTACTCAGCTGGGTGAGTAGCTGAACCTTTTACTCGACTCGGTGAGTGAGGTCAATACTCAGTTACTCTGTAAAAACCCGGTGAGTACTCGGCTATCACGTGTAAGATTTATGCATCATGTGAACAGTCCCTCATACGATTAATACTGTTTTATGGTTAAGTAGTATTACATCTATTAGCATCACTCTCGCCATCTCTAGTAAGCTGTGAGAACGAATCATGTATATTCCTCTATCTAAGTACCATGATTATCAGAAGATTATTAGAACGCTATTATCTATTATATATGCTTAAGAACATCCCTCCACCTTGCTTGATGAGGCCGGCCAGACCTACTAATACCTAAAGTATTTATAGGGTCTTGATGAGGATCCTCGACTGAGCGGAACGAGCTATGAGTCAAGATAACTGTGTATAGAACTTGTTCATAAAATGTCTCTTGTGTGAGAATATGATCTTATTATAGGTATTAACCTACATAATTCTGGTAATAATCTGGTAATCCTTACTTGTTGAGGTTGCATTTGATTGATTCGCATTTGATAGAGACTATCCTTCCCATCTGTGACTTCTTTTTGCAAATGTCTGATGCAAGATGTGTTGCCATAGACTTTGGGCCAGCAGACTTGATTGCAGGATGCGTAAGGGCCTTCGAACAATAAGTACAAATAACACATGGTTCTCCAGAAAGCCGGTCTGCTCCTTGGTGATAACTTCTCCAGTATTGAGAACTCCAGTTGGTTGAATCCCATGCAATCTTCATAAGGAGTTTTGTAGTATGATCTGAGTGTTGTTCATACCATCGTGATAGCTTCCACCACTCAATGAATATATCGTGTGTATCCTTAGTCCATTTGACGAATTGGTTTAACTTGCCAATATATTCAAGGCCTGCAGGGACTTTGTAAGGATGCCTGTCCCTCAGTGATGGAAAGGATCTGAGTCGGGCAGGTTACGGTCACATGATAAGAGTTAAGGCAGGTTAGCTGAGTCGGACCCGTTTCAGGTACTTAAGGAGATTGACCCAACGGGGGTTCCTCTCTTCATCTTTTTTGTATCCTTCGTAGTAGACCTATAGGATAGCATCCGTTTAGCCTCTGACTTGCACTCTCATATGCTATTACTGTGAGCTGGGTGCCCTGTGTCCTTACAGACTTGATTTAATGAGGATAGTCGTTGAGAAGACGGAAAAGAGTCTGAGAATACTGTCAGAATCAAACAACTCTGAGTATTGAGATGGCATTTGGCAAATTGCTCGATTATCAGAAGGTTACCAGAAGTCTGGCTACGATGAAGTACTTAAATACCTGGTTTTCCAACGCGAAAGGTACTCCAGCGCTATAACTTTAGCAACTCAAGTTCTCCTCTACTCTAGCTCCAGGAACAACATATCCTGTGCAGCTGATACCTTAGCCCACTTTTCCTTATCAAACTTCTTAGAGTAGACAAGTAAGAACGCCTCTTTGAAGCTAGAACTATGAGTGGATATTTGCAACCATCCATTGTCGACAAGATTGTAAGACTTTGGGTACCACTGCACAGGTCCTGGTAATTAGGCCCACTTTCCAAACTGCCTGCTCGTACAAACAGAAATATTTATGTGGTGGGATAACCTCGTGAAAAGTGCTATAATAAACAATTAGTATTGCCAGAAGATTGCTAGGATGATCAGAGACGTACCCTTCCTCTACATCAATCCACGGCATATACTCAAAGAGACGCTCAGGCTTCTTTCTCAGCTTTCCAGCCTTTCTCGTATATGAGTGGATACAGCTATCCCAGAAATGTTGCCACTTGCGGAAATTGGACTCTTCATGGGCCTATCAACTATTAGTATCACCAGAAGATTACCAGATTATGAGGTAGCATACATCAATGTGCGCTTGAGTTAAGAGAGCCTGGGTGCTAGTGATCTCTTCATCGGAAAGCTCATCTGGTAGAACAGCCTCGTCATTTAAAATATCTCGCGCTGTAACATAAGCTCCAACTCCAAATCGTCTTCAACCTCAGTATCCTCCCATTCGCTGTTATGATTGTCATCGATTGGAATACTTGAGATACCCTCAAATGCAGCAAGCTCAGACAGTAGTTGTTTGGGCGGAGTAGATGGTGGGGCTTGTGGAGAAGAAGAGGCGCTAATATTCTTGACTTTCTGATTCGCAATGCAAGATGCATGGGTACCCTTCTCAGTCCTGTTTATAGTTAGATTGAGGCTACCAGAGATTACCAGAAGGAACTTACCGAACACAAATACGCTCAACCTTCAATTCATTCTGTAGACGTGTCTTGTCTTCAGTAGAGGCAGCGATATACTTTGTGTAATGACACAGGGCACCCAGCTCACAGTAATAGCATATGAGAGTGCGAGTTGGAGGCTAAAAGGATGCTATCCTATAGGTCTACTACGAAGGATACAAAAAAGATGAAGGGGGAACCCCGTTAAGTTTGTTTCCTTAAGTACCCGAAACGGGCCCGACTCGGTTATCCCAACCCTAGCCCTGAACCTTCCACCGCAACAGGTCCGCATCGACCCTGAACCCTACACCCTTACTGTCCCCCACTATAGTGTAACTCGCTATGTCCTCCTCTACTGGTCCGAAACCACACCGAGTCGGATTTCATGCTTGTGGTGACCGTAACAGCTCTGAGGCGGGTTCTTCGAGTATCTAGGTAAGGAGGCATCCTTACACTTTGCAGACTTATATAACTTCTTTAAGTAGTAGCTCAGATCAGCATGGTCAGCCTTGAGTGCTAAGTGAACAGCCTTCTCATCTTCAGTAAGGTTGGAGACGCAGTTGCGAGCTTTGATAGTATTCGCATTAGTGGAGAGTTCTTCATGTGCCTTGAGTTTCGCCATACTAACTAAACACGTGATTAGCAGAGATCTCCAGAAGTTCTGGCTATAGAATCAAGATAATAAACTTAGTTGAAGTCCTAGTGAAGAGGTAAAGGCTCAAAAGGGAAGAAGAATGTGTAGATCGGAGAGTAACCAAGGAAGGTGGTTCTAAGGTCGTGGTTATTTTAAAGTTGCAAACAAAAATATTTGTGAAGGAATATTCACCTACAAAGAATTACTGTTCCAAAAACAACACCACAATGCGCACCTTCATATAAAACACATACCTTTCAACCTCTACCTCTTTACTATACTCTTCTTCTGCAATATTCTTTCTACAAACTCACTGTAAGTACACATATCTTTTGATCTACTTCTTTATCTTGTGTTTACTTTACTAACTCACCTTGATATTAGCAAATGACTCGTACCAAGCAAACTGCTAGGAGATCAACTGGCGGCATAGCACCAAGGATGCCACTTGGATTACGGGCTGGCTCTGGGCTTGGCGGAAAGGGACAGGAAAAGGCTGTGGGCACAGCAAGAAAAGCTCCAGTTTGCTCATCTCAAGCTAGCAACAATCATGCTCAGAAGGCCACGCGCTGCACAAAGTCTAGTAAGAGGATTACCAGAGGATTACCAGAGGATTACCAGAACTCTCTAATAAACATATAGGCACCAAGGCTCTCCGCGATATCAGAAGACAGCAACTTGATACTAGCTCCCATTCCAGCGTCTTGTTAGGGAAATCACAGAAGACTTCAAGTCCAATCTTCGCTTCCAGCAATCTGCTATCCTAGCTCTTCAGGAAGCTGCTGAATGCTTCCTCATTTGAGAATTTGAGAGTATGATGTTTAAACATAGTGACAGGGACATACTAACAGTTATAGTGACAAACCTTCTTGCTATTCATGCGAAGAGAGTGACAATTCAGGCAAAGGATATGATATTGGTTCGGCGTTTGCGGGATATGATGTTTAATCATGGAGCTGTGGGCTTAATCGATGGAAATGTGTCTCACCCAGGAATGAAGGTCAGATAAGTTCTGGCAACCTTCTGGTAACCTGGTACCTAAAGGCCAAAGGTTATAGTGTGGAATAGGACATCAACAATATGGGAATGGAGTTATGGAGTTATGGAGTTATGGAGTTATGGCGTCTTGATCAATGAAGTCGCGCCCCGTTTTTAACATAAGTAATGGCTAATCAAACACGTGATATAACTGAGTTGCCAAGACCCATACTAGGTACTCAGCAAGTGAGTAATCCTCATTCAACAATACTCGGGACATGAGCGAGTAACTCAGCTGGGTGAGTAAAAATTCTACTACTCGACTCGTGAGTACCCAGTGCGCAGCCTAGTTACTAGTAAAGGATTTTCCGCTCTGTAAACTGTCGCATCAAACCTTCTCTTTTCTGCCATCGTAAATCCTGCAAATGAAGGATAAAATAGTGGCCACTTGTGCTAGGCCAATGGAGGTGCAATCTTACATAATAAATTGATGAACGTCCTTATTTGACATGGCCCAAGCGAAAGGTATCATGGATGCCCAAATGGCCGTCTCCATAATCGGAATGGCCATTGACGCGTTAACAATAACTTCATAACCATTATCGAGGAGGTTCCCTTCGCCAATTATGTCAGTTAGCATCTACAAGCCCCCCTGGTCGTTGTTCCCAGAGAACTCATGGTATTTGTATCTGCGACCAACTCCATCCATGCATCAATTGTCAGGGCAATTTTGTCTGATAACTTGTTCTGCGTCCCAAGAGCACTGTTAGATTGAGACACAGTGTCTTTTCGAAGTGATATACCGTTCGACACCATCCAATTTATAATATCTTTCGATATCCCAAGAGCGTTTGGTTTACCAGCAAACAAGCCAGTTTTAAGCACTATGAGTTGTTGTCAACATTATAAATCCCATATTGGAAAGAGGGATCAGCAAAGGTGAAAGTAAAACAATGTACACACCAAAGTTCAACATTGAGGCAGCACAAACCCCATTCCGACGATATCCAGAAAAATCTTTAGCCCTTTCGACTCATCCATCGAAGGGGAAAAAACGCTCGAGAACACTCCAACTCGAGAATCGATATCTACCTTCGCTTTTTACAAAGAGTCGTAAGTGCTTTGATGCAGCTTATGAAGTACGGACATGGAATTAAGGATTTGAAAGCTTATAAGGACTATCATTAGCAATGGATCTTGCATACCGTTGTTTGAGAAGACTCACCCTGCAGCGTGACCAGCCTCACACTCATGACCACCGCTACAACCCGAGAGAGATCCGCCAGAGGCATCGAGGATCTCGCACTTCATACCGTCCGGACCATGGAGAAAGTTGCGGACTGACTGCGAGAAACTAAAGTGGTTAGAGGACTTAGACAAAAGCTAGCACCACTGAGCCCCAAGAAATGCTTCCGTTGCATTGGCTGACTATCCTACTCCCTCTAGAACCAACCATATCTCAATACGAGACCAGCCTTGACTTCAATATCCAACACCAACCGCACGTACATATAATAACGAGCATGGCCTGTAGATAGACTGGCCAGCCACCTACATCCATCGTCCCATTCCGTTCTCCATCCTCCCCCTGCTACGGCCAGAATCCGCCTCAGAATCCGCCTCGTCTCAAGTGAGACTCACTGAACTTGAGCCTGCCGAACAAACACCCCCTACCAGCCGTACCAGCTCGCCAGCACATAGGCCCTCCTGCCCTGGAAACAAGCCACCTTAGAAAATCAATAGATATACTTATCACATGCTTTTCAATATTTTGCCTCCCCCTCTACTCTCGTATCCTCGCCACCTTTCCCCCCCTACTACCTAGTACAGCCACTGCGAAAAGTGAAAACGACACCTACCCGCCCCTGAAAAAATCAAGAACCATATCCATATTCACAACCACAAAGTTACGTACTGTACAAACCCAAGAACTTACTTATTTACCATAGTACCAATTTCGTTGCGTCGTCCGCCCCCCACCCCACCGACGGCGACACCCGCATCATTCCGCTAGCCCCTATCGACTATAAACGCCGCCACAAGACGCCAAGGCGAGGCTTATAATGAGGCGGCAAGAAGGGAAGAATGTGTCAAGGGGAACCACCCGAAATGACGGATCTTTACTGAGGAGGTCTCGAGTTACCCGGTTGGCTCGGGTTTGCCGGTGGCGCTGCCCGTAAGCAGCCACCAAGTTCAGTCACTGTTGAGCGTCGAGGGCCTTCGGCTGGTTCGCTTCTCGGGGCTTCCCCGAGCTCTACAGATAGTGTGGCAATTCAATTGATTGATTTATTCCATATACTGGATTCTACTGCTCAGCCTTCTACTCTGTTGCGCCAAAAGTGAGAAGTCCCGGCCACCAGAGATCCCATACGATTCTGTATGCGTATTCCGGTACTCTCCCCAAGAGGAGGTAGAGGGCGCCTATAGCAGCAGCCGCGCCCTGCCAAATTCCGGCCATCCCTGCCCAGCGCTTACTCCTTCCCCCAAGAAACCACACCCCCCCTTCTGCCTCCTCAACTACTCGAGCTCAACTCCGGCCCCTTCTCCCATAACCCCCTCAAAATAGCCGCCAACCCATCATCCCCCCCGCCACTCTGCACACTCCCCACCGGACTCCCCTCCTCAAAACTCCCCCCGGGCCTCGCATCCTCCAAACTCCCACTCGGCAGCCCCCCCTTGGACCTCCCCTCCCTAAGACTCTGACTAAGCCCCACCCTCTTCCCCGCCTTCACCCTCCCCGTCCCCGGAATCCTCCTCCCCTTCTCCCCTCCCGGCAACACCAACAACCTCCTCACACTCTTCGCAATCGGATCCTGATGCCTCCTCACAACCATAAACGCCGACCCCGTCTTCTCAAGCTGCATCCTAATCCTCGGATCCCCCGCCCCGCCCTCAGGGCCGTATCCACTCCCAATACTCCCCACCAGCGGCGACGCATGCACATTAAGCCCCATGCCCATTCCCATGCCCATTCCCACCGGCAACCCCCCCAGACCCAGTCCCAGCGCCCCAGCAGGCGCAAGCTGCGCGGGCTCGATATTCGAGGACGCGCGCTGGAGCCAGAGTTTCTGCTGTGTTCGTGATTGCTGGGGGGGGATGTAGTGGGTGCTTGATTTCCGGCCTCGGGGCGCGAGGGCGCGGTCGTCGTCGGAGGAGTCGTCGGGCTCGATGCCGCGGGCTTTGAGATTCGACATTGAGTTTGCGCGGCGGCTGTTGAGGGCGAAATTTGCGGCTTCCGATTCCTGCGTTGCGGCGCCATTGGCCGCCTCGGCTTTCTTTGTAGATGTAGGATGGTGGGATTGTAGGAAGGGTGAGGTGTCGCCGGGTGTCCCTGATCCGGACCCCTTGAAGCGTGATATCAGCTCCGATTTGTGCGAGTCGGTGTGTGGAGTTGCGGATCCAGAGCTGGGTACTAGGTCGCTGACTTGCGAGGTCCCGGGGGCCACCGCCGTCGCGGACACAGTAGACATCTTGGGTGCCGCGCCGAGCGAGGGCGTGCGCTGCAGGAGCCGTGAGGTAATCTGGTGCGCGTCCGGCGCGCTGTGTGTCCTCTCGTGCTTCGACCAGTCGCGGGCGTCGACGCGGAGTTTCGCCGGCGAGGCGGCGAGGGAGGGGGGTATAGAGTTCGCCACGCTCGCGGGGGGTCTGGCGGAGTTGCGGCCGCAGGAGGCGCCTGCGACGGAGTTGGCGCGGGAGAGGGACGGGGAGGCGGAGCCGCTTGCTTCGGTCCAGCCGTCGTCGTGGTCGTCGCCGTTAGTCGTAGTGTTGGCGAGGTCGAAATGTACGCTGGACTTGCTCTGGTGGATGATACTTGTATGGCTTGCGGAGCGCTTCATGGCCGTGGCGACTTTGGCCTTCTTGACTTCGGCGTGCGACTTGTTGCGGCGGAGGGTGCTGGGGCGGGTGGGCGCTGCGGTTTCACTGCGCGGGAATTTGGGCTCGTCTATGCCCTGCATCGTTGGCGTCGTGGGACTCCCTGGTGTTGATGTCTGGCGCCGGAGGTGTTTGCTCGCATCGCGCTCGCCTGCGTGCGCCTTCAGCTTCTGGAGCGCCCGGGTGCTGGGGACCCTGCCGTATAATCGGTGGCCCACTGCGTGCTTTGTCTTTGCCTTGTGCTCCCTTTGTGGCGGCGTGCTGGACAGAGTGTCGGATCCAGTGTCGGTAGCGTTGTTCTTTGTGTTGCGGTGTCCTGGGGCCCCTGCTTGGGTTGGGCGTTTGCCACTGTCTGGCATAATTGCTTATTGTCTGGATGCGATGGCGATGCGTGGTATATGTGCAGGTAGTGCCTGCTGAAATGATTGCTGTGAGATGCGTGGCTTTGTTGGCGCCAGTGTAATATCGGTCCAATTGGGGATGTGCCAACGCAGCGTTGTCTGGGGTTTGAGGTTTTAAGATGGGTAGGGTATACTGCGGCTATTCAACGATAACCCAATACTGACGCTTCCACTCTAGGCCTGGAGCTGGGCGCCACTCATACCCACCCACACCACCCACATCAACTTCTGAATGGACGGCCGGGAGAATGACGAGACAGGGTATGCTGTACTCGAATAATATCAAAGGAAGGTATCATTATTAACTGTTGTAGTATACAATCTGGCATTAACGAGATTGATACCCCCCCTCCGAAATCTAAATATCGAGCTTCTATCATCCAAACGCTCACTTTTATATACAAAAGATCAATTTATCTAATACACCTCGAGAACGTATCTCTGCTCCTCCTTCAGCTGGTCAATCGCCTTGCGCGAGTCAACCTTCTTGCCCAACGCCTTCGCATTCTTAGAGATAGCCTCCTCCAGAACCTCCGTAACATCTGGGACGGGCCATGTAGGACCACAGAGGTAGAACGAGCCCTCCTCCTCAATGTAAGCAGTGATGATGTCATCAACCGTCTGTCTCATTCTGTCCTGGATGTAAATCTTCTCGGGTTGATCACGTGAGAAAGCACGTCCAAGGAGAGTAATGACACCAGCGTCCTGGTAAGCTTCCCATTCCTCGCCGTAGAGGTACTCTTCGCGCTGGTGGCGGGAGCCCATGTACAGAAGGATGGAACCAATCTCTATACCCTGTGCCTTTTGCATGGCACGGTACTGGACGAAGGCACGGAAAGGAGCAAGACCCGTACCGAGACCGGCCATGATAAGAGGCGCGGAGTCCTTGGTTGGGAGCTTCATGACGGAAGGCTTGACGCTGACAGTGACATCGGTGCCCACTGGGAGCTGGCTGAGGTATCTGGTGGCTTGACCGAAGCGGTCGCGGCCCTTCGGGTCGACCCAGTTGACAACGACAATCATCAGTGCGACGGTTGTTGGGTTGACCATCTGGGAGGAGGCAATGGAGTACTCGCGGCGCTTCATTGGGCTGACAATCTGTGCGATGTCGTGGAATGATGGGTGGGCGGATGGGAATTCAAGGAGAATATCGGCGTAGGTAATGGTGTCAACCTCAGCGCGGCGCTTGAACTCGTTGGCTCCCTCAGGGCCAGCAAGAGTCAGGAGCTCCTTCTTCTCGTTCTCATCAATAGCAAACTCGGCCAGAGCCTCGTAGAACTTCTTTGGTGGCTTGCCAAAGATGTCAATGTTTTGCATCAGAGATTGGTAGACAGTGCGTGTCTCCAGTACAGACACGTCCTCGCGAGATGGGACCTCGACAACATCATCAGCATTGAGACCGTAGGCAACCATGAACATCTGGACTTCTTGCTCATCGTTCTTGGCGTGGATACCGAGGGCCTCGCCAATGTTGTACTTGAGACCAGAGGTTCCGAGGTCAAATTCGATGTGGAAGATGTTACGGTCGTAGGTCTGCGGGGTCAAACGACGGTTCTCCTGGACCTTGACGGTGAAGGTCTTGACGGGAAGGTCGGGACGCAGGGCGCTGACAGTGCCATATGCCTCCTTGAAAGCGAGACTCTTTGCAGCAGCTTGCCAGTCCTTGAGAAGAGCAGGCTCTTGGACCTCAGCCTTGTCAAAGGTAGTGAAGCTGGATGTCTGCACATCCGTGGGGAGCTCTCTCTCCTTCGTATCGATTTCAACCTCGGCCCATGCGGCTGGGACCTCGAATTGACGGAGTGCCTTGTCCAGATCAGTTGTAATCTCAGCCAATGCAGCGGCATTGCCACTGATGGCGACCAACTTGTCCAGTCCGCTCGTGAGCACGTCTGGACGAGCAATTCTTAGGAATGCAATCTCAAGAAGTTGTGTTTCCAGAGCGGCATCCTTTCCAACAGCTGCAGATACAGCTGGGTCTACAACGTAAAGCTCAATGTTCTTAGCTTGAAGTTCTCTGCGGACGGAAGCAGGCAGCTTCTTCTCCAAATCCTCATCCTTAAGACCAGGAAGCTTTACGATGAGCTTACCACAAGCCTTGAGGCTGGCAAGAACATCCAAGTCCTTGAAGATCTTCTCATCACCAACGACGGCAATATCAGCCTCCTCAATGGGGTAAGAAGTATCGATGGACTTCTTGGAGTTGCGGATGTCGCTTCTGATAACACCACCCTGCACAAAGTTGTCGTAGGCCTGCTTAAGGAAGATGTTGGTCTTGGAGTCACTAGAAAGAAACTTGCTGATTGCGGCTGGTGCAGATTTGGCAACAGACTCATCCAGATCCCAGAACGTGTATTGCTCGGCCTTGCCTGGTGCCAGAAGCTGGATTAAAACCTCATCGGCATCGGAAACGGCCTTGGTGTCCAGCTGGCTGAACAGCGCAGCAATAGAGTCTGGAGTGAAAGACTGCTCTCTGGCGTACTTGCTGTCGACGATAGACAGAGTAGGGGAGAACTTGTCCGAAAATGTGAGAGCAGCAGTGACGTCGCCAAAAAGGGCAGAGCGCACAGACTTATCTGCGACTTCCGAGGCGTCCTGAACCTGACCAAGAACTGCAACAGTCTTGACGGACGCTGGGAGGGCGGCAATGAAGGCCTCCTCGACGAATGGCCTGTAAACACGGACATTGATAACGCCAACCTTGCTTCCTGACTCGGACAGCTTAGTTGCGACTTGAGAAGCCAAGGCAGCCTCCACGGTGCCGAAGACAACCAAAACAGTGTCTGGGTTCTCGTGTCCTTGGTATTCAAACAGGTCATATGCGGTGCCCAGCTCATCGTTGAACGCCTTCAGCACCTGTTGGACCTTGGAGTCAACATTGGCCTTCTTGCTAATGGTAGCAATCTCCTTGGAGACAGCGGTATACACCCCCTTCAATCCAGCCTGGTCAAGGACATCAATGACACGGACAGTGTCGCGCCCGACCTTGATGCCATCGTAAATGTGGATAGTTGGCAAAACCGTAGCCAAGAGGGTGGCGAAGAGAGAGATATGTTGAGCCTCGTATGGGGATGCGCTGGAGACGAGTCCAAGGCCGAGGTCCTCTGCGACTGCCAGAGCGGAGGTGTAGTCGGTGACAAGGCCGCTCGAAGACCCGGTAGCGTAGTCAACCGCCGTGATATGGGCAACGAAAGGGTTGGCGACAGAGTAGAGTAGGGAGAGCTGGTCGAGAGCTGGGCGGAGGTGGTTCAAGGTGCCAGCGGAAGCGAGAAGTGACTGGGGGATATGCCTCTTTGAGAGATCGAAGTCCTTGGAGAACATGTATCCAAGGGCAATTGATCCGGCACCGGCTCTGGTCTGCATAGCAGAGATCGAGGTAGGGTATCCGTGAGCATTCTTGGCCTTGGCCGCAGCCCAGTCCTTGGCTGAGATATCGAGGTCGAAGGTCTCCGGAGAGTAGCTGTAAAGCTTGTCGCTCAAAGAATATGCCACCTGCTGGACCAAAGTCTGAGCTGTGACATAGGTTGGGCCGCTGACAGAAGCAAAGTCAATTGGCTGACCGAATGGAAGAGCCGATGACTTCTGAGTGAACTGCTTTGCGGCGGAGGGTGCCTCTTGCTCCTTGTTCCATCTGCTATCACCAACGGGGCCACCAAAGGGCTCCTGGTGCTGCTGGAGATGCATATCTGAGGTATGCGGGGGGGATATGAGGGAGGATTGGGATGGATAGGTTGACTGGAGGGCAGTCGAGGTAAATAGATCCTAATCCGCAATGCTGATAGAACAGAAAGCGAAGGAAGGGAAGGAGGTTTGGGGATAGAAAGAGGAAGCGAAGACGGAGACAAGAAACAGAAAGGAAATAAGGAAGGAACACCTTACTGTCTACAGTATTACCAAAGCAATGGGCTTTTGAGAAGGACAGGACGCCATTCCCAGGGTCTACAAATGTCATGAGCAATATTTTGCTGGGGGCGAAGGTATCTCACATGTCTCATAACTTTTTTTTCAGAGCCGATACGGCAAAGTCGCGATCACGCAATTCTCGGTTAATGTGGCCAATTTAGCGTAACTTATACTTTAATCGCCCGCCGCTAATATTTAAAGTCACGTGGTATGATAATATTGATTTGATAATATGGGGAAATTCTCGTTGTGGGGAATGGGGCAAGGCTGAAAAGCACGTGATATGGCGGACATAGCGGCGTTAACCGCCGGAGGAGTTCTAGGCAAGTCTGTGACGTATGGAGACTTCAAGATCATTTGTGTGGAGGAGAAGAAGTCATCTTAAAAATCCATTTCATTGCAACAAAATCGCTGTTCTACTGTTTTGAATTACTGAAATATATTCATACGCATCTACGACCTTAAAACCCAACCTTATCTCATCATGACTTCCACCGTGGTCATCGGAAGTACCGGCCTTGTGGTAAGTGTCAGCCTCGCCAGTGTTTATTGACGGCGGATGTTGATCAACTCTGCTGACGCTCACAGGGATCACATATCCTCTCCACGCTCCTCCAGCTTCCAGCTATCAGTTCCGTCCGCACTTTCACCCGACGTGCTCCCAAAGACAGTGGCGCAAAGCTAAACGCGACCGTCGAGGACTCGGCCAAATGGGCAGCTAGTATTTCCGCCATCACGCCTCCGCCCGACATTTTCTTCTCTGGTCTGGGCACTACTCGTGCCGCAGCAGGCGGATTTGACAACCAGCGAAAGATCGACTATGACTTGAACCTCGAGGCCGCTCAGGCAGCGAAGAAGGCTGGCGCCAAGGTCTACGTTCTCATCAGCAGTGGTGGCGCCAATCCCAATTCAATGATGGGATACCCGAAGATGAAGGGGGAGCTGGAAGAAGCCGTGAAGGCACTGGGCTTTGAGAAGACTGTGATTCTGCGCCCTGGCCTTATTCTTGGTGGAAGAGACCACCTGAGAGCGGCAGAATATGCGATCCAGGGCGTTGCCAGGGTATTTGGTGCCGTAAGTGGTGGTTGGTTGAGCGACGGTTGGGCGCAGGATGCGGATGTCATTGCCAAAGCTGCAGTGAGCGGCGGATTGAGAGCGCTTGCGGGAGAGGGGCCAGCGTCATATACAATGGGGCAGCCGGAAATTCTGAAGCTGGGAAGAACTGAATGGAAATCAGAGGAGCAGAAGTAGGCCTGGAATCACTATGAGTGGAAGGTTAGTGGTACTGTACGATACTAGTTTGAGACGTGATTGGAGTTGGTAGTTTTGGGGATTGGGCTTGGAATGAACTGTAATACATTCATTCAATGAATATCTAGTAATATACACTCTCCACTCTTTGTTTCCATTCCGAGAAATTTGTGATATTGTCGCATGGTGGGACCCTCGTTGCATAAGTTAACTGTATAACTTCGATTAAGGTTTCACCTGGCCAACGGCTTATCGCTTCGATAGTGGGCGATTTACATTGATGCCTATTGTGGGTCTGATCGATATTCAAGACCCTGAGGAAGACAGATATAACTTCCAAAATTCACATAGGAACATACTCGGTGATCGATGTATAGTTAAAAACAAAAATTTATGAGGTATGGTGGATTATTCTCGTTGACCTTTGTTGATCGCGACGTGACGAACAATTTTTAACTCGACAATAGCTCCAGACGCAACAAAACCCCGCCGGAGTCAACACAACCAGCAAACTCCACGAACAACGCGCTGCCACACAACCGCCACCTAACACAACCACTTCAAACAAACCAAGGAGGGTTTCTCGACTCTTCAGTTATTGAAATCTCTCCAGCTGCGCGTCCGATACCGACACAAACGCTGGTATCACCGAATTCCGAGCCTTCTGTCGAATGGAGCACCCCGCATTCACCTAGCCTCAGCGACTTTGGAAATTCCACGTCCTTATTCGATTACCATTCTGCTGAGAGTAGTGGCTTCTTTCCAGAGAGCCATCAGACAACCAACTCGCCGGTCCCAGCTGCCTTCGGCGTGAACAAAAAAGCCACCAAAGGCAATCTCCGGAAACATTCGAGCACTATGGTCAATGAAAGGTCGCCTGCAAAGGCGCCGCCGAAGCCCGCTCAATACAATGATCCAATGGAGCCGACACCATTAGTACCATACCCATCCAATCCGGCACTGCAAGCGCCGGCTCAGCCATCGTTTGCCCCTCAATTTGGACAGCCAACGGTGCCCCAATCGCCACTCACAAAGATGAATGGCCAGGGAAACAAGACACAGTCCAAATACAACACAAACTCGAGCATGTTCATACCAACAAAGCCCGCCCGTCCCCAATTCCAACAACCCCGCGCCGTGCCCGGAGTCCCTCCGGGTGCTGCGACACCGATATCTAAACCTAGCGCCCCGGTTTATACGACCACACAGCCAGCACCGCCTACCGTTTACGGTTCTTTTGGGACTCAATACCCAGGCGGCTTCAAGTCCGTGAATACCCAAGGAGGTGGCGGCTTTAAACCCGTGAATAACCAGGGAGGAGGATTTCAATCCGTCAATAACTACCAACCGACTATCCAACCAGTCCGCCAATATCAGAACCCCATTGACCTCACAAGGGACAGCTATGGGAATATCATTGACCTTACAAAGGAGAGCTATAGGGATCGCCTTGCTCCCGCAGCACCCTATGCCTTTGTTGACCCGAAGAAGGCTGCTGAAGACCTCAAGGCCCTGTTGGAAGGCGCTATTGAGGATGAGGACGATGATATCCCGAAGACTAGGTCACGCAAGAAGAAGCTGGATGCTAAGGCAGATGGATTAGCTTCGATGTTGAAGGGTCTTGCCGTCACCGACGACGCACCAGTGGAGGAAGATGACGAAGACGAGGATGACGGAACAGTAGAGGGCGTCAAAGTCAAATTACTGCCTCATCAAGTTGAGGGATTAGGCTGGATGAAAGACCGTGAACTCGGCACGAGGAAAAAGGGCACAGTCCCTAAGGGTGGAATCTTGGCAGATGATATGGGTCTCGGAAAGACACTTCAATCCATTTCGCTCATCCTGACGAACCCTCGACCGAGTGGGTCAGATCTCGAAGATGGCAAGCGCAAGTTTCCCTCCTCGATGCAGAAGTGCACGCTTGTCGTGGCACCGCTGGCATTGATTCGACAATGGGAGCTTGAAATTAAGGACAAGGTGCTGCCATCCCATGCTCTTCGCGTCTACGTCCATCACGGTCCGCAGCGTACCAAGAACCATAACGACCTGAAAAACTACGATGTTGTTGTCACCACCTACCAGATTCTAGTTTCCGAGTTTGGAAACTCGTCACAGGATTCGGAAGGCATCAAGGTCGGGTGCTTCGGTTTGCACTGGTATCGTGTTATCCTCGATGAAGCTCACACGATCAAGAACCGCAACGCAAAGGCGACACAGGCGTGCTATGCTTTGAGAAGTGAATACCGCTGGTGTCTCACCGGAACACCGATGCAGAATAATCTCGATGAGCTGCAAAGCTTGATCAAGTTCCTCCGTATTAAGCCATATGACGACCTGAAGCAGTGGAAGGATCAGATTGATCGACCAATGAAGAATGGGAGAGGCGACGTAGCTATTAAAAGATTACAGCACTACCTCAAGATCTTCATGAAGCGCCGCACTAAGAATATCTTGAAGAAGGAAGGAGCACTAAACCCTGGCGGCAAGCCATCAGTTGCTGGAGCTGCTAGCAGCACTGGGTTTAAAGTCACAGAGCGAAAGATTGAGAAAGTCTTTGCCAAATTCTCCCCTGAGGAGCGCCTCTTCTACGATCGTCTCGAGAAACGTGCAGACAAGAGCTTGGAGGAGATGATGGATGGCCAGAATGTTAACTATGCCAGTGCCTTAACCTTACTCCTTCGTCTCAGACAAGCTTGCAACCATCCGAAATTGGTTGCCGGCAAGCTGGGCAAGGATGGCGAGGCACTGGGTGCTGAAGCAGCCACTGTGCCTTCTACCCCCCGAAAGAAGGCAGCAGCTACCGAAGATGACCTGGAAGATCTTGCTGGTATGTTCGGCGACCTAGGGGTCGGAAGTAAGAAGTGCGACATCTGCCAACTCGAAATCGGCAAGGACCTGGCGAAGACTGGAGCGATAAGATGCGAGGAGTGTGAGAGTGACTTGTTGATGAGCACGAAGAAGCCCACTCGCAAAGATAGAATCTCAGCTATCCGGGCTCGTCACTCGGACATCCAGGAAGAGAAGGTTAAGACGAAGCTCAAAACTCGTAATCGCAATGTCATCGTCGATAGCGATGATGAAGACGAAGGCTCCTGGATTGTCGGCGAAGACCAGCGAGGCCCGACCAAACTCGGCAAGGCCGGCGGAACAGACGATGAAAATGCCGAGGGAGAAGGCATTGACGTCGGTTCTGATGAGAGTGATAAGTCCACCAATTACAACACTGCTGATGAGACGGAACTCTCAGTGGTGCAAGATACCACGGGCGAGATCATAACTATTAAATCTGACCCCCCAAGTGACAATGAATCCGAGGTTGAAGTCGAAGGTGCTTCCGATATCGACGTCTCCGACCTCGATGATGATGAGGCCAAGCTCTCCACTATCGTCACATCCACCAAGATCACGCATCTACTTAGCATTCTCGGCAAGGAAGCTGATGAGCATAAATTCATCGTCTTCAGTCAGTTCACGAGCATGTTAGACCTGATTGAGCCATTTTTGCAGCGAGATGGGTATAAATACACGCGCTACGATGGTAGTATGAGGAACGATCTCCGCGAGGCGAGCTTGAAAATGCTGCGCGAGGAGAAGTCGTGCCGCATCCTGCTCTGCTCCTTGAAGTGTGGATCCTTGGGTCTGAACTTGACTGCCGCCACGCGCGTCGTCATTCTTGAGCCATTCTGGAATCCCGTAAGTTACCCCTATCGTTCTCATCCCATAATAAACAAACACTAACCCACCCCCTAGTTCGTCGAAGAACAAGCCATCGACCGCGTCCACCGCCTCACCCAAAAAATCGACGTCATAGTCTACAAAATCACCATCGCCGACTCCGTCGAAGAGCGCATCCTCGAGCTCCAAGAGAAGAAGCGCGAGCTCGCCAACCAGGCCATCGAGGGCGGCAAGAACGGCGGCGCGGGCAAGCTGGGCATGAAGGAGATCATGCAGCTGTTTCGTCGCGATGCGGAGTATACCGAGAAGCCTCTGAATGAGCCGGCGTATCAGAATACGCAGACGAGAGTTTTGGGGCCAAGTAGGGAGGTGAGTGTGGAGAGTGGGAGGGCGGTGGCGTGGAGGTCGCCGCCGGTGGGGGGGGGGAGGAGGGTGGTGGAGGAGCATCCGGTTTATGGACGTCGTTAGAGGATGGGTGTGATTTATTGGTGTGCTCTGATGGAGTCTGGTAAGAGAAGGCGTCTGGTATGTTTAGAAGCGAGGAGGATATCATTGTTAGAATCTGTGGTTTTGTGTTTGTGGAAGATTTTTTTTCGGATACCCGAGTAATGTAGATAGATGGTTTACGGAAAAGTATAAATGGATTGGATGTTATGATGGTCACTTCAGAGTCGGGGGGGTTATTCTAGATAGTGGTATTTCTAATATATTTAACCTAAATGCGCCCTTTAATGCTGCTATAATTCTGAATGTTCTAATACAATGATCAACTCCAAAGGGGTTCCTAATCGCTCAACCAGTACTAGCATAATCTCATTTTGGCCCTTCAATCCCATCCCCAAGCATTTCTGCGAGCGCGAGCAGCCTCTCCTCATGCAATCGGCGGCCTACCAATTGCAGGCCCACGAACGCACCATCGAATATCTCTGGGTCATAGACATCGAATGTCTTCTTGTCCAACGGGTTGCCGCTTAGGCTCACAAATTTGTCATCTACGGGATCAAGAGTTTTCGAAGAGATTGTGACCGGGATGGCGATGGAGGGGTAGTCGAGGAGGTTGACGAGGGTACAGTAATCTATAAGTTTGTCAGCCATCTTATTCTCTTTGTACAGCCACGATTCCTGAAAACTCTTACCATAATGCGGGTAATCCATCGGCATCGCCGCGGGGAATGGCGTAACGGGCATGATGAACGCATCAACCACCTCTCCCGTACCGGTCAACTCAGCAGTCGAGTTCCAGTAATCACTGTACTGCTTACGGTACTCTCGGATCTGGACATTCACCTTCGCGATTTCGGAAGCCTGGAACTCGCGCACGGGTTCTGCGCCGTAGATGGCGCTGATTGCTGGGTCGAGGGGTTCGCTGGCGAGACCCATGGATTGGTGGACGTCGAGACCGCCGTCGAAGATCCAGGTTTTTAACTTCGCTAATTAGCTTCGGTACAGGAGGGAGAGAGGCGCGACGTACGGCGATCTCTGATGCATAATAATGAGGAGGTGGTACCCAGTCAATGACTTTGTGGCCTAGCTTCTCGATCGTCTTGACTACAATACCAAGGGCACGTCGAACAGGTGGAAGAGGGCGCACGACACCATCGTGGCGGTAGACGCCAAAAGCGAGCTGGCGGCCCTTGCCGGAAGACTTGATGAGCTTAAGCACAGCCTCCTCTTGCTCGCTACGCCATGGGATCTCATGCACGGCAGGGTCATGTAGCCATGGCTTCTGTGTCAGAATAGCCTTCATGACCAGTCTCAGCCCGCGGACACTCGTACCCATGGGGCCTACGACTGACAAGATCGAATTCTGACCTTGCATGGCGTTCGCCATGCCCTCATATGGTAACCTTCCTACACTGGGGCGAATTCCATAGAGTCCGTTAAAGGACGAAGGCACACGAATGCTGCCTCCGATGTCTGTGCCGAGACCGATAGGGGCACCTCGACAGGCAATAAGGGCGCCCTCTCCTCCCGAACTACCACCGCAAACAAGACGGCGATTCTTGGGATTCCAGCAGTATCCAATAACGTTGTTCACTGTCTCTCCATGCATCAATGTATGAGGAACTGCGGTCTTAACGTATAGCACAGCACCAAGGTTACAGAGCTCCCGCACCATCTCAGACTCGAAGACGCGCTCCTTTCCAGTCCCCTTTACTCCCTCAAAAGTATTTATCCAGCCCACATATCCCATAGTTGTTTCAACGCCGCGAACATGGAATTGATCTTTAAGGGAGATAGGAAGGCCATGGAGCGGACCAATTGGGGCATTGTTCTTAGCGTAGTAGTCGTCGAGCTTTTGCGCGTCTACAATTGCTGCTTCGAAGAATATTTCGTGGAGACAGTTGACCTATTTTAAAAGTTAATTGGTGCGGGGATTATGAGAGAATTAGAGAAGTCACTGACTAGTTGATGTGCAAGGGCAGCTCTATGACAGAAAGCTTCTGTCACTTCTCTTGCTTTCCAAGCCCCAGTTGTTGTTTTTGCGACAATTCCGACAGCATCTGTTTCCGTAATCTCAATTTCTCTCTCTGTTAGAAATTTTTGTATGTATTTGCCCGTTACATCTTTTTGTTGTTGTACAGACGGGATAGATGCTAAGAGCCATTTCTCCGGAATTTCCGCTCTGATCGACGCGCGCTTTGCTTGAGCTACTTCTTTCCACGTCGACATGGCGAATTTATATGCAGCTTATAGCGTATAGCAGTAAAAGCTTATAATTTGAAGAAAACATTGGTAATGGGGGGCTGTTTTAACTTTCGCTGACGCTTCCCCGCATTGCCCGCATTGAGCGATAAGATATGCTTAGGGCATGACCTCACCGTCGACTTACCCTGCTGATCGGAATCTCGGCAGTACTTTCCAATTCAGGAAATCCATAGAGTGCCTATTAGGTTATAAAATCTCTAGTGCTGCTTCGACGGGGTTCAATTCGTCGGGATAATGATTTTTTCGTATCGGTGGAAATAAACCACTCAATCAAACATTTGCCGAACGTTAAGGTTGATTCTCTTGTTTATCATCCAGTCTCGCCATTCCTCGTATTGGTTATCTTCTGCAGGCCACGACGCGAGATATGTGGGACACGAGCTTGGTAAGATCTTTGGTACTCCGTGCCAGGCAAACCGAGATTCCCTTGACATGAGCAAAGCGTCCCCGGACCGAAGGTGAACCACAATGGAATCGGACGGGTCTCGGCCCAAACCAACGACGAAAAGGCAGTCGCAACCCAAGCTAATGCTAACAAGGCCATTGTCGCTCTCTTCGCTGACGTCTCTGTGCAAGCTAAGGGTGTCGCCTGGGCTGTATAAATTGACAATCGCCGCTTGAGCCTTCATTTCTGGGAAAATACCCTCGAGTAGGTCTTTGATATCGGTTGGAAACGCTGGCGGCGCCTCGTCCGGATAGACTTTGTTCGTCCAATCGTATTGCCCACCTAGAGTAACCCATCGGAGACTCTTCTCCATGAATTTTGAGACTGTAAGAGGCTTGTGGACACTAGGGTCTTTTGGATTGAATACTGTTTTGCTTTTCGGCGAATATGAGAAGAAAGAAGGTGTTTCAGACGGCCCTTCTGGAGTAGAAACACCCTTTGGATAGGGCATATCGTAGAACATGTGAACATTTGTCATGTGCTCTGGGTCTGACAGGTCTCTGTGCAGAAGACGGGATAAGAGTTCTTTTTGGACTTGTGACGGCAGGAAAGATGGTAAAATGAGCAGACCTGAAACACTGTCAGGATGAAATATGGACCATAGGTAGAGATGAGAGGCTACAAAATATACAAGGGAAAATATGACATGATATAAAAGAATTCCCCTACCTGGCAATGCTTCGCAGCTATAAACAGGCTGGCTTTCTGGGGCATCAAAATCCCTTCCGTCTGCAATAAAACGACGATAAATAGATTGTAGATCCTCCGATGAGATCTCTCTATCAAGCCTTACCCCTTGAGGCAGAATATCTTTTGCAAAATCCAAAATATGAGAAGTAAAAATCTCAGATAACGGGAGCCTTTGGAAGCGCTTGAAGACATCTTTCAAGAATTGCGGGGGTTGTTCCCGAGCGTCCAAAGGAGGTCTTCTTGGAGGCGTATTGGCCTCATCAGGAGCTATCATTTTGATCCAAAATAAGCCCTGCACAAATTCACTTTATGAGCATAATAAAAATACTGTAGTTGTGGTTCATATTCCGCCCACAATTTCCTGTAGGACATTGCCTTATTGTGGCCAAGAAAGTTGATAGACCAGCTTGATGGAGTAAGCGAGGTGCGCGTTGCCAGCTGAGCTTGATTTCTCGCGACGGCTCTTTATTTACTTCCAGCCGCCCGAAAGACAACAAACGGAACGCCCAACATACAGCGACAAACGAGCATCCTAACAAACAAACCCAAGCTGACGGTATACGACTGATAGGTTATATAAGAGACCGAGTTCAATTCTGAGTATAGTTGTCGAATCTTTCGAGTACATGCAGCGGATGTCACTTTGTTCTGCCCCTCATTTATCGCCCCGCTAAACACGATCCCCCTTGAGGAGAGGGCTCCTGGCAGCATTCGACTTCCACGCCACATAAAAATAAGAGAACAGTATCTTCAATATGGAGAACTACCAGAAATTGGAGAAGATTGGAGAGGGTATGTAATTTGCATTTACCAGACCCCATTGCTACCCCGCACGCTCTCCCACACCGGAGCAACGGCTGACACTGTTTCTTCCAGGAACCTACGGAGTCGTCTACAAAGCCCGCGACCTCCTGCACGGCGGCCGCATTGTAGCCCTCAAGAAAATCCGTCTCGAAGCCGAAGATGAAGGCGTCCCCTCCACCGCCATCCGCGAGATCTCCCTCCTGAAAGAGATGAACGACCCCAACATCGTCCGTCTCCTCAACATCGTGCACGCCGACGGCCACAAGCTGTACCTCGTCATGGAGTTCCTCGACCTCGACCTGAAGAAATACATGGAAGCCCTCCCCATCAGCGACGGCGGGCGCGGCAAGGCTCTCCCCGAGGGCTCCAGCCCCGACCTCGGCCGCCTCGGCCTCGGCGACCAGATGGTTAAGAAGTTCATGAGCCAGTTGTGCGAGGGTATCCGCTACTGCCACAGCCATCGTGTGCTGCACCGTGATTTGAAGCCGCAAAATCTCCTGATTGACCGCGATGGCAACCTCAAGCTCGGGGATTTCGGACTCGCGAGAGCTTTTGGTGTCCCCCTCCGTACCTACACCCACGAGGTCGTCACGCTGTGGTACCGTGCCCCAGAGATCCTCCTCGGTGGCCGCCAGTACTCCACTGGTGTCGATATGTGGTCTGTCGGCTGCATATTCGCCGAGATGTGCACGCGCAAGCCGCTGTTCGCTGGTGATTCCGAGATTGACGAGATCTTCAAGATCTTCTGGTGCGTCCCCCCCATTTCCAACCACCTATAACCCCCAACTAACACTCCCCAGCCTCCTCGGCACACCCACCGAACTCGACTGGCCAGGCGTAACCTCCTTCCCCGACTTCAAATCCTCTTTCCCCAAATGGGGCCGCAACCTCAACGCCAACCTGATCCCCGGCCTCGACAACATCGGCCAGGACCTGCTGGAGAACATGCTTGTCTACGACCCCGCCGGCCGCATCTCCGCTAAACAGGCTTGCATGCACCCTTACTTTGAGCAGGGTAGCGCGGCGCACTCGGGCAGAGGGCATGGGCCGACGTATGCTGCGACGGGGAATTATCAATGAGCGTGGTTAGGGGAAGGCGGTGGGAGGATTTTGTTCTTGAGCGGGCGTGCGTGCGTGCGATACCAGGTGTGATGGGGAGGGGTGGGGGAAAGTCGTGGGGGAAAGTCGTGGGATATGGCCGGGGGAGGGAGGTTACACAACGAACGATCGACGGAGCATGGCTAGCTCGCCTTACACAATAACAACAGCCTACCAGGGTCAGTGAACCCGTTGGATAGCTGGAATCGCGTAAAGGGCAGGGCAGGTATGGTATGGTACAGTATAGACAATCATCTCTCCTACACTTCGCGTCTTTCGGCAGGCAGGCGGGCGTTTCAGTATTCGGCAAAGGAGCGGCGTCGGCTGACGGGACGGTGCGGCTGGGAAGGCAGATAGGTGGGAGGATGGGTGAAGGGGGGGAGTTTAGCTGATATGGCTTCGATCATGTTCCTAGGAATGAAGACTAGGTTTTTTTTGCCTTAACTTTTACCATGGCTTCCGTGTATACGCTTTGCGTTACTGGGTGGTATACAAGCCTCCTCGAATACCGAAACCCCAAAAACGCTTCACACTCACTGCCCACATAACTAAACCATCACCACACAGCAAGCGCAATGATGGTTGGTAGGAGGAGAGGGGTTATGGTGGTGATAGGGGGGGATGAGGGGATGCCCTGCCAAGCCCATCACACTCGTCATAATCCCCAATGATCGCTCCTCATCTCATCAATTCAGCCGCCCTTAGCTCAGTTGGTAGAGCGCGGCACTAGTACCTGATTACGTGATCTAACCCCAATGCAGAAAATCAATTGGCCTATCGATTTTCTGCCCCCTCATGACCCCTCATCATTCTACACTTTTAACGTCTCCTCCTCCTCTTCTTTGATTTTCATATACCTCAGTATATAATTACGTATATCCTGCCTTCTGTATAATATTCCCAGCGAGTTTCGCTGAGGCCCAGCAACCATGCCAGACGCAATCCTCGACGATATCTCGCATCGCCGCTACAACCCGTTGCGGGGGAGCTGGCTACTCGTCTCTCCCCACCGGACGAAGAGGCCATGGCAGTGAGTTCCCATTATTTACTGCGCCAACTGACACTTTATTTTCAATACGCGCGCCTCCACTAACAATTACCAGGGGCCAGCAAGAGTCCGCCTCAAAGTCCACCCTGCCCGAGTACGATCGGGCATGCTACCTCTGCCCAAAAAATATTCGCGCCCAGGGCGATCAGAACCCGGACTACAAGAACACCTTTGTATTCGTGAATGACTACAGCGCCGTCAAGGAATCCCAAGCAGAGTACCTCCCAGAAGCAAAGGAAGGCGACCTCTCATCCCTCCTCCTCCGCGCCGAACCAGTAACAGGGAAATGCTACGTCCTCACCTTCTCCCCCCAGCACAACCTCACCCTCGCCGACCTGACTCCCGCGCAAATCCTCCCCGTCGTCCAGATGTGGAGCAAAATCTACGCCGCCCACCTCTCCCCCAAGTCAGCTCTCTACTCCCTTCAGCCCGCAACGTCCGCTGCCTCCGATCCTGACTACGGCGTCTCGGCACCCACTGCACAGTACCGGTGGATGCAAATCTTTGAGAACAAAGGCGCCGCCATGGGCTGCTCGAATCCCCATCCCCACGGCCAGGTCTGGACCACCACCGGCACGCCCGAAGAGCCAGGCCAGGAACTCGAACAGCTGCAGAAGTACCGCTGCGAGCACGCTGGCCAGAACCTGCTCGCTGACTATGCCAAGCTCGAGATGGAGAAGAAGGAGCGTATCGTTTTCCAAAATGCTTCATTCCTTGTCGTCTGCCCTTGGTGGGCCGTCTGGCCGTTTGAGACGCTCATTGTAACAAAGACCCACAAGCGCGCGCTCGTCGACCTCGATGACGCGGAGAAACTCGACTTCGCGGAGGCGATTACAGAGGTGACACGCCGTTATGATAACCTCTTCGAGACGAGCTTCCCATACAGCTCGGGGATTCACCAAGCTCCGCTGGAGGGGACCGAGAAGGAGATCAACGCCTCGCACCTCCACATGCACTTCTACCCACCGCTATTGCGCAGCGCGACGGTGAGGAAGTTCTTGGTGGGATACGAGCTGATGGCCGAGCCACAGCGGGATATCACGCCTGAACAGGCGGCGGCGAAGTTGAGGGATGCGGGAGGGGAGCTGTATAGGAATTCGTTGTGATTTACCCTGATTAGATTTAGATGGTGAGGGTGCATATAGTTGATGTATATATTGTGGAACTTCTGCCAAATCCGCTGAGTGTGATGCAAGTGAGTGAAGTGAAGGCCATTTCAAAGTTTGGTGAATATGTGAGAGCAATTGGACACAACGGTCAACTGGAATTTGGGATATTAGGTTCATCAAATTATAACTTGCTCATTCATGTCTGTACTACACAACAATATTAACAATCGTCGAAGAAATGCCAGGTTATCGTTCACTTAGTCTCCTGTCAACCAATTCTATCCACCGTCTAACGCTCTACGTAGCAACATAGAACTCCTTCTGCATCAACATCCATGTTATAGTTGAGGTACTGACGACAATCGGCCCAGCTAGCGGCGAACCCCACTCCGCAGTTCCGAAAAAGAGCCACTCGCTCGCGAAGTGCGCGAAGGCGACAACGTATGTGCAGAGCGCAAGGGCGTAGAAAGCCGGGTTATCAATGTTATAAGAGGCGAAAAGGCGGACAAGGGCAGCGACGAAGGTCCAGGTTCCGAAGGTGCGAGCGGAAAGGGGGGTGACGAGCGGGGAGTGCGGGACAGGGGCCGAGGGGGTGGCAGGGAGGGCCTTGGGGCGTGCGGGGTCGATGTTGTAGATGCGGCGGGTGTAATAGAGGGTTACGAAGGATTGGACCGAGTTGCCAATTGCGACTATGGAGGTCTGGTAGCAGTTAGTTGGTGATACGTGGGGATGAGGCTTGGAGCTTCGTTGGGACGCGGATAGGGGTTGCGACATACGAAGAGCATCCACTTTGGGAGGAAGCCCGCATGTTGGGGCAGATATGGGAGTATCGCGTCCATTGCTTCGTGTAATGTGGGTGAGAGAACGAATTGTTATTAATTAATATGTTGAGGGTCAGGAATATCAAATGTAATACATTTTTCAGACATTTTTAGAGCTACTCGGTATTCCCATGGAAATCATGCACGGACCATCAATGATGCGGTACAGTACTCTACCTGTCATGTACGACACAAATCAGCCTAAGAAAACATTCGCAATATAATTCAACGACGACACCGCCATAAAACCAGCAAAATGGCAATCGACGACATCTTGGCTGCGATTCCGAAGCCGGTAACGATTGGATTCGCTGCATTGGGTGCTTTGTGGCTGGGCAGGAAGGTCTTCAGCTACATCGCCCTTCTCCTGGACCTCTTCATCCTCAGCGGCTCCAATGTAAGGATTACCCCGCAGAATTGCTTTCTTAATAATAATAAGCCTGACACATCTGTAGCTTCGCAAGTATGGGCCAAAGGGCACCTGGGCAGTCATCACTGGCGCGTCCGACGGCCTTGGCAAGGAATACGCCCTCCAGCTCGCTTCGAAGGGCTTCAACATCCTCCTCGTCTCGCGCACCGAATCCAAGCTCGCCACCCTCTCCCAGGAGATCGAGACGAAGACGCCAGCCATCAAGACGAAATATCTCGCCATGGACTTCTCTAAGGACAACGCGACCGACTATGCCAAGCTGAAGGCGCTCGTTGACGACCTCGACGTCGGGATCCTCATTAATAATGTCGGACAGAGCCACTCATACCCCGTCCCGTTCCTCCTCACGCCGCACAAAGAGATGCGCGACATTATCATGATCAACTGCCTCGGCACGCTCGAGGTGACCCGCCTCATCGCACCTGGAATGGTCCGGCGCAAGCGTGGCCTCATCCTGACAATGGGCTCTTTCGGCGGACTTCTCCCCACGCCGCTTCTCGCTACCTACTCGGGATCCAAGGCATTCCTCCAGCACTGGTCGACGTCTCTTGCATCTGAGCTCGCCCCACAAGGTGTGGATGTGCAGCTTGTGCTCTCTTACCTCGTGACTTCCGCCATGTCCAAGATCAGACGCCCGTCGGCTATGATTCCCAACGCACGCAACTTTGTCAAGTCGGCTCTCGGTAGTGTAGGCCGCTCAGGTGGTGCAAGGAAGACCGCAAACACGTCGACACCGTACTGGAGCCACGCGCTCATGCAGTGGTGGATTGAGAATACGAGCGGCACGAGCAGCCCGACTACGGTGGCGATCAACAAGAAGCTCCATCAGGATATCCGGACGAGGGCATTGAAGAAGATTGAGAGGGATGCGAAGAAGAGTACTTGAGCTATGAAGGGTGCTTAACTTGGCGAAAAGATTGAGGTTGATGGACGGCTTATTTTAAAAAGAGGGGTGGAACGACACTGTATTAGATAGGAATATGGGATGGCTTAGTTTAGCTTGGGGAGTATAGGGGGTGGGAGGTAATGGCGGCGGTATAGTTATGGAAGAGGTTGAGTCTTATAACATGACCAAAAAGTTACGAGTTCAGTATATATCATTGTTCTGTTAGACATCGCGACTCCTTTGCTCTATCGGGGCCTGGTGATGGCATCAACTCAGAAGAATCAGGATAGACGTGTATGCTCTCTATTTATATTGTACTCGTAAATTACTGTTTGGAGACTATTTCGAAGGAAGCTGTAAACTGCCTTACCGCCTGCTGCGCCACACCTGTCAAAGTCTCTTATCGGTTAATTCGCCACACCGATAGCGCGGGGTACATGGGCCTTGGGGGGACTCGTCAGCTGTATGTAAGTAGAGACGACGACGTCTGTTTCAGTGGTACGAGTTTGAACTCTCTCTTCTTTCCAACTTTATATTTATACAGTTCTCCTGTGCAGTCACTCACGGCGGACCTAGAGATACCGGTTTACATTTACGGAGACGGCGAGAGGAGAGAAAATAAGAGGATAGTACTGATCAGATCATTCAACATGCCGCTTCACGTTGCCAAAGGTACGTTTGCCAGCTCTCCTTCCGTTCGGTGATCACAAACCCGGCTATGGCCCGATTTGCGGTGGCGGTATACGCAAGCCTCAAGTGAAGCCTGGCTGATCGAATACGCTCTCTGAATACTAAATCTGCTTCCCTTGATTCATACTTCCTCACATCCACACCACACTCATCTTCACAATCCCCCGACTATAGTCGTACGACAATTACCATGAACCTCCCCAACCGTCCAACGAATCCCTCTTCTAACTCGGTGCCTACAGGCGCCATAATCGCCATCTCTGTCATTGCCGCCACTGCCTTCGCCGTCTACGAATCCCCCGAGGTGCGCCAGTTTCTTCTCAACCTCCGTCGACAAGCGGCACACACCCTACACAACCTCGGCGACAATATCGAGCCGAGAGAGCGCTGTGAGGAGGAATCCGGACAACAGCCTCTATTCAATAGACCTGAGGATGCAGAGGGCGTGGTAGAAAGGGACGGTGTTGATGCCGACGATGCGAGCAGGAAGAGGCAGATAGAGGAGCTGACGTATTGGAACAGACTGAGGGAAGAAGAAGAGAAGGAACAGAACCAACCAGCCGAAGGGCAGAGGAAACGCACACGCTCATCAAGCTTCGGTGACTTCCTCGCGCAGGACGGCGACCAGGGGACCTACGTCCTTCGGAGTGGAGCGGAACCTGTAGCAGCAGAGAACCTCCTGCATCGCCATGCTGGAAGAGGCATTGATCGTGGCGCCATGTTTGCCAACCCCTTTGGTGACGAGCACGGTATTGAGCTCAGCTCGCGCGAGGCAGGGTGGGGGTCACAGATTGATCAGCCGCAGACCCTGATGACGCCTGAGAAGGACGAGGTGATGTCCGTGGCGGACAGTGAGGGGCTGTACTGCGCCTCTGATAATGTGATCCGTCGACCCGCTGGGATTACTGGGGCGTCGGCGCTATTTGCTACGCCCGTGGCGTTCCAGGCAGGCGAGAGGCCTACTGGGATAGTCGAGACGCCATCGCTATTCAGCGCGCCTTCGCCTTCGATGGACCGAGAGCTACTCATCGACACGTCAGAGTCTGACGAGTCAGCGCCGGTGGTCTCTGAACGAGCAGTACACGACGAAGCCGAAGAGACACAATATGCGACATCTGCCTCGCGCATGCATCAGGATGGCGAGACGGATGCGTATGCTGCCATCCACGCGTGGGCCGACGGCGCGAACAGCACGGTGGGGTTCTACTCGCCGCTCTCCGTTACACCGCAGGTGATTTCCGAGGCGTCGGATGGGGGGTTTGGGAGCGACGCCGCATCGTCGAATGGCGCAGCAACGCCGAAGACGTCAGACTCCGTGTCTATGATCGGAGGGGAGAGTGGGAGCGAAGGTAGGAATACTCTAGGGAGTTGGACGGAGGTCGGGAGCGTCGTTAGTAGCATCGAGGGAAGGGTTATATAACTTCTTAATTAGGAATGGGAATAGGAATCGGTATGGGCGTAAGGAATCTTTTTCTTCTATAAGGGAGACTATAGTATAGAAATAAAAGCTTTTATTTTATGGCTACTCTTACGATCCTGTTACTCGTCCCTACTATTACTATTACTCCGTTACTATTACTTATCCCTACTACTATTACTCTTACTCCTCCCTATCAGTGTTGCCAATAGTGCGGCTTGGCAGTATATTGCTAGGAAATTCCCATATTGTATTGCCACAATAACGTAATTCACCCCTGAGTGGGCCACACCCCCAAGTGGGCCACCCCCAATCCAATTTCTACACTTAGAGCCATTTAATTCAACAAAACGCCATTCAATCCTAATTATCTCTCTCGGGGCAGTAATTAGCTCTATGTCCAGGCATCCTACATATACTGCATGTATATATACGTCGTGTACCTAATGCTGGTGCTGGTAATAGTGGTAGTGCTGCTGCTGCACCTTCAGATGTAGATGCACCTCCTAGACCAAAGCGCAAGCCCTGCGCTTCTTGAACTGATAATCCCCCTTCATGAACAAACTGCTTATTAGATAGGCTCTTCTTCTTCTTCTGTTTGTGATTCGCCTCACGTAGATCCTTGTTTCCCTCTCTAAAAGAAGAATAGCTCTCATCGCTCCATTGCATGCTTTATACATCTGCTCAATTACCTGCTTTGTAGGGGTATGTGGGCTTTCTGACCAATATTTCAGCAGGGATTTAGCTGATCTTTGGTGCTTTGCGAGCTGTGCAATCGTAGCTGGTGTGTGTGGTTGATATACACTAGATCTGCTAGATGGTCAACTAGGCACTGGGGTTGGCGTTCGCAGTGATATATTAAGCTTTGAGAGCACAGCTTCTGCATTTAATGGTACTAATCCAGCTGCTTTAAAGCTATTCTGGATAGTATTCGTTTGAAATGCATCAGTGCGAGCAGTTGGATATGCAGCTAGGAATTCTAGCTTGTCAATATGGTTGATCCCCATTCACATCTTCTGATCCACTAGCCTTCCATATGCACGTTTCAATCCTGCAAAGCACCCTACATCTAGGGGCTGAAGAAGATGCGATGAATGCGCAGGCATACATATAGGAATGATGTTGTTTTCGGTGCATAGCTGATCAAAGCGTGGCGTAAGATGGCTGCCATGTCCATCTAGGACAAAAAGTCGATATCTTCCACGCGCACGCGCATATGGGATGAATAGTTTTTCTAGCCATCTTAGACCAATTTCATCTGTAGTCCAGCCATTAGCACTAAGTTCAAACCACCAGTCTTGTGGTATATCTGATTGGAACCAGCTTCCCTTATATAGTTTGCCTTTGAAGATGATCATAGGTGGAAGGGCGTATCCTTCAGCGCCTATTGTTTCAATCACAGTTACCCACTCGCGATTACCTGGCTGCAAAACTGATCTACGACCATAGTATTCAGCCCTAGTAACAACCTTCGCTGTCGCGCATAGCCCCATCGCGAACCCAGTTTCATCGAAATTGTAGATATCCTCAGGTAGAATACCATACATAGCGATAGCACTCTCAACCCTCTTAATAAGCGATAACCACCAACACTCCGCAGCTTTGTATACTTCTCAAAATGCTGAATCCAATCCATGCCTCTCTCGTTTGTAGTCCAGCCATTTTCAGTAACAGCAATTACCCAATCGCTTGGAAATCC